CTGAGAGATGGAGAAAGACACATCCTCATTTTAACACAGAGATTCTTTATTTCCATGAGTCAACAAATCCCATTTTTGGGATAAACCAATTTGAGCCAGAATTGCTGGCACTTCACTTGAAATAATCTTATTTTTTTTAAAAAAATGTCCAGAAATGTATTATCAAAATGTTTTCCCCAGAAGTTGTATCAAGTACCTCACTCCCATCAAAGGTGTTTAGGGTTTCTCCCATTGTGCTGCCAGAGCTAGGGGTTACTATTTTGAGAATACAGTCAAATTGATTTTTTAAATTTTCATATTTTGCACTAGTGAAGTAGAACTTTTTCTATTCTATTCTAGAAAATACTTGTCTATTATAAATTATCTTTTACATATTTTTCATCTAGCAGCCTGTGGTCTTATGAATGTGGTATAGTGATTTGCGTTTTGATGCTAGTGTGATGTATTTTTCCTCTAGATTTTTATTTTTAAAATTTATTGTTCACAGCAGATATTTAGAAAAAGTGAAGTCAAAGAAGAAAATAAAAATCACTGTAAATATACCCCTCAGACTTAATATACATTGGGGAAATTCCTTCTCAGTTTATATTTAACATATACATTAGAATGTAAGTGTATGCATGTGTAGGCTTACACCATTTTAAATTATCATTCAAGATTATATCATTTGAATTTCTCCTTTGTCATTTAATATTCTCCTAAATGTGTCTTGGACCCTCTTAGGAATCAGAGAAAAACCATAGGTCTACCTCCTCAAAGAAACACACAACAAAGCACATATACCGAAAAGATGACATATTCTTTAAGTAGATTCTCAGGTTCATCCATGGACTTCAGATTAAAGAACTTTGGTTATTGGGCTGAAGATGTAGCTCAGTGGTAGAGCACTGGCCTAGCATGCACAAGGCCCTGGGATTGCTATCAAACATGGTGGGGGAAGGAAGAACTCTAGTTGTAAAACATACCTCATAGCTGCATAATAGTCTCCTGTATTAATGTACTCTATCTCATTTAACTAGATAACATTGGATTTAGGATTACAAGCTTTGGAAACAAAAAGCTCGGGTTCAGTTTGTGACTCTTTCCCTACTTGGGAGTACCTTGGCAAACTTCTAACCTACTATAAGAGTTAAATGAAAAAAATAAAAAGAGTTAAATGAGATGATCCATGAAGGCTTAGAAAGATTGTCCAATACATAATAACTGCTCAGTATAATATTCATTTTTATTTTTAATTCCCTGGTTGTTTCCTCAGATTAAACCCCTGGAAATAGAATTACTGAGTCAAGGAGGATACACAATCTTAGGGCCGTTGTCATCTACTAACAAGTTTTCTTCTAGAAAAGTAAAACTAGCAGACAAGTGTGGAGAGGATTGTAGTATATCCTTGCCACCATGCCATAATTTTTTTTTTTTTTTGGTGGGACTGGAGTTTGAACTCCGGGTTTTGTGCTTACAAAGCTGGTGCTTTATTGCTTGAGCCACATCACCAGTCCATTTTGCTCCAGTTGTTTTGGCAACTATTTGCCAGGGCTGGACTTGAACCATGATCCTCCTGATCTCAGCTTTCCAAGTAGTTAAGATTACAGATGTGAGCCACTGGCACTCGGCCACCATAACATAATTTTATTTATTTGAGTGTTTTTCAGTGCTGAAAATGGCTTTTAATTGCTTCAATTTAATTTATTTGGTTATCTGTGAGTGTGAATGTATTTAAGTGTATTGGTTTTTGTATTCCTTCTTGTGAGTTTGGGTCTATTCATATCATTTTCATTTTTTCCTATTGTGATGTTTGTTTTTATTAATATGTAAAGCTCATCTACTGAGATTTCCATTATTTCTCTTCTTATTGTTTTGCTTAGAAAACGATTCTCTATCCAAGGGCAAGATAAATACTTGTCAATATTTTTCTTCAGAATTTTGTTGCAAGGTTACATTATTACAGTTAATCTTTAATCTAGCATATTTTGTGCAATAAGACACTACATCTATGTTTTCTAAATAACTGAATAATATACTATTGTCTCTATCTTCTAAGTATTCTTGGGTAAGTGGCAGCAACAGTAAACAGAAGACAGTGGTTGGAAGTGAAATGACCCGAGCCAATCCACCTTTGGCGTTGCACCTCAAGGATGAGCTCTGTGTTCCAATCTTGGTGTTTTCTCCTTAAGAGTGGGGAGATGGGGAAGAAGAGGGGAGAGAAGGGCACCTTCTTTCCTTTACCTTGACAATAGCCTCATCAGCAAGAGTGACCACAAGTCTACAGGCCCCAGATTGCAGGCTTAGTGCAATCCTGATGACTTTCCATCCCAGCCCATCACTTTCTGTTTTCAGTCTTCCCCCATTGCACAAATTGCCTTCCTCCCCAATCCCAAGAGGAGCTGGATGAATGAGTCAGTCTGCCTATAATTACTGCTCATTTAATTTGATTACGGACTGTAATATCTTTAGCACAAGGAGGAGGTGTTCTGAGGCAAATAGTCTTGGTGCCTGCACACTTGCGCTTCAGCTGGATCCTCTGTCATGTGTGTTCTCTGTTTATCCTGTGGCTTCAAGAATATAAAAGCTTGTGTTAGTTAGCTTTCTATCAATGTAACAAAATACCCAAGATAACCAACTTATAAAGAGGAAAAGGTTATTTTGGCTCAAAATTTTAGAGGATCCAGTCCATGATTGATTGGCCCTGTTGTTTTGGGGCCTATGGTGACAGCTGCAAATTATGGTGGGAGCACATAGTACAGCAAAACTGTTCACCTCATGGCCAGAAATCAAGTAAGTGAGGAGGAGGCTGGGGTCCTACAATGCCTTTTGACACTTATCCACTATGCCCCTCCTCTTAAAGGTTCCATAGCTCCCAATAGTGCCAACCCTTTAATACACAGTCCTTGAGGGTATACAGTCAAGATCCAAACTATAGCAAGGTTCTACAGTGTCTCCTCTTTTCTTGTCTGTTTCTCCAGGTGCATCCTCTCAATATACTCAACATTTGGGTAACATGTTTCATCGTACATCTAAATATCTTTGTTTTACCTACATAAGCCTAAATGAAAACTTAGCATAATTTTTTTATCACAACTCACTTCCTTCAAAGCTCTATAGATGTTACTGCTTTTTTTCTTTCTTTCTTTCTTTGGAGTTTAGTGTCTTGGAAATGTGTAAGAACATGGTGTTTTCCTAAATGCTTGCGAAGCTCTGCCCTCACGTAATCAATCATCTAATGAGAAGAAATAATTATTTGTGATTAAGAGTGCAGTATGAAATGACCCAAACAATGTATGCACATGTGAATAAATGAACAAAAAAATTAAAAAAAAAATAAAAGCAAGAAAAAAAAGTGCAGTATGGTGTGACTTTGTCTTGTTTTTCATATTCTCTGCCATTTCCATGAGATTTGGGGAGGAGGAAATGCAAACACCTGGACTTTGTGCATCTTTGGGTAATGTAAGTTACCCACATTCCTCTGCATCAGGGACATGGACAGGGACCAACTCACTCTACCTTGGCTCTGCTCAAGAGTAACCATGGGCTAAGACAGCCTTGATTTCCGCCTAGACATTCCCATGTTGGCTTTCACAGCTCAACTGGCTAGAACAGTATAGTCACTCCAGAGAGCACAATCCCTCTTCGAAAGGCACCACCTCCTAAGAACTCTGAATTTGATTTGTTTGGGGATAAACCTGTCTAAATCAGAGAATCTCAGCACTTCATTTCTTTTCGGTCCTTTAATCTCAGTGTCAGGACTTTGCTCTTGACACTTCATAAATCTGTGGCCACTGGAATATCTTACCTGTCAATAACTTCTTAAATACACATATTTCATAGAGACTTTTCTTAGCTGAGCTTAAGGACATAGCAACATGCACATTCAACTGGGTACATGTGAGTATGGTTTGTCCCTTTGTCTCAGATTTCTCCTTTGTGAAAAATCTAGCTTGTCACAGTAGGGTAGCTATGGTTGACAAGTAATTGAATATTTCAAAATAGCTAATGGAGAGGATTTTGAATGTTTCCAACACAAAGAAATGATAACTGTCTGAGGGGATTGCTATCACCCCATCTGGTTATTAACATTGTACACATTATTAGAATGTCACACTCATAAACATGTACAACTGCTAGGCAACAATTTAAAAGTAAACAAATATTTTTTAAATGGAGCTTGTAAAAACAGCATCTATCCCATTGCTTTGCCACGATAATCAAAATAAATATACACACTCCCTTGCACAATCCTGGCTCAAAAACTACTAGCTTTATTATTACTTTCTACTTTCAGACTGAGCATAAAAACTTGTTTGCAAATTGAGGCCAGATATTATGTCCTGCTGCCAGAGAATCGCTCATTATTTGGCCAGGCGCCCCTCTTGATGCCTGGGGCTGCAGGTTAATATGTATATGGTTTATGTGCGTGCATAGATAAGCTCCCCACCCCACCCTTGGAGAGTCTGGTCCTCTAGATTTCATTATCAAAGGGGCAGCGTTCTGGTGACTACAAATAGCAATTATGTACTTCCTATTTCCAAAAGCTAGAAGAAAGCATTGTGGATGTTTTCATCATAAAGAAATGACAAGAGACACTTTCAGTCTGATTTGAACATCACACAGTGTATACCTATATGCAAACATCACATGATCCCTCTTGTACCATTTTTATGTTTTGATGTATGAGTTAGAATAATTTTATTTCAAAAATCAGAAAAGAACAAGAGGCTGTGCCCATTGGAACCGGGGATGGGCATTCAGACCAGGGTTTGTCGTCTTGTACTGCAGGTCTTTGTTCCGTCCCTGGCTGCACTCTAACAGAACCACTTAGTGATGATTAAAAGGGGGGGTGGGGTGGGGAGAACAGGCGGGAGGGTGGGGACAGGCGGCGGGGCGGGGCGGGGCCTGCGGGGCGCGGGGCGGGGGCGCAGCCTGCGCGCGGTTCACCTTCGGGGACTGCGCTCTGCTGAGTGCCAGGCGGCGCGCGGGGCGCCGCATCGACGCCGGGCAGCACGTCAGCGGGGGCTTGGTTCCCAGGCTGGTTGGGAGGCTGCGGACGGACGGACGGACGCGCGGTCGGAGGGGACAGAGGACAGAGCTCCGCAGACCTGCGGCCTCGAGCCGACAGCGCCATGGACGGCCCGGACAACGCCACCCTGCTGTTCGACTCGTCCTCGCTGTTGTGGGACAACTCCACGCTGTCGCTCAACGCCAGCAGCCCGAGCCCCGGCACCAACTTCCCGCTCGCCCCCGCCTCCAGCGCCACGGCGGCTCCGAGCATCCGCTTCAGCCCCGGCCCGACCGCCACCCCGGAGCCCACGAGCAGTGGTTTCACGGGCGGCGCGGAGGGTCAGGGCTCGTCCCCGTTCCCGCGGCCCTGGGTCCCCCACGAGCCCCCGTTCTGGGACACGCCGCTGAACCACGGGCTGAACGTGTTCGTGGGCGCCGCCCTGTGCATCACCATGCTGGGCCTGGGTTGCACCGTGGACGTGAACCACTTCGGCGCGCACGTCCGCCGGCCCGTGGGCGCGCTGCTGGCCGCGCTTTGCCAGTTCGGCTTCCTGCCGCTGCTGGCCTTCCTGCTGGCCCTCGCCTTCAAGCTGGATGAGGTGGCCGCCGTGGCGGTGCTCCTGTGTGGCTGCTGTCCCGGCGGCAACCTCTCCAATCTCATGTCCCTGCTGGTTGACGGCGACATGAACCTCAGGTATGGCCCTCGTCCTCAGGCGTCTTTCTCACCCTAGTCGATCGCGGTTACAGTCAAGGGCTGAAAGCCAAGGAGAGCGGACACAGAGGTGGACGGAATGGGGCTTGGTGGAGGGAAGGGGAAGGGGACTCCCCATGTCGGGAGGTAGTGTGTCAGGGGGATGATCTAGACGGGGACAGAGCTGCCGGAAGGGTCACAGCCCCGGCCCTTTAGGGCTCTCGCTATCCTGCCGGAGTGCCAGGCTGTTAGCGCAGGTCTTCGGGCACTGCAGGACAAAGAGAATGGGGAAGTCTGAAACTAGGACTCGCCGGAAATGCAAAAGCAAATTAGAGCGATCGGTCCAATAAAGAAGGTAATCTTATATAGAGTGCCACATAATCGAGTTTAATCCAACAAGTAGCATCCACCAGCTTTACCATGTCTAATATTGCTGGGAGCTTGGGAGGATTAAAAGAAAAAGAAACTGCTCTCTCTCCCCAGAACCATCCGGATTCAGGCGTTAGACAGCCCTCCTCCTGATTGGGGTGGCTGGTTTTTCTTGCCTAGGGCTCATGTTTCCATTAGGCATTAAGCTCAGAAAAGCGACTGTCTAGTCAGTCCCCCATGATGAAGTAGGTTCTTGCAGATTTCAGCCCCCAGGACTTGCAATTTTACCCCCCCCCCACACACACACAGACCCAACATGTAAGGAAAAGGTTGGCTGGCCCTTTGGCTCAAAGCCCTTTCTGACTTCTTCCCTTTTCTGCAGCATCATCATGACCATCTCCTCCACGCTTCTCGCCCTGGTCTTGATGCCCCTCTGCTTGTGGATCTACAGCCGGGCTTGGATCAACACCCCTTTGGTGCAGCTACTACCCCTAGGGGCGGTGACCCTGACTCTCTGTAGTACTCTCATCCCAATTGGGCTGGGAGTCTTCATCCGCTACAAATACAACCGAGTGGCTGACTACATTGTGAAGGTAAGGTGCCTCTTCCCTTCTGTGCTCATCTACAGTCCTTGGTCTCTGACCAGCAGCTGAAATGCTACAAGTTTGGAAAGCAAGGAAAGGAAGGAAAAGTCTTGGCAGTACTTGCACGGATAAACTATGAAACAAGTTTATGCAACAAACTTTTGGAATTCCTAGAATTATAGCTCCAATTAAGATAGAGCTCATGCGTGGCATGGTGGTTCATGCTTGTAATCCCAGCACTCTGGAGGCTGAGACAGGAGGATCTAGAGTTCTAGCCAGTCTGGTCTGCGTAATGAGACTCTGTGTTAATCAAAACATAGCTTAATTAAAAACAACATACAGCTCTAGTAGCATTCATGGAGGGGAATCAGGCCATGGGGGGGTGGAGATGACAGTGCATGCAACCAAATGGCAACATTTTCCAATAACTCTATTACTAAAAAATCAAAGTGGATTAAATACAAGTATTTTAACAGAATTTGTACATGATTTTAGAAATGCATTGCAATATTTCCAGAAGTGGATCTCTAATTCTGAGAAACCTTGCAGTAAGTGCCCTTAAAATATTTTATTAATTAAAAAATAAGTTGACACTAGTAGGATTTTTAAAATTGAAAAGTCAGGTTGTGTTGATATAATGTGCAAAATACTGGTTTTAAAGCACAAAATAAAATTCGGTCCTGAATAATGTCGATTATATTACCATCGCTAAATTTGACTTTTCCTTCCCCACTGCATTATTTTATATGACTTCTAGAGCTCGGGAAAGAATGGGAGGTTTTTTTTCATTTTAGGCAGAATTTCTCCAATATTGCATTATTTTTAAAAATGGATGCTTTTATAGCAATAGAGATTTTCTAATAGCTAACTGGAGAAAAAATAGACTATTTGTAAATTATACTTTTTTTGAAAACTCAGCTAGTGAAAAAGAGAAAACCATGAACAGGTTGCTCATTTCAGGAAGTTAGTCAAATAAAATACATAATTAACTATTCTAAAACACAGAGTCAAATTCCTTTACACAAATGAGGGGGGAAAGAGACACTCCAGTGTTTCAGTTATGTAGACTTAAGATATAATCTTTTGTGTTTTACTTCTGTTATTTTCTAAAGTAATCTAACTATACATGGGGTCAGTCTTTACTTGTATGAAAAGTAGAGGGTGAAGAAATGATTAAAAGAACATGTGAATGTAATAAATACACTAGCATGTAAATATACATATATTTATACATAGTTATACAATACACCCATAATCTTCAGATGGATTTAGAATTTATTAAACTTAATCATTAAGCTAATGCATTATGCCATTATTATTATTGCCATTAATGGAATGACATTTACTATAAAACTTCAGGAATTTTCAAGGAATTGCAAGTTGAAAGAAAAAGAGCTATTTATACACTAAATCCAGAAGAAATATACTTAAATAACAAACAACTCAATAAGATTGGCTACTTTTACAATTAAAGTGAGTCTATCCATAGTCTTAATTAGCACACTATTAAGACATGCTTCATATAATTGTTATACTTTTGTAAACACTTGAAAATGAGCACTAAATCTCACTGCTCACCCAAATGATTTTAAATATTAAATACTTTAAAGGAACTTTGGAACCAATGTTTTTCAAAGTGAAGAATCATACTCTCTGTCAATGCTTTCAATGTGGTACATTTTCAGACTTAAGTTTTGATTTGTAATAGTTTGGTTTCTGCTATTTGTACATGTGTAGTATGCATACCTTATATAATAATTATTTCAGCATTCTCTAGGGTAAAATTTCTGACAAGCCCAGATAAATTTTAAATAATTTTTAAATAATTTTCAAGGCTAGGCACAGTGGCTCACAACTGTAATCCCAGTTACTTGGGAAGCGGAGATTGGGAAGCTAGTGGTTTGAGGCCAACTCAGGCAAAAAGTTAACTTTCAATAAGCTAGACATGGTGGCACATCCCAGCTATGTGGGAGGTGTAAACAGGAGGATTATAGTTCAGGCCAGCCCAAGTGTAAACATGAGACTGTGAAAAATAAAAGCAAAAAGGGCTAGAGTGCCTTCCTAGCAAGTGCAAGGCCCTGAGTTCAAACCCCAGTACCACTAAGAAAAAAAAAAAAAGCATCAACTATATGTCAATCCCACAGACTCCAAAAGGGTTCCTTCCCTCTTATAACCAGAGCAGCAGAGGCAACACTTGGGCAGTTCTCTCTGGCTCAATTCCCACCTTACCCCCATTACATTAAAAAAAAAAGTTAGCTACCAATCTGAAGAGGTACTAGGAGGGAATTTTTAGCTTTCTACATTACTATTTATTTGAATGAGTGAAATGTGCCAGTCAGAACATCAAGATGACATTTTTTCATGCTTTATACAGAGATAGCAGTATTATATCTAAGCCCATCTATTATAATTCCTAAGCATTGTTAGAAACTTCCAGATGGGAGATTTCTCATGAACAAATGAAAAAGAGAGGGGTGTGCAAAATTACAAGTAATTCCTCACATTTAACAGTTGCATTTTTTTCTGTTATATAATCTGAGTTCAAAATTATTTCAATATTGTTAACAATCCTCTGCAGTGTATTTGTTTATTGGTGGTACTGGGGTTTGAACTTAGGGCTCTGTGCTTGGTAGGCAGGTGTTCTACTGCTTGAGCCATGCCTCCAACCCTCTGCTCTGTATTTTGAAGGTAAAAAAGTCATACACTAGGTTAGTTTTTATTAAAAATTTTAGTGGCCTTTTATCTCTTGTAAAATGACAACTAATTTTTTATGGAAAACATGGGGTCCTGTTCAGAGAATGGAAACTTCCATTTGTCCACTCTGTTCCTCAGACCATCCCTGGGTTATCAGGCTCAATACTAACTGCTCCATTTTTAAGAAGCACATTGACAAATTTAATACATGCTCAGAACAGTCAGCACACTGAAACAAGCTACATGATGGAAGCTGAGAGGCTGGGAAGTTGCTTTGGAGAAAAATAGCCTTCCCCGGATTACCGGTTTACAACTTTCAAAGACTGGTCTCATACTGCTCTTGGGGACCCATCCAAGGCAATGGCCAGAAGCTATAGAAGGCAACTTGACACTAAACTTAAAGACAGGCCTCCAAACAAGCAGACCTATCCTACATGGATTTGAGTGCCTTCTGAAAAGGTGACCTCCCTATCTTTAGAAACACCAAAGATCTCCTAGATGAGTATTTTCTTCCGTGAGCCTAGGATTCTTTTGCTTGGATTCCTCTTCGGTGATCTATTACTGATGGCTTGTTTATCCATTTTCTGTTACTAGGTTTCCCTGTGGTCTCTGCTAGTGACTCTCGTGGTCCTTTTCATAATGACCGGCACTATGTTAGGACCTGAACTACTGGCAAGTATACCTGCATCTGTTTATGTGGTTGCCATTTTTATGCCTTTGGCAGGCTATGCCTCAGGCTATGGCTTAGCCACTCTCTTCCATCTTCCACCCAACTGCAAGAGGACAGTATGTCTGGAAACAGGGAGTCAGAATGTACAGCTCTGTACTGCCATTCTCAAATTGGCTTTCCCCCCACGCTTCATAGGAAGCATGTACATGTTTCCCTTGCTTTATGCCCTTTTCCAGTCTGCAGAAGCAGGGATTTTTGTCTTAATATATAAAATGTATGGAAGTGAAATACTGCACAAGAGAGATCCTCTAGATGAAGATGAAGATACAGATATTTCGTATAAGAAACTGAAAGAAGAAGAAATGGCAGACACGTCCTATGGTACAGTGAAAGCAGATAACTTAATAATGATGGAAACCACCCAGACTTCTGTCTAAACATGGAGATGCAGACGAGCTTCTATCTTACTGAAATGTTCCTTATATCTATGGCCTGTGGTGGGCTTATGGTTTACATAAAGAGTAACAATTGGTTCACGTTACTTCTAACAGTCTTGATCCTCCCATTGTAAAGTTGCAGTGGCGTAGTAACCAAGTGTTTTCATAAATTACAAATCAATGTCCTAATATAACTTGCACCTGGGTCAGTTATAGTGATGCCTCACCTGGTTACGTGTGCTTTTCGGTTTTCACTATTCCCGGTTTCTGTGACTGTTTAACAGATAGAAACTTGTATTAGAAAGCAGGGATTGGACCAGTACAATTTTGGTGCGCTATGTGAGTAAAACCAGCGATCATTGTAAAGCATAATTGAGTTTATGTAATTGTAAAACAGAATATGCTTGCTCAACTTCTAAATACCTGATAGTGTTAAATTTTGACCTGCATTTGGAAAAGTCCCAAACAGGTCAACGAAACAGTGAAATACAGTATTTTATTGTCAAGCCAGTATCAAATCAAGAGAAAATTACATTGATGCATTTGATTATTTGATCTGACATCTATTTATTGACAATGATCCACCAATATGTTTCCAGTGGATTCAGTTGGTCTTCTGCATTTATGTAAACACATGCCAAATCAGTTTATCTTTTGGAGAAATGGTTTGATTAGAACATGTAGAACTACTCTCCACTCCAGAGAAGAGCAAACTGGTACCTCCAGATCACCACTTGGGAAGGGGAACTCCAGAGAGCAAACAGCCTGTGAACTGAGACAACAGTTACTAGGCCCAAGCGGTTCCCACACCTTGGCATTTTGCTTACTAGCAACTCCTGGGACAATCAGGGTACGGGGACCACCTGGCCCAGCGGATCCCATGCTGATTCTCTGGTTGAAATCCTAATCTGGTCGGCCTTCTGTGCGCATCATCTAAGGGTGCTTGTGTCCGCCTCCAGGTGTGGAGAGTTTCCCTACGGAAGGTCGGGGAGGGTTCCCGGGTGGGGACGCGGGCGGTGGCTGGAAGGGCGCGGAGGGCGGTGCCGCGCGGCGAGGGGCCGGGGGCGTCTCCCGCCTCCCGGGGGTGGGGGGAGGCCGCCTATTTAGGGCGCGGCAGCGGGCAGCAGCAGCTGGGCTGCGTGTATGGCTGCCTTAGGGGACGAGGTGCTGGATGCTTACATGTACCCGGCGTGCGCCCCCTACTCATACCCCTTCCCCTACCCGCCGGCCGCCAAGGCCAAGGGCGCGGCGGTTGGGGATGGCTGGTGGCTCCGAGGCGGGGGCTACCCGGCCGCCGCCTCCCCCTTGTCCTCCTCTGCGACAGGGGCGGCCTCGCCGTCCTTTCCCGGCTGCGCGCCGTTGACGGCCGCCGAGAACTTGGACAGCTACCGACGGGCGCAGCTGGTGGCCCTCCTGTCGCAGGTGAGCCCGGGCGTCGGCCGCCTCCCGCGCCGGACCAGCAACCGCGACGTGGCGGTGCAGGTGAACCCGCGCAGGGACGCGGCGGTGCAGTGCTCGCTGGGACGCCGCACGCTGCAGCGCCGGCCGCGCGACCCCAGCCCCCCGGCCGGCCGGGTCCCCAGCGCCGAGGGCGCGGCGGGCGGCGGCTCGGCCTCCCCGCAGCCCGGCAGCCCTGCGGCCGGCGCCCCGCGGCCCGTGCGCTTCCCGCGCACCGTCGCCGTGTACTCGCCCGTGGTGTCCCGCCGCCTCACCGCCTTCCTGGAGGACGAGCCGAGGCCCGGGACGCCGGAGGGAGAGCGAGGGCCGCGCCCCGCGAGGCCGCCAAGCCCGGAGGAGGGCCAGGAGGCGGCGGAGAAGGCGTCCCGACAGCCGCGGTCGGAGGAGGACGAGTGGGAGCAGCCGACCGACGGGCCCGGGCTGTCCCCGCGGGAAGCCCGGGATGGCGGGGTGGCTCCGCAGCCCGCGCCGAGAAGTCGACAGCAGCTCCCGGCGGCGGGAAGGCCGGAGGACGGTGGGGACGGCGGGGACCGCGGGGACGGCGCGGAGGCGGCCGCCGCGCTGGAGGGGTCGTCGCCGCGGAGCGTAACGCCGGGCAAGGAGCGCCTGCGCTTCCAGGTGAGGCCATGGTGGGCCTAGGTGAGCTCGAGGAGGGAGGCCGGGGTCTCCTCCTGCGGCCAGGCTTGTCGCGACACGTGGAGATGCCACGCTTCCTTCTAGGGCGCCCACCTTGTCTGCGCGGGGGTTTGCAGCCGCTGAGCGCGGCAATAGAATCAAACTGAGGATAGCCTGGCTCGCTGGCAGCAACTTTGGTGTCCTAATAAGACTGTTCTTATTCTGATCACGTCTGCGCTGTAAGGCCCAGGCGATGGACGCATAGCCCAGTCTGGACTGGTCTTCGGATGAGGAAGATGAGCTACACACGCAGCAGAGCGCCAGAGGGTGAATTTACTGGCGGGAGGGTCAGTGCCCGAGGATCCCTCTCATTCCCCGACTAAATGTGGCAAACCCCGCAAAAACTGTCACAATCCGTTATGGACTGGGCTCCAAATCTGCTGTCCCCTGACTCTTGCCTCCATTTTCCAAGTGGACAGTCTAGAGAAGCTGAAGCTTCTGAGTAGCCCAGGCTGGCTTCCAACTAGTGGGCTTCCTGCCTACGCCTCCCAAATGCAGGAGGTACAGGTGTCCCCTATCATGCAGAAGCTTAGTACTGTATTGAGCCAGTACTGTGGAAGAATTCTCACCTCCCAGAAACTCAGTACTCCTTACGTCTTTGTAGTGCCCTGTGTTGCTCCGGAGACGGCCAGAGCCAGGCCCTCAAGGACTGGGGCACACCCTAGGTAGTTGTAACTCGGGGGAAGTGGAGCGTGGAAAGGTGTAAGAGGTGTAAAGGACCCTAAGGAGACTTTTTTTTTTGGGGGGGGGTGGTAGTAGAATGGGAGGGGGAATCAAGAAGCAAGGCTGTCAGTATTGGCTTGGTCATTGCCATACACAGCTGGATATGCTCTTAGGCAAGTCTTAACCTTCCTGGTCGTCTTGTTTGCTCACCTGTGCAATAGCAGCATAGTGCTCTCCAGAATACTACCGGCCCTAAAGGCCTAACTCTTAAAAACTTGCTTACAACTTCTCTCTGGGTGGGAAGAAAAGCTTAAAGATAAGGCAGTACTATTCATACTAAATGAACCATGCTTACAGATGTGTAGCAGGACTGTCTGATGGAAACTAGCAGCACAGTGATTTTAATCTGGGTGACACCTTGTAACAGAATCTTGGATGCACAGCCTTTTCAGTGTAACAACTTTCACCTGTGCATATTCTAAGCTCAGACCTTATCCTGCAAAAAAGACTTGGGTAACTCCATATCTGAGTTTTCCCTTGCCTGAGGGAAAAACATCTATTTGTCGATCAGCCTTATGAGTCAAATTAATCTGGTATATAAGCTGTTTGGGCTCCCATGTCTTTGTTTGACTAAGATTAACTCAATTACTACATTCTAGAGGCTTACTCAAACCTGACCCTATTTTCCTCCATTCCTTCATTCCTTTCTGGAATGAAGTTGCCCATTTTAAGTATCAAAAAGATCTTCCCAGCTTCTGAAATGAAGGATAATCCAGGTGACGTGTGGGTGAAATACTGCTGTCCTATTTAGTTCTTAGAGCAGAAGTATGGCTACTATCATTGCAAGGACTGTAACATCCGGTGGGAGAGTGCCTACGTGTGGTGTGTACAAGGCACCAACAAGGTAAGGGACACTAACTTACTGAATCTTCCTGCCAGAAGTGTCAAGAGGCTCTTGCTTCAAGCTGCTCTTCTGTCTCATCACAGGTTTACTTCAAACAGTTTTGCAGAACTTGTCAGAAGTCTTACAATCCTTACCGAGTGGAGGATATCACGTGTCAAGTAAGTGTTTGCATCTTGTGTCTGAGTTAGACAGTGGTAGAGGGGTTTAGTGTATCTCCTTGAATGTGTTTCCTAAGAGATTAGGTTCCCAGTGAGCTTAGGTTTTGATTGCTTTTTGCTGGGGGTGTAGAAATCATATCCACTGGGAAATATGGGGCCTGGTGTTATCTTCCTTCTGTGCTTGTAAAATGTAGTCATGTTAAGCCTCTTTGGAACCTGTGACCTCACTTTCAGTATGGAAGAATGCTTGCCTACCTATTGAAGGGTCTAATGTAAGAGAAAACTGAAATAGGATACTTCGCTGCTAACTTGCAGTAGTAAACATTGACTGTTTTATCCAAATACTTCATAGAAAGCACATATCCAAATATTTGGCATAAGCACAGGAGTTCAAAGTTTGTTTTGCCTAAGAGCTCACAAATGGAGTTCAAGATCATTTTAAGTTTCCTAGCTCTATGGGTTAACTCATAACATAGCTTGCTTACTACTAAGCATTTGCTTAGCACTGTGCAAAGGGGCTTAGATAACCTCAGGAAAGAAGTGACTATATTTACCTGTTATCGCATAGCTCATTGAGCCTGAATTGCCGTTTGAGAGCCTAATCAATGCACTTGACTCGAGCTGGATATTGGAAGCTTTGGGGTGGGTGGAAAGAAACATGGGAAACCATCTAGAATCCCTTGGGTTGGGGAAAGCACCTCTTGAAAGTTAAGATGCCTTAACCATTCTGCTCTTGGCTTTCAATGACAAGTTCAACCTTGGCGAGTAGAGAACAAATCATCTTTCTGGTGCAGGAGACATCTTCTTAGGGGGTTGTTTCATAAGAAACTTTACACCCGAGAATCGAATCCACTGCCACACATGGCAACATAAACACCCTTTATTCCTCACTGTCACAGCTAGGTAAGGATGTGCACACAGTCAAGACCTTAGAGTGCATTCGGGAAGTATTGGGATGGACTAGAAATATCACTGAGAGGTCCTAAAGAGGTCACTAGGGTTTATCTGTATTTCTTTTTTTTTTTTTCAGAGTTGTAAAAGAACTAGATGTTCCTGCCCAGTGAGACTTCGCCACGTGGACCCTAAACGTCCCCATCGGCAAGACTTATGTGGGAGATGCAAAGGCAAACGCCTGTCATGTGACAGCACTTTCAGCTTCAAATATATCATTTAGCAAATGTAAAAATGGTTCTGTCTAACATCGTCAGTGGAGTAGACAAGGGAACTTCATTTCATGCTCCTCCTTCCCTCTCCCTTCTCAAAATAGCTTGTGAAAGGCAGTGTACTCTGACAAAGCCTTCAAATAAAGGTATTGCAAAACGGTGCCTAAGACTCCGCAACTTATGTCTCGAGGTTGGCCTGTCACCTTCACTTCATTAACATCTGTCTATAGCATGCAGTGGACCAGGCTGAGGTAAGTAGGTTACAAGCACTTGAGAAACTATTTAGAGGCTCGGACTTGTGGAGGTGAAGTCTCTAAGAAAGAAGCTAGCTGAATCTTAAACATTTTTGGGGTCGGGGAGCACTGCGATTTGAATTTAGGGCTTCATGCTTGCTAGGTAGGAGCTCTTCCCACTTGAGCCACTCTGCCAGCTCCCCCAAAACACCTTTTAAACATTAAAGCATTCTTCTGGGGTAAGTGCAGGCAGACTCCAGATTTGCGACCCTGGAAGTAACCTAGAGAGTGGCTGGTGGGGTGCAGTGGAGGTGTAGAAGCTTTAAAGCATACAGGTGACCTTAAGTAGACTGGGAGAACTAGCCAGCCTGACCATAATCTCACAAATGTGGCACAAGGGAGGCTTGGAACAGGGGATGACTTGCTAGCTTCTTCAAGAGGTGAACATCAGTGGCAGTTCTGTGGTGTTGGGGTTGATCCTGGGGCCTCAACCATGCTAGAGCAGGGCTGTATCTTAGAGCTTCAGTTCCAGCCCTGGTAATTTTAAAGGACAAATTCCAGGTGTGATGGCGCACACCTCTGCAACCTTGGCAGCTGCTAGGGGCTATAGCCTGGGTTACCCAGGAAGCCCATCTCAACGACTTCCAAAAAAAAAAAAAAATTAGGTCTCCTGCTTTAGAGATTTAGACGCAGGCCTGGCTTTCATTGTCTTTATAGTTAGACTGGTACGTAGCTGTCTGTACTGCACCTGACAGCTGCCCTAAGTGACTCCCAGAGGAATGGATTCCACTGGCAGGTCTCTGAGGTGGACAGCTTGGGGTTTAGAGCCTGAAGTGCTAATGAGGCTGAGTTGGGGGTTATTGGTTTAATGACCAGGCCCCACTAATGCCTCCTTCCAGTTTTCTGAACACTCCATTTAATGTTACTGCTTGAAGGGCTCTGGTTAGTATGTAATCAGAGGGGATAAAAGCCTAAGGTGGGTTTGAAGCCTCTCTAGAGCCCTTGTTCGGAGGGGGAAGGCCTACCTGTGTCAGTGTGGAACTAGCCAGAGTCCTAGGCACCTGCCCCACTGAATCGCTGCTGGATGAAGTGTCTAGTAAGTACTGCAGGTGTTGCTGATGGAAATGTGAGCAGCACCTGCTTAGTCACATCTCTACTGAGTACGGAGAACCAGCACAGTATGGCCTCCACCTTATGCAACTTTCTGTAGAGAGAAGGCTGTTAACTTTTACATAAATGTAAAATGGGGGTTCTGACGTGATGTTAGGCCTTTGGGCCTACCTAAAGGATTGACACCAGCTGAGTGGGAAAGAAATCTTTCACATTAGGAAAACGTGCAAAGGCCCTGTGGTAGAGAAAACCAGAAAAAAGGTCATAGTGGAAGACTACTCGAGGACAAGATAGATGAAGCTAGTGGGGCCAGACTGGGAGGGCTCTACAGGGCCTACTCAGTAGGCTGTGCCTTAGAATCATTAAAGGCTTCAAAGGTGTGATATGGGGGCATGGGCAGAGACCCACTTAAATTTTTTCCCCCATTCTCAATACAGACCAGGCAGAGGCCCTGGGCTGAGGTGTATATGGGGTAGGCTTACTTTGCCGCCTCTTTGTATCCAGTCAGTGTGAGAATGGCCTGTGGTAAGCACCAGGAAGCCAGACCCACTTTTTAAGAAATAATCACTGTACAACTAAGGAAACTTACAGGGACTGATGAATTGGTGGGGCCAAGAAGTGAATGCTAAGAACTTTAGGTGTGGGTAAAGTAATGTTTTTACTTGTTCGTGGTGCTTTTTTTTTTTTTTTTTTTTTTTTTGGTGGCGTACTGGGGTTTGAACTCCTGGCCTCATTGCTAGGCAGGCGCTCTACCACTTGAGCCAGCCCTGTTTTGTGTTGGGTATTTTGGAGATAAGGCCTCGTGAACTGTTTTGCCCAGGCTGGCCTCAAACCTTGATTCTCTTAATCTCTGCCTCCTGAGTAGCTAGGATTACATGTTATTTTTGATTTGGTTGGGAGCAGATACAGGAAAATTCATCTGACTCCCATACATGCAAGGAGCACATACTATGTACTTAAGCATTCATTAAATAAGTGAATGAACTATAAAAACCTGCCTGCAACTAGTCCTGAGACAAATTCTCAGGCTATTAAGGTGGGTAGTTAAAATCATTTTTAAAAATGTTTTTGTTACCACTTTTCCTAACAATGCAGCTAACCCTACTTTACATTTGAGAAAGGTGAGGCTCAGACTGTTCTACTTCGGGTGCGTGAACATTCGGATGCCCAACAAAGCGGTCATGAGTTACAATGACTGCATTCTAGCAATGAGAGCACCACCAACTGCCCGTGTGTGTGACCCAAACCTCCCAAAATGTGAGGAGCTTTAAAGACAGAGGCTAGAATACTCCAAAATGTTATCTATGGTGTTGAGAGGTCATGGCAGTTGTCCACATTTCCTTATCTAAAGTAACCTTGGATTACTTTGAAAATCAGAAAACGAACGCTATAAAATAACTACACTGGATCAGCTATTTTGCTTCATTTAGGTGAAATACGAGCAGCTGTTCCTCACGCATAGACCTAAATCAGCGCTGTGCTCTGGCACTGGACAGTCTTTGCAGACAGGTCATCCAGTGATTTCCTCAGATTAAGGTAAGCTGTGGCTAATAGCTACATTTTCTACATCACAAAAGAAAATATTTTTGTTGTGCAAAAGTCCTTTGGCTATCTTAGAAGTAGCATGAACAAATTGCCAGATCTCTTTTGCTGTTACTTCATAAACAATAAATTTAATGGAGAAAGGGTTGTATGTAGTAAAAACTGGGTTCTAAGCAGAATGAAATAAGGTAATAGATTAAGCACTTGATGTAGTTTATCAGTAATACGAGGGGAAAATAAGTGTAAGTTTGGGAAAAATCCAATTGCAAAAATATATCCTAATGAACTTGGTTGCATATTGCTTTCTATAGGTGTACTCATTTTTATATATTTCTAAATTACATATAAATGCAAAAGGCCAGTTTTCAACTGTTGAAAGTTTTGGTTTGGGCAGTCTATTTTGACTACTTTTGTTCTCTTTTTTAAAAGTTACTTGAGAGCTCTGCAGGTACCCTTTAAAGTTTCTAAATGATGCACACTACAGTCGTTCATCCATTTTAAAAATACCACACAAACCAAGAGCTACAATGCTTTTTATTTTTAACAAAAAGGATCTAAGGAGGGTGAGGAAAAAAAAGGGGAGAGTAAGCTAGGATGTAAAGTGTGGTGTGTCTCTGGACACCATCCCTCTCTGCCTGCCCCACACCCAACACTTATTAAATAATTTAAAGGACACCATTTACAGTACCAGAACACCGTTAAAATAATTTTTTTTATCAGGGTCAAAAAAATACAGTGATTATGAATGTGCCGTGACCAGTTATGGAATCTTGCAGGAGACATAACTGTGGTCAGCAGTCCAACGGCGTGCACAGTGCCTTCAATTAATGCACTTGAGCATAATTACATTTCTGGCAGGGTCCACACCCCCAAGAAAAGGCAAAGCTAAGCATTTCATTTCTACATTCCAAACTCTGGAATCACAGAGCCTAGTTGAAAAAGAAAGTCACAGTGGGTAAGAGATGCATATAAAAAATACAAGGTGTTCCTTTCAAATCAGGAGTCGTGGGACTACATTCATTTCTTTTTACAAAATGCTATTTAAAAAAGGACAGAGAATCCAGTTCGTGTTATGCTACAGACTCAGACAGTGGATAAGTATATTGCGTGTTTTGGTAGTCAGTCTTCAGGCTTCCTTTCTTTTTGTCCCATAGCCCCAGGTTCCTTTAAGAAATGTGAGTCCTGAATAAACACATAAAAATGCATTTTGCATCTCTTCTCTTGAATTCTGCGTACTTCAGAATCTGCAAACCACATATTCTGTCATCAGTGACCACAATTTTTCCTTTAGCTTTGTACACCTATTCTTGTATAACAGTGCATGGCACGAATGTACAAGAAAATACTGGTTTTAGTCTATACAGTTCCTGTAATAATTATGGAGTAAAATAAGTTAACTTTTCTAAGGAGAATAGCTGACGGGCAGCACACATCTTTATTTTACATTTTAAAGTCTCTGCAGGCGTCTACTTTGGTTAGTTATCAACAATCATAACATAAGCACTGATCAGAGAACTGAGCAGCATTCCAATAACGTTAACAGATATATTATTTCTTTTTGAAATACTGGGAAGGCCCAGTTTTAAAATATTATTAAAATGTTCTAACATTTACACACTAGGAAGAGTTAGAGCTAATAAAATAAAATTTCTTCAAAAATAATCTTGCAGTGCTCTTTTAGGCATGCTCTGAGAGTAATCACCAGACATCCATACCTTGAAAATAGGACTGTCACATATTCACACATCCCAACTCACACACACAATTCCTTACACAGACCAAGAAACAAAAACACTCCAAACCCTTATCCCATAAGTTGGAAAAAAAAAAAAAACTCAATTTTTTTTTTTTTTTTTTTTTTTTGCAAATAAGTCTTGTGTATAGCTGTCCTACTGGATGTTCACGTAGATGATGAAGTAGTAACTGTGGATTATGTTGATGACTGGTAGAAATCCAAGTCACTTTGCAGGTCTTCAGCTACAATGAACCAGCCTCCATTTCAGCCCCATGTCACCTGCTCTCCATGTCTCAGAATTACAGGCCGTTATTGCAGACTCTCTTGGAATTCTTCTTTCTCCAGAAAGTAATATATGCATCACTTTTAGCCCTTTTCTTCTCACGTAGGTTAAGTAACTAAAAAATTTTTTTCATACAGTTGTTATGGGAGGTATTGGCAGCTGTTAAATAGTCCTCTCTTCAGATCTTTGCTTTTCATGGTTTGCCATTTGTTACGCTTTAATTGTAAACGCTGCCAGAAAAGTTCTCAGTGAATTGCAAGGGTTCATAAAAGGTGCTTGGTTAATATTCTTAATCATCTGCAGTTTAGTTTTCCTCTCTGTAATGTCTGACACTTCTCAGAACCCGGTGCTCACCATGTTTGCAACGGGCCTGGCCTGTGTTAGAGGCTGGTAGGATTGCACCATGCGCAGAGACTCTCTTATCTCCAGATTGAGCTCCATCAGTTTGTAGTTGGCTTCTGACATGTCCAGGTTAGAGCCTATGACTGCAAAGCTGCCCGTCTGGCCCAGTGTCTGATGATGGAAGTAGATATGCAGCAGCGTCTGCACAGGGTCATCGTCACAGCTGCCAAAGATGTCGCTGGGCCACAGAGTTCTGAAAACACAGGGTTGTTTTGGTTTAAGTTCTCAGATGTAAGAAATTATTAGTAGCTACTGTGTTTAAATTAATACCTATTACAACCAAATTGCCTAGTGCATAACTGGTATATTTTAATATTTGCGCAGATATATTACTCACCACCTGAGGGTGGAAAAAAATCTAACAAGGGTATTGAAATAAAGTCACGTTTGCTTTTCACAAAGACATGACATTGAAACGTCACGATTGAAAACTCTGAAAATGCCCAGTCTGGTTATATAAAAGCATCTTTAAATCCATGTGCCTTTTACCTGAAAGCTTTGACTTGTGCTACAGCTGAAATAAATTCCTTATTTTTCAAAGTTTCAATTAGAGAATGAATGGCAGTTTCTATCGTGGTTTGCACAGCTTTGGAAATGTCGATTTCTTCGTTTTCCGAAGCAGCCTCGGCTTCTTTGAGTATACTTTCCAGCTGGGCAAGCCCCTCCGACATGTTGATGACCTAAAACAAACACAGCTTTAAGGGGCTGCCCAACCTTCAGCAGACGGGGACATTTAGTTGGCTGGCACAATATACCTGATGGCAATAGCATTTTCTCAAAGTTCATTTTCAAATGTTGAATATTTCAAGGCCTCCTTTCAGTAGGAATAATTTTATCCACCAAACAGCAGTGTTTAAATCCCCCCGCCCCCCCCCATGCACCTTTTTTTGAGCAGGGCTCATTAGATAGCCCAGGTTACCCTGAACCTGAGATCCTCCTGCCTTGGTCTCCCCTGTGCTGAGAGTACGGACAAGCATCACCATATACCTGGTTTAAATATTCTTAATAATTCAACAAGTTGTAATAAATGTTTATGTTGGTTTTAACAGATTGCATGTTACATTTTGGACAGTAAAAATGCATTTACTGTTATGGGGGAGGATCATGAAAAAAATTTTAATGGTAAAGGAAGAGTCCTTATTTTAAAAGAGTTTTTTTACCCTGGGTTCTTTATATAAACACATACAGGCACATATATTTTTCTCCTTACAGATTTAACAATTTAAAAAACTCAATTATTTCTCCAATGATAGTTTTGCCCCCCTTTATCTGCTGATATTAAAACTAAGTGCACTACGTTTGAACCTACACTTTAATGGTTTTCAACATGTTTGTTCTTGTGCGCATTCAGAAGTAAATGGATGTGACATTGGGTCTCACTGACTTGATGTGTTCCTCTAGAGAAGATCTGTTTCTACCACAAAAACCTTTGTCTTGAACCTCTGAAGATGGCTGGATGTTGGTCACCTTACTGATGCATCCTGACATAGCACATCATAGAAAAGGATAATTCCTTAGCTGATAAAAATGATCCAATGTAAGTGTCTTTTGGCTAGCTATTCAAAGAAGGAACACACATATATATAAAACTTTAAAATTTTCTAGAATCATGACACCTCCAGAATATTTACCTCTGCTTCATTTTTTATTGCATTTACTTGGTTGATAAGTTTACAGTAGGCCTGGAAGAGAAGCAGCAACTGAAAATGCAGTTTGTATAACCTTCGGCAGAGCTCCAGTTCCTAGAAGTAAATATTACATTAAATTTAGGTATTATTTTCCACGTGTGACTAGACAGCATACTTCCAATAAAAATTTATAAATAATCATGTTAAAAATGTCTTGCCATTTATTTTTCTGCAGTAAGCAAGTTAATATGGTGTGCAGTCAATGAAAGGCAGATGAAAGATGCTTTGAGGATTGGCAATAAAGTAAAAACAAGGTCCTTGTTGGTTACATAATTCCTTTTTAGTGTAAAGCACACTTTTACCTTGGACAAATAGAATGTACCAGAAGGCAATATACAGGATGCTTTAAAACTTTAAGTTCATAATGGGAGGAATTTACAAATGCATCGACTTTTGCCCCCATCGCATCTGTCAACAAGTGCTTGGTAAAGCAAAATGGAACTGGGTAACCTCTTACCTAAAGAGTAAGACGAGTGTGTCTTAAAAATGGAGTCATTTCTTATTGAGGTCAGACTATGAAATTGATATGTGCATTTTGATTTTTAAAATTAAAAAATTTAGAAGGCAGTATGTTAGTTATAGATTTAGAAAAAGATGACTAGTTGTACATACATATTATAAGATCTCATTTTATAGAACCAACATTTCATGGATTAGGGCTATGCAAAATCAAAGCACATACTACTTTTAAAGTAGTCCATGACAAAACATTGCTAGGTCACAAAAGGACAAATGGCAGATGAGAACCAGTTTGTCTGGTAACGATAAGGAGTCTATGAATCAAGACAGTCACTTACTGCTAGAATTTCCATTTGCTAAGCAAGAAGGTGATCGGGTCACAAAAAATACAAAGAAAGAAAAAAAGACCAAGAATTAGTGTAAGAAATCATATTAACTAGGGTCACAGCTGTCCCAGGCAAAATGAAGAACATTTATTTCACCCCAAAGAAAATTTTATTTCCAGAATACAACTTTCTAGACATTGCAACAATTCAGGGTGGTTTTTTCTTTTATTTTTTAACTCTTTGCCAAATAACTCAAATTCATTTTGGCTACGCCTTTTTTTTTTTTGTAAGAGCTATAAAGAATAAAACAGAACTGAGGAGATCTTGGGAACTTTGGCTATTCTAAGTGTTCATCTATATAGGTTTAATAGCATTTCCAAGAAGCAACAAAACCCCCCAAACTAAACCCAACTGTAGTAAAATTTCCATCAGTAATGTGGAAAACTAACAATTTGAAAATAAATTACCATTGTTTTTCAAGAAAGAATTGGCTTTTGATTTTACATAGTAAATACTTACCCATGAGAAGATTTTCTCTGGGGGGGCTCATTCTAGACTTCCTACCCTTCAATGTCTAATTAGGCCCCAGGTTGCCTTAGGTGCTGAGCCACAGGGCAGAATATCAAGAGCAGATGTGTGTTTTACCTTGCACTCCAAATGTCATTTAGTGTAATGTCAGAAATTTGGTCTAACTGGTTTGAATCAAAGGAAATAATGTATGTAAAACACATTGTGAAAAATCTTAATTTATGGATTATCAACAATTATCACATTAAAATATCTACAGCAATTTGGACCTGGTCTCATTAACAGTGACTTGTAATTAAAAGCAATTATTTATATAAAATGTAGCTTCTACAAGTCATTCTTGAACCTGTGTTTCTAAATAGTTTCCTCTGAAGGACTGTTTATAGAACATTTATTCCTGTCAATTTAGAAAGGATTTGTTAAGCAAAGGTGAACTTTAGCTCCACCACCGCTTTCCGCAGTCATGTGGACAGTCACTCAGTGAACATTAGCAGAACACACTCCAGTACCAAGCACATTAGCATGAGGTTTTACTTTATGGAGTTCATTTCATGTGGGAATTAGCGTTTTAAATGCTTTTCCTTCTATTAGCAAACGCAGAAGGGGCTTTCCACACACATATGCAGGACCTCTGCTTTGAGACTGGAATGAAAAACATCATCACTGATATAGCCTACTTCTGAGTGTCACAGTTATGAAATAGTGCAAGTGTAATTCTGTAGTTCTGGATTTCCAGAAATAGTCTATAAATATGCTAGAAGCACAGCTCTGCAGGATGAGTGTACATGTGTATATTTTAAACATTGAAATTTGCACATATATTCTCCACTAATTCAGTGGATTAGTAACTATTGACTGCTTATTATGCAAACGGTTATTGGCACACGGGGCGAGAAAGTTGTGTAAAAAGGGCTTCCCATTCACCAGAAGTGGAACGTGGCCGGGATGTAAGAAACCACTTAGCACATCCGCCTAATTTACATAGAAAAAGGTCCATCACTTGCTCAAGAGATGCATTTACTACACATTGGCAATAATGTCCTTTGGATCTAATTCTAGTCCAGGCTTAATTCCATGTCTTCCCTCATTTCTTTACACAGATGATTTGAGTTTTCTCCCTAAAATAGTGAAGGATTTGGAATTAGCTTGCCTAGGTTTGAGTCTGGTCCTCCTGTTTACTTACAAGTTTTAGATAAATTAGCTTCTCTGTTTCCTCATTTTCAAAATGGGAATAGTGAAGAGAATCTCTTGCCTGAGTTGAAAGGGCAGAGATAATCAATGTGAAATGCAAATCAAAACAGTGCTCTGAATGGGATAACAGTAAACTAAACTTTGATTTTCTGAATATTTCAGCTTTTTCAAAACATCGTATTTTTATCATAATAGTGTAACCTTCATAGAGACTAGAAATCTACAATATAACTGAAGTTGAAAAAGACTGGAATTCTCATGTCAAATGAGGAGGTTGTTTAGTCAATAAATGCATTGTCCCCATGTGGCTCCTGTTAGGATCGTTTGTGGATCTTAATACAGCCTTGCTTACCACAATGTACATGGTATGGACATGAACCTTTCTCTAAGAAAATACACTGCGATTGTTTTCACTGACTTTATACCAGAGAAAAACATAATTACCCAATCAGAGGTTTCATGTGTAGAAAGGCAAAGGTGGATACCTATGACATTACTTTTTAGGGTTGCTTGCCTGACCAGACCACATATCTGCAGAACACTAATGCACAGCAAGGCTGTTTTTTTTCTTTTTCCTAAGAGGCAGAGGCAACTAAAAGCCAACCTGGACTGTCCAGATACCCATAAGCTTATCAACTGAATGTTATTAAACTTAGACACAACTTGCTGCTTCATTTTTATGAAAGTGAGTTTTTCATTACTAAGTCAGTATCTCACTGAACCTAAATTTACAAAGATTGTTCTGATAAGCAAAAAGAAAAGGTTTATAAATATTCTATTTCTAGGAATGGCAAGCAAGGACACTTGAACACACACACACTGTTCTATCTGATTCAGAAACCTACCAAAAACCAGAATAAAGGACTTACTTGTGCATCTGTGTTTATCCAATATGTGTCTTTTTTAGCACCAAACGTCTTCTTACAATTGTCTAACCACTAAAGAAATAACAGTGAATTTTAAAACAGTAATTGGAAAATGCATAGCAAGACTAGTAATATAAGAGTCTGTTCATATAGAACAACAAAGTTACAAGGTAACATGGAATTCTAGGATTAGTGTAGACATAGACTTTTATCTAATCATTTATATGGAACAAACAAAGCAGGATAATCCAGTATAACAAGATGTACATACACATTTGTGAGTTTTCTAATGAAACGTTTGTCTTCTAGGGACCTGTGGCCCCCCATTTCAGTACAAGTTTTTTTCTTTTGGAGATTTTATTGGAAATCTTCACAGTCTATAACTGACCTTTGTCTAATGTACGATGGGGAAATGAAAGATTTGCTTTCTCTCTGGTCAATTTAATACAGCAACTTAGCATTAACCTGGCCTGTTTGCTTATCGGAAGTGTAATTCTCAGAAGACTGGTGTCAGGTTTGATTAGTGAAACAGAAACCAAGATCCATTTAAATCTTGTTTCTATTTCTTTTTTTCTTTTCTGATGGTAATAAATGACAAACATGTTATCTCCAAAGAATACTGGATAGAAGCCAAATGTGGTTTTTCTTTATCCAGGACCTATTTCCAAAATTGATATTAAAGCACATTTTTTTTTCAATCAAGTAAAAATAAAATAATGTTAGGTAGAGTAGAAAAGAATGCTGGAACCATGGAATTTCAAGCTGCAGTAAAACCTAAGAGCCTTCATATTAAGCTTCTAGGTTTTGATAGTTTGATATTGTCACTTCTTTTGACTTCTTAGGGTTTTTTTTGATATTATTAAATATAATATATAAAACTAATTCATAATAAACCATTTGGACTTTTTCCTTTGACAGAAACTATTAGCTACATTAAGCAGCCACTTGGTAAATACTTTAGTATCAGACATTGAAAATTCTCAATTGTAGCTTAATGTTCGACATGCAAAGAATTAAAAGTAGACATCTTGGTTATTTCAAAAACAATCTTGTCGGCCTTCTGTCCTTTTTATCCCAGTCACTCAGACTGTGCCAGCCTTCAGGCTGTTTTCTTGACAGCATCTCTAAAGAAAAACATGTTACGCTTTTCTGGTGAGATGTGGCCAGTGGCAGTCACTGTCAAAAGCTATCAGCAGATTTCTTTACATCACCAGAGTTCAGTTGATGTTTACTATGGAATTGGTGCATTCATCTCTAGTCATACAAAATGCTAAAATGTTTATGTATTTAGTTATCATCATTATGCTTATCCAGTTTGTCCAAGTATACCCACACACTGGGAGAGAATAGTTTCAGGTGGTTCAATAACTTACTAAATTAATTTCTTATTGTGTATACTATTGATACAGCATTTTAGGGAGCGCTATTTGATATCATTTTTTTCTAGTTAGCCCATTAAAAGACAAACTCCAGCCACACAGTTCCATGGCTACACAATGGCCAGCAAAGTGCAGGTCCACCATGCCTTTCCAGCAGTCCAGATAATAGGCAGTGGAGAGTCTGTATAGAGAACACCCCCACTTCCCATCTAATTGGTCTTCCTGTCATGTTTTCTTTTCAAGGCTCAAATGAAAGTTGAGGGAGGTTCCATTACTATATATGATAGAGTGGCTGGTATAAGATCAATCATCCATGGAAAACTATTGATGCTAAAAACTACCAGTCAGGACTTGGGGAGTCAGAGGAAGTCCTGAAGTGAGCCCTTTATTAATCCCATTGCTTACTCTAGGGGTGTTTGTCACTTCTCATCTCTGGGTGCAGAGACTGAACAGACAACGACAGCCTCAAGTTTGTGCCCCATGGTTTCTGTAGGCTGGGAAAACAAGAGTTATCAAAGATAGTGAGGTAGTGAGGGTCCAGGTGTTGGAGAAAAGGGATGCTCAGAGAATTGAGTATGTGTGCAGTTTCCTCTTGGGGTCTTGTTCTTCTGTTGATGATATCCAGGAGGACAGGCTAAGAAGAAAAAGCAGAGATTCTGGTCTCATGGTGCTAGGGAGACAAAATACCATCAATTCCTACCAAGATGGTAGGAATCCTGGTGAATGCCTCAGGTTTTCACTCCTGGTCCTTAGGAGATCTGAAGAGTAATAAAAGAATGTGCAACAAAAATACTAGTGGGGGTGGGTGTGTGGCTCAGTGGTAATACATTTGCCTAGCAGGTGCAAGGCACTCACTTCAATCCCTAGCACCACAAAAAAACAAAAGCTAGGAGAGAGGAGGGATCTGCATAAAAACACTTGATTGACAGAAGGAAATAAAAAAAAGGAACAAAGACTAGATAGAACAAGAAATAGTTATAGTACTCCGGAAGGAATCTCCCATACAAATATTCAACCGACTTAGCACATTTGTTTTCAGAATTGCAGCAGCACCTTTGTTATAAACTATGTGATTATGTGAGTGTGGATCTCCTATTGTGTTCACTATTGTACTCCATTGGTCTATTTTTCTATTCTTACGCAGGAAGGACCCTGTTTGAGATTTGCAATAGGTCTTACTGGCTATAAGTCTAAATCTTCAAACTTTGGTGTTCTTCATGGACAAGTTTAGAAGACTTCTGTAAAGGGCAATAGTAAATATTTTAGGCATTGCAAATCATATTGTCTCAGCTGCAATACTTAACTCAGTGTTGTAGCATGAAAACAGCCATCTATAATATGCAGACAAATGGGATAGCTATGTCCGAGAAAAACTTATTTTCTTTTTTTTTAAAAACTTTTATTTTCAAAAGTACATGGTTGGTGGTGGTGGCGGTAGGGGAACTGAAGGACTGGCTCAATTGGTAAGGTGCCTGTCTAGCAGGTGTGAGGCCCTGAGTTCAAACCTCAGTACTTAAAAAAAAAAAAAGCAGTGGGCTAGATATGAGTTGAAGGTTGGAGTTTGCTGACTTATGTTCAAGAAAATTTTGTGCACTATTAGCTGTTTGTATTTCCATATAAATTTTAGAATCAAATTCCATTAACGTACTGTCTGAGATTATGAAGTTTGAATGAGATCATATTAAATCTACAGATAATTTTAAGGGAAAAATGACAATATCAAGTCTTCTGACATGAAAATGAAACATGGTATGATATCCTCCATTTATTTAGGTGGTCTTTAATTTCTCTCAGGAATGTGTGGTTTTCTGTGTAGAGGCCTAATGCATCTTTAGCTAGATTTATTTGGCTAGACATTTGATGTTTTCTGATTAAAAACCAACTACCCTAAAATTTAAGGTTTATAGTGACAAAGAAGGAAGAACATTTGCTGTATATATGAATCTGTGTGATGGCTGGGAGTTTCTTCTGATTTTGTCAAGGGTCAATCATGATTCTACAGTCATCTGAAGACTTGCCTGGAGCTGGAAGTTCCAAGCTGGCTTCGCTTCTATGCCTGTTTTACCCACTTTGCTGGCTGGCAGTAGGATGTTTTCATAGGATCTCTCTGGTCTCCTCTGTATGGCCTCTTCATTCCCCAGTAGAATAAAAGTCAGAATTTTCCAGAGAGTATCCCAATTTACATTCTGATTAGCATGATGGCAGAAGCCAAAGCTGTGAAAGCCTCTTAAGGACTAAATCTTGGAAGTTTCATAGCACTGCTTCTATATTCCAGGGGTTAGAACAAGTTATGAGGCCATTCTAGACTCAACAGGTGAAAAACAGGCTCTGGAAGGGAGGCACAGCAAAGCCAGGTTGCCAAAGAATGTGGAGTGTGGACACAGGGAGGCATAATTTATTCATGCAACAATCTACCCCAGCTTTTAGGGTGGGCAGTGATTGCTGAAGACACCGATGCATAACCATAGTGTGAAAGACTGGTATCTTGGGCTTAATTAAAATTAAAATTTCAAGTCATCAAAAGATGCTAAGATAGTGAAAATGCTAGCCACAGAGTAAGAAAAATATCGGCAAATCCAATAAAAAGTTTATATTTAGGGCTGAAGGTGTGGCTCAAGTGGTAGAGCACCTGCCTTGCAAGCATCAAATCCTGAGTTCAAACTCTAGTACCATCAAATTTTAAAAAAGCTTATATTTAGAATAAAGAGCTCCTACAAATAATTGAGAAAACCACAAATAACCCATTTGCAAAAATGCGCAAGGCACCTGAAAACATAATTTGAAAAATATCTAAATGAAGATTATCTAAATGAAGGAAATGCAAAACATATGAGATATACCAACCAGAATGACTAAAGATTTTAAAGACTGCAATACCAAGTAATGGCAAAGATATAAAGCAATGGAAAACTCTTGTAGATACTTCTGATTGTAAATTGATACAACAACTTCCTTTGGAAAATTGCTTGGCAGAATCTACTGAAGTTGAATGTCCTTAACCCAAAATTTCATTCCAAAATATATACTCAACAGATATGTGAAAAGTATCCAAAATCTATGCATAAGAAAGTGTCTAGCAGTGTGTGTAAGGCAGTCAGATCTTGCTGGTAATTTCCTGATGTTGAAAGCTCTTTCTTTTCTCCAGTCTGTCGTTACTTTGTCAGTGTAACTATAAGATCGCTTTCTCCTGATAAGGAGAGAAAGCCTTAAGAGAAGCATTTTGTTTCCTGAAATAATCCTCCAGTCAAAAATTTACCTAAAGTCCAAGGCACATCCCCATTCCATGAAGTTTTCCTGTTAGTCCAAAGGAAAAAAAAAATGCCTATTGTATGCAGTTTGTCTGAAAGGGAGAAGCATTTTTTTCTTTGTCAATTGAAAACACGCTCATTTACTCCCATGCAATTGGGCCAATCTGTTTTTCAATGCCATTTTTTAGTAAGACCCATTTTTTAGTGAGTAAAATCTAATTTAACTACATGCATGTTTCCCCCTTTGCTTGTCTGCACACACGCACACACACACACACGCACACACACACACACGCACACGGGAAAAGATCACAGTTTTGTCAGAGGATGCAAATATTCTAGACCACAATTATGTAATGCGTTTTCAAATACTGCTTCTATTTCCCCACTTGCAATGTTGACTGCAGCACTCAGTCTCCACACAGCAGCATTTTACAAAAGCTACAGTTTCTTACTGTGCTCTTAGGCTATTAGAAGGTCAATTTCTAAAAGCCAAAGCCAGAAATTCACTGAACAGAGAAGAGAGCTCCCAACAAACTTCAGAGCCCAGTGTAAGAGGGTTTCTTTTCTGTCTCGGCTATTCTGTTGCCAGGTCAACACTTCCAGGGTTAAAAGCAAGCTACCTTTTTACATAGTAAAAGAAGACTGACCTGCTCAGCTGCTTCTCTTTTGGCATTGTAGGTATCCAGGTGTTCTTGCAGCTCCAAAACACTGAACTTGAGTGTTTCTAGCAAACCACATGACACCAGCTGTCAAATTAGAGACACATCGATCCCGGTTACCATTCCTGATCACAGTCATGACAATGACAACTTCTGGGTCACACAATATCTGTTAGTTGGTTGTGGGGCACCCCCTGACCAGACTGTCCTATTCTAAGGATTGACGTTTCACTGCAACAGAGTAGGAGAGCCGTGGGACTGGCGGATCCCTTCCAGCAGACCTTGAAATGCTTTTGAAACTGGCACAGGCAGACAATGGCATGCCAGCCAGTACACACAAATGTGTACTTTGTACACCTTTGGTACAAAGGTGGTGTGTACCAAAGCTTTTAAACCTCAGGTCTTTAACTATATAGTAGGTAATCTCTATGTGAGCTTGGCAACATCGGAGAAGAGCAAGGAGCTCTGGCTATTTCACGGGGAGAGGCCTAGCTGTCTCCTCCCCATATTTGTTCAAGAACCAGAAGGGCACACATCTCTGGAGCAGGCCCATCAGCTTCCCCATCCAGGAGGCTGTGGAGGGCAAGAGCAGGGAAGGATCAGAATTCGAGAGTCAGGGGGCCCTGTGCCTAATACACTGGAGCCGTATTTTGCCAGATATGTTTAACCAGGTTGAAAACATGAACCTCGATACGTTAAAACTCAGAATTTCTTTTAAAAGAAGACTAATGTTTGAATGATGTTATTCTAATTGAATCACATGCAAATACTTACTGTTTCAGCATCCACAAAGACTGTCGGGCATTCTGAACACATCAGCATCACTTCCAACGAGCTTTTAAATTTGGTACCAATGCGCTGCAGACTCTCACCAAGAAAGCCGACTGCCTCATTAGTTATTTCGCCAAACTTTCTTTGAATTGTCTAAGGGGTAAAGTGTAAGAAAGTTTAGTTTCCTAAGAAGGCCTTTTTTCATTTTTAAGTACAGAAGCATAATTCACAATTAGGGCAGACTTTTATAATAGTGACACACAGAATTCCAATAAATGACCTATAAACACATGTTTTACATATGCTAATTTATAAAAATGATGGAAGACTTAACAAAATAGTATTAAAGAAAAAAGCAAAAGAATGAAATGCCATTCATTTCCCTGAGACAAAGGGAGTGTATGCTGTTTATCCCTGAAAGGAAAGCCCTCATGTATTAGAGGAACTGGCTCTTCTAAAATCAAGTTCTACCTGAACAAAACTTTTGGTAAATGTAGGTTATGGTCCTTAGCTATAGGCTGCCATCTGAGTTAAGTCATAAAATGCATTAAGGACTATATTTTCTCAGAATCCAAGAAGATTGGACAGTGCCCAATCCATGGTTAGCACTCAGCTAATTAGACTACACCATCAGTTGTATAATTATCATACGGTTAATGCATACCTACATCTGCTTGTGTAGTGCTGTTAGGTGGCATTAAGATTTAAAAAAAAAATGCAGAAGCCATAATGTCAGGTACCGAGTAACGAACACTATCACTGGAAAACAAAGCAGCTAAGGAGTAAGCACAGGGTCAATAAATCAGTGCTCCTGTTAATAAGCGCCAAGGAACACCCCAGGAGGGAGCAGCTGGAGATTAGGGTGGCTCAGTACATCAGTGAATGATGTACTGAGCTGGTCTCCAAGGTGGGCAAAGTTTGCTTAGGTAGGAAGGAAAGGTGGCAGAAAGTTCACAGGACAGTGACATTTCTCTGTGCCTTAGGTTCCCGCACCACAAAATGCTAAAAATAGTATCCACTTTCCATAGTGGTGGTGTGAGAATACTTAATGAAGAGCATTCAGCATAGCACAGTACTTACGGCTGACTACTCAATAAGTGTTAATTCTTCTTATTATTTTAGACTTGAAAGCAACCTTTACTAGCTAAAATTTACTAGCTAAAGTCATCAGTTCCCCACAGTGATGAAATGCCAATTCATTTAACAAATAATTACAAATTTTATGACCCTCACTGAAGCTTCTTGAAGGCAAGAACTATGCCTTTATTTCTTACGCATCTGCCATGGTTGCATACTGCATAAAATTCATCGGAGGTTGTGCTGAAGATTTATTCTAGTTGCCTTAGAGGACACAGCTGTACAAGGAACTGCATTATGTACCTGCAGCACCACACTGTTCCGCTAGCTCAGAAGAAATATTTGTTGAAGAGAATCAGTAGGAACATTTCGTTTTGAGCTAATGATTTTAGAAGAAAAACCTGTAACTTTATTAGGCAAATGCAATGTGGGTTCAGAAACCTTAGGCCTCACTGACCTGAAACAGCCTTGAAAACACATGGAAAGTAAACACCGCACAGGATCCATCGGTGTCAGACAGCATCTGATTGACGTGGCAGCGCCAGGCTTCCTCTTCATCATCATAGGCCACGGGCTGAAAAGCCGCAATTATGGCAGAAAGAAAAGGTGATGGGAGAGGTGATGTCTGTACTTCTGGAAAACCATCTTGTTCGTCCTCGTCTTGACTGTTAATGCAAATGTCACAGCAATCATCATACTATCTTGAAACAACAGATTCACTCAAAATATTGTATGTCATTCCACATAAATTGCTTTTATTCATATATAAGTATTGATTTAGAAAATACAGCAACCTAAACTTCATAAAAGAGGATGAATAAACACACTCCTTTCTACTTGGCATCTTTGGAATTAGAACTGTGTTTCTGATGGTGCTGGGGGCTGAATGTGGTTTCGGGCTTGCTAGGCAGGTGCTCTACCACTTGAGTCATACATCCAACCCTGGAACTGGAACTCTTAATTTCAAGCAGCTACCTTAAGAGAACCCAAGTCCTGTAATATACCATCACTGTGTACTAAAGTCAGCAACTTTATGAATAATACAATTAGAATGCTTTCATTTTTTAATAGTGAAAATGACAGCAAAGTTTATTAGGAAAAGAATACACTTTCAATAGACCAAAAGTGGGTCAGCTCTAGATGCAGAACGAAAATGACCTAGAATGTATGCATTTTAAACAGCCAACTTCGGACACTTTTTTATTTGAAGAGTCTTGCATCGAAGATAATAAGAAAAAGTTTTGATCGTGTACTTTTGTTTCAAAGACTGTTAGGTGCTTCGTATGGATCATTTTATTCAAACTCTATGAAGGTTAGATTCTATTATCTTAATTTTATAAAGTGGAACAATGAAAAAACATGAAGATGTGTTTGAGTTGGATGTGCTATGACTTTAAGTACTAAGATGAAGAAGTATTTTAATCAGGCAGTCCATAAAGAAATGGATTATTCAGGGTCCTAAACTTATGCACAGTGTAAGACAGCCCCTTAGACTTTACACAAATCAGAGAGCAAGTTCCATGAAACAGAGAAACCTGAGTAAAGACTGGAGAAAAATACCAAAATAAAACAGACATCTGAAGTGAAAATTTGTTATACCTCAAAACGGTTAATATGTAAAATGTCACAGAGGTGACTGACATTAACAAAACGTATCCTATAAGCTCGAGTAGATATGCATCCATGTGTAGTAGGGATGTCCCATTCCATTTCAGCTATAGACTTGACAAAGGCTTCAGCCTTTAGAAAGCCAAGCAGCTGAATATTTACCTAACATCACCTGTCCATGATCCAGTGACTGCATGGCCTACTGTCGTATTCAAATCAGTAGCATGGAAAAGACGTCGCTAAGATTTACTATTAATATGTGAATACAGGTATGATTGAAAAAGGGAGACTGTTGGCAGGGGGATCAGAGAGAGGAAGGAGGGGGAAAGGAGCGGTAACGGGGAGCGAAAAGAACTGAAGTCCACTGTGTTTGTTTACGTGTGCATCTACGTATATGTAATGTGCACATATATGTGTATGTGTATGTATGCATACGTATATGTATGTAAAACAATGAAATCCACCAAATACTGTTTGAAAAATGGGGTGTTTAAAGGAATACAACAGGGGAAGTGAACTTGTCCTAAGTATACTGTACACATCTATGGGATTATCACAATGAAATCCCATATTTATATGTTAATAAAAAAAGAAAGAAAAAAATCTGAATGTATACTTTCGAATACAGGTAAGCAGTCTAAATATACTGACAGTTAAAAAACTCTTATGTGCTTTGTATGTTAAAAGTCTTATCATGTCGGTTCAAAGGTACAACTTTTATTGTAAGAGAAAAACTCTGAAATACTCGGTGATTACTGAGTTTTAATTTTGTATAAAAATAATCATCAAGGAGCTTCGAGCTGTTGAGTGGGGAAATACAGTGATAGACTGCATGAGGTTGGACACCTTTATGAAGAACATTATTTTGAGCCACAGATATTGATAACATTTAATTATTAGACATTAGACTATATCATAATTGTACCTGTTACAGAATTGTTTGGTATACAAGTGTCATTACAGCCACCAAAATTCCTTTAAGAACTTTATGTAATAGCTCATTGTTCAACCTAGCTCATGAGTGAAGAAAAAGTCTTATTTGGGAATTCCTCATACCCTCTGGTAATAAATTTTGAACGTATGGGGTATATACTTTTGAAATGAACAATCATGCCTATAATCCTAGCACTCGGAAAGAGCACCGCAAGTTGGAGGCTAGCCTAGGCTATACTGAGACCCTGTCTTAAAAAACTAACAAACAAAACTTAGCATCTGACTAAGACATTTCATTTGTGTTTATTATAGAAATCAAACTTTTAAAATGTGACCGTTAGTAAAGAAAGGATAAAATATTTTTGGATATACTTAATAACAGATTTATTTTGATATCATAGACATTCATTCTAATACTGATTCTCTTTTGGTGGGGGCAGTACTGGGGTTTGAACTCAGGGCCTGTGCTTGCTAGGCAAGTGCTCTACCATGTGAGCCACTCCCCCAGCCCAATAGTGATTTTAACACTGGATCATTTAGTATTGATGTGAATGTCAATAGAAAACAAACACAAAACCGCACAGTAAGTCATTTTATCCTTAAAAATGAAGACAAAACTGGAACCAAGGGACATTTTTGGTTAGGGAGACACTGTGTCATTATGAACTTTGTGACTCTGTATTCTCACCTGGACAGTCCGGAGAAGTCCGCTTCCTCTTCTTCACATCTCTCATCCAGCTCTTTCAAAGCCAAGGTCACGTCCTCTTCGCAGACTGATTCAGGGTAGCTTTCAGGAGCCAGAGGCTCTGGCATTTCAGTTTCTTCTAAATCAAGCATTCCTTGACCCACAAGAGAGTCCTGCTGCTCTTGAGTAACACATGACCCTTCACCTTCAAAGGCTGTAACATGTTCCTCCTTTAATACTGAACCTGTATCCTGTGAAACGAACACATGTTTAGTGAACTTCAGCAACATTCCAGAAAGGATTTTAGCAACACAACACAAGAAGTGACCATGTTTGACCATGTTATCCATCCGGGTCCATTTTATCAAGTAGTCTTCACTTACATGGTCTAAGTTTTAAGCTATGAACTCTGATTATATAGAAGTTTTCGTAAAGCATCTTTTTTTTTTTTTTTGCAGTGCTGAGGATTGAACTCAGCCTTGCATGTGGTAGCTGTGACAGGTAAGCACTCTACCATTGCATTACATCTCTAGACCTATTTTTTAAAAAAAAATCAAACTATATAGCTTATTGCCATATGAAAACATCAAGGATTCCTCTCCCCCTGGCCCTTTCTTTTCTCTGTATAGGGTTTGGGTATTTTTTGGAAACATGTCCTTTGGTAAACTATCTTCTCGCATACACATCCTAGTTCTACACAAGGAAAACTTTATTGTTATCAATTCTCTCCTATTTGGACGACCATTTCTTTAATTAGACCAGAACACAGTGAATTCTGGCTATAAGCAGGGAGGTGATTCGGAATACTATTCCTGGAGGGCTGGCCTGACCACAGATCAGTCTTCAGGACACAACCCAAACAACGACAGCAACCTCCTCAATACCTGAGCTGGAAGGGCAGTTTCAGGTAATAAGATTACAATAACTCACTTCAGCTTTGAGCTAATAAAGCTTCTTCAGTGAGCTAGAGTTTGGAAAAGATTAGGAAGTTCAAAGCTGTACTTTTGAAATGAATTACAGACTTACTTACCAAAAAGAATGGCTGCATGCTACTAACCCTAAGTAAGTACTAATGAAAATACTTGTCATGAAGTATAAAGCCAATGGTCCTCCCTTCCTGTTCATTGCTAATGTTAACTGAAATAATGTTGCATGACTCGCGTGGGCTAGAAGCTCAACAGATACTGGTTCAATAAATGAACTTCCACTGTCACAAAGAACAATACGTACGAAGTGTACAGTGTAATGGCATGAATGCTATTTGTAAATCTGCATGGTGGATGTCAGTTTACTCAGTGTGGACGGAAGTACTAGTGATCTCACAGTGCACCTAAGTTAGTTTAGATTTACAATAGTTTTAAAATCTTTTTTTCATGGCTAAACATAACTTTCCTTCCAAAATATGAAAAGTAAGAGAAAATTAATGCTTCTGACCCTGGATTTGCCTGGGGCTTGACCAGCTTTTGGATGGGTACTCTGGTAACAAATTAATTCCTAACCACAATTAGTTTACAATCTAATAATGGGGTTAGGCCCAATATGCAAATGGCAATAGTATGTACTAACATATAGTAAGTGTGAGGCAAATACAACCAGTAATATATAAATGACTACTGGTATCCACAGAAGGAAAAGCCCACATCTATTTGAGGGACTGGGACTGTTTCTTTGGAGAAAAAAGTTTACAATGGGTTTAGACAAAGATGGGTAGGGCTGGTATTCCAGTGACAAGGAAGGGAAGATAGTAGAGATACAGGAATATGGGGGAAACACAAAGTGTGTTATAGGAACTTGGGTCTGGGAAAGCAATAAGCCACAAGTCTTCACAAAGTAGCTCTCATAACATAGTAAAATCATTTCTGAATCATTCTGCTAGCTTATATTCAATATACTCTATGGTTTCCATCTGAATTTTGCTTTCAAAGATTTGGTCACTGAAGGGTTAAGCATTAATCATTTGGATAGATAATTTATGTGACAGACATATTTTTACATCTAGAATTTTTCCCCTTTTGTTTGGTGGCACTGGGGTTTGAACTCAGGGGTTCACACTTGCTAGGCAGGCACTCTAATGCTTGAGCCACATCTCCAGTACTAGAATTTTTATTGGTATTATTTTTCTCCTACATCATGGACATACTATGTTATCGTAACCAAACATCTTGGCTTAACGCTCTCACTTTTCATTACTTTACACATGTATTTTGCTATTTGTTATTGAATTGTAATTTCAAAATGATGTTTTATCATTATTGATCATTACTACAGAATACACACTGATAATAACACCTGGATTCCATGAAGAAAGTGCTTTGGGGCTAGTAGAATGCATTCCATTGTTTGTACGTAGACTATGAGAATCAAATTTATTAGACACATTATTAGACAAAACACACACACACACACACACACACACGCCTTGTTATATCTATCTGAAGATTCATTTTCTATAAAGAATAATTTCTGTGGTACATGAATTGCATTCCAAGCTATTGTAACCCTTTGTGAAGGTTTCTCTTATAAATGTAAGTGAAGAGCTTAATCTCTTACAAAGATCAGAGTGTAATTTGTACGTATGACTGAGAAGGCAGGGACAAACAGCTGTAAAGTTTGTCATGACATGAAATGCATATATTTCCAGTTTTAATAAAATTTAAGGGAAATTTTTAAATAAACACTTAATGAATGGATTTACAATTTATTTATTCCTTTAATTCATAAGCTATACTACCTTTCAAAATCAACTATATAACTTCAAAATACTCCTTTTAAAATAGTTAAGGTTTTATTTCAGTGTCTTAGTGCTTTCCTACAGGACAATTTTGGGTCATTTGACATTATTAGGTACATGAGGGAAAAGCAAATTAAGCCAATACAGACTACAGATGAAATATATTATTCCCGTGGATAGCCTTCTTTTGGTGGTAATTTTAATACCAACACTTTTTAAATGAAATAACATGGCTTTAAAATAACCCTTCCATTCTTGTCCTGGTCCAGTGTCACAAAAAATGAGTGGTGATAATGAACCCACAATTATAAAAGGAACTAAAGTAGTAAATTGAAGAGTTTTTCACTTAGTAGGAAGAACAAAACAAAAATGTCGCCAGGAACATTACAGTGCTTGGGAAGTAAGGCCATTAAGTATTGTTGGATGAAGAAATGCCATATCTGAAATAACACTTCCAATAAAATATGAATTACTTCTAGGAGGAAATTTCCTATAGCTTATAACCAAAAATAAAGGATTTCCCCCTTTATTAACCAAAGTTAAAATACATAGTCATTACTCATATTGCCTTTGTTTCTAGTAGCAGTCTAGTTTCACTGTTTGTAATGAAAGTATCTGTTGTTCTTATAATGTGCTATCATCCAAACTAGACACACTCACTCAATAGGCCTCCAGCAACAGACAACCCTGTCAGTTTTCTCCTGCAAACATTTTTCATATTCACATGCATTTCAGTTCAGGCCCTCCTTATCTCTGGCACAAATTCTTCCATCTGATCTCTTTACTGTAGCATTGTCTAATCCCTCCCCGATGACAGGAACCCAACTGCAAGCACTGTGAGACAGTAGTACAACCTGCTTTCTATTTGCCAAGATTTAAAACAATAAACACAACCAGATATGACCTTCTGCTTAAAAACCTCATGTAGTTACCTGTTATGCGGTCTGTAAGATCTGCCATGAGGTGACTTGCCTTGCTGCCCCCTGCCCCGCCAGCCTCCTATTCACTGTGCTTCAGCTCCACTCTCTGGCTTTTTGTTCTTCACATGTCCCAAGGCCCTTTTAACTGTTGCTTCCTCTGCCTGGAACATTTTTCCTTCAAATTCTCAAGAGCTGGCTCCTTCTTATTACTTAGGTTTCACCCCAAATGCTTTCTCTCTCACCCAAACAACTATAGTGCTAGATTTTCTTAGAACAATTAATAAGACAAGTACTTTCTGGTATTTGCTTTACCTCTTTATTATCTGTCATTTTTATTAGGATTAAATTCTATACAGCAGGAGTCTTTGTATGACTGGTACCTAGAAAAGTGTCTAGCACAAGGCAGGGGCTCAAAAATATTAGCCAATAAATGAATGACTGCTCATGGACACTGCACGTCCATGTAGGGATCTGGCACAGTGCTTGTCACATGACAGGAACTGCTACCGTTTAGACCCGGAAGGTCTTCTAAAGGGCCATGTGATAAAGGCTTGCTCCCTAAGGTGGTGCTATTGAGGGACGGTGGAACCTTTAAGAGGTGGGACCTACTGAGAGGTCTTTAGGGGTGTGCCTTGAAGGGCATATTGGGACCCTGCCCTCCTCCTTATTCCTTTTGTTCTCTTTTTATTGCCAGCCATGAGGGGCGCAGCCATGATGTGCAAGCAAAGGCCCACTGAGGCAATCGACTAGGGACTGAAACCTCTAAACTATGAGCCAAAAAACCCTTCTTTTGAAATTGATTAGCTCAGGTAGTAATGAACAGCTCACCGGCACAGGCACCTCTTAAAGGATGAAAATCCACAGGACCACCTGAAGATAAAATCCGAGCCCTTTAGCATGACATTTAGGAACTCTCATGCTTACACCTTATGCACTTCTATTGTTCTTCCTCTTCCTCCACCATTTCTTCTCTAGATACTGAACTTCCGGCAGTTACCTGAACACGAACGAAACTGTGCTACTTCACACTGCCACGCCTTTGGTAGGCTATCCCTTACCACCATCACCCCCAATGCACAGTTGATCGCTCTTCCCTGAGACTTCACAAAGTGTTGATTCATTACTGAGTTTCTCATACTGAAATGTAATTAAAAAAATAACTTCTTGGTCTTCCTTAATACAGACCATGAACTCTCCAAGAATACAGTCATGCCTTACTCTTTCTAGCACGTAGCTGAAAGCCTGGCACCTAACGAAATCAAATGAATAGTTGATTAATTGAATTATCTAAGTCTTAACTATGTTAGTGTAAACAATTTAGTATTTTTGGGGGGAGGGCAGTATTGGGGTTTGAACTCAGAGCCTTCCTCTACCACTTGGGCCATGTCTCTTGCCCTTTCTGCTTTAGGTTATTTTTTAGGGCAAGTTCCATGTTTTTGCCTGGCATTAGTCTCAGACCAAGATCCTCCTACCTATGCCTCCCTCATAGCTGGGATCACAGGCGTAAGCCACCGTGCCCAGATGTGTCAACATTTCAGACTGCTAATAAAGAAGCCAATATGCCTTCATTTGAAAATGTATCTGCTTACTGTTTTAGTTTGGTGGGACTGGGGTTTGAGCTCAGGGCTTCGAGCTTGCAAAGCAAGGCACTCTACTAGTCCATTTTTTTCTGGTGATTTTTGGAGGTCTTACAAACTCTTTGCCTTGGCTGGCCTTGAACTGCAATCCTCCCAATCTCAGCCTCCCAAGTAGCTAGGATTACAGGTGTCAGCCAGCAGCACCTGGCCTGCTTACTGTTAAAGGGGGTTCAAGTAGGTAAAAGAAATTTTCTGGCTAATAAGAATAGAATTATGAGGGATTTTACATTGCCAAAACAATACAATCTAATAACTAGACACATTCATTTCATTATCGCTGACAAAATATGCTACTTTCTAATGCCAAGACATAACACACGTATCACAGAGCTACAGCAATTATTTAAAAAAAAAAAAACTATAATAATCTTTAAAAAAAAACACTAAGAGAACTAATACTTACTTATTTTTGGTCAGTCATTAGCTCGGAATCGGGCTTACTTCTGATAGGCCTTCCCAAAAACATAATACTAGTGGATCCAAGGTCTTTTGAAAAGGTTGCATTGAACCAACAGCTAACACAGCTGGCCTGAGGTCCTCATCCAATCACAGCACCAATCACATAAACCCCACACAAAGCAAAAGGGGAGGGAAAACAAAAGCGGGCCTTCAAAGGAAACGCAGCACCCCAGGCAACGCCTGCTGTCCCCAGAGAAGCGCCTGCACAGTAACCAAGAGTCACACTCTGCAGCACAAAAATGCTCATATTAACACTCAAGGTTATTTTTAACCTGTTGGTCATGTCCTCAACCTATCAACTTGAAAAAAACTTCAGATTTGATGTTTTGTTGGAAACAACCCAACAGGTTAGAAATACTGAAAACAAATCAAATAATTAGCACATCAGCTGAAAACTCTTTGGAAGGAAAAGCGAGGGTTGTGACAGTGCCAAGAGAAGCCTAGATTGGCCATGCAGCACCCCCATGTCTCCCCACCTCAGGCAGCTGGCTGCTAGCATTATCTAGACGAGCCTCCACACCGGGGGTCTCATCTCTGATCTGTAGCACCTCCTCGGCTGTATTGCTGCCAGTGGAATCCTGAGACTGCAGGAGCAAGTCTGGGTGCTCTGTCAATGCCTCATCCACAGCAGGGTCATTGTTTAGCTGGAAGGAGAGAGAGTGACGTGAGGGAGTTGTTTTGTCACGAGAGTTACAAGAAACATTCTATGTCATCAAGTAATTTAAGGGCTTAGTCATAGAGCTTTTGGGATTTCCGCAAGTGATCTTTTTTCCACTTAGTCTGTACCAGAATGGGTGCTATGAATGCAAAGCACTAAGTATGAATTCACACAGGCTAAGTGGCAGAATTCTATGTAACTATGCTACCTTGAGCTGAAATTCGTATTTTTATGGTTGCGTGTTGAGTTTCAGTCAGCCTGAAGATTAATGAAGGCAGGCGCTCTCTGACCTGTGTTTGGCTTGCTTCAGTGCCAAGCACAGGGTGAATTCTCGGGAAGTGTCTTGAAGGAGGGCTAGCTATGCACGTCTGTGTTGGCCTCTCACGTTAGCAAAAATCAGTACCACAGTTTCAGTAAAATTTAAAAAAAAAATTAGGAATCAAATGTAAAGTTGTTCTAATGGCAAGCCATCATTAGTGAAGTTTATTTTCTTTGAGAAGTAGTAGTCATTCACTTAAAAAATTATACTTTTCCCTTTTAAGCAGGGTTATAGTTTTCTCTGGGTCAGTAAGAAACAGTATGCTTCAGTATACAGAGGCAAAAATTCACTTTTTTCTCTGAGGAGATAACAACTGTATTTTCTTTACCTCAATACCACTGTGACAAGGGTTGACTTATAGACAGTCAATTCTGCCCCAAGGATCTCATGAGAACTGACATTACTAAGCACTTACTATGTGCCAGGAGGCCTTCCTCCTCATAAAATTCCCACAAGGTAGGGAAGAGGAGAGGTTAGGTAACTACACCACTGCCACACAGTGAGCAAAACCAGCTCCGGAACCCGCAGTTACAGCTACACAGAGGTAAAGCCACAGTCTGTGTCAACAGTTGTGTAACTTGAGTCACAGTTACAGAGGCAAAGCCAGACTTCCAGCTGTGATCGACCTCCAGGGATACTGACTGTTTCTCGTTCTGTCTGTGCCTATGGCTAGGAACTCAACCATTCTTTTAAAGGAAAATAGCCCCTTGGAGGATAAGCCTTAGGTGCCAAGAATGAGTGCATGGCACTGGAGATAGACCTGGTTCAAATCCACTTACTGGCTGTGCATCTTGGGTCATGTCACTTAACCTGCAGAACTGCAATAACCTGCTTACCTTGTGCAGTTGGAGAGACTTACGGGACTAGTACATATGAACACTTGGGAAAGAGCCTAGGACATCCTAAACACTCAGCAAGGGATAACCACTGCTGTTGTTAGCAGCAGCAGGTTATCACTTAACACATAGTAGAGAGGCATTTGAAAGACATATGGCAGCAACAAGATGTCACAACAGAAGAGAAGACAGGAAGCCAGAACAAACTGACAACTTGGCATTTTGTTCAAAGCCAGCTCACTGTAGCACTGCCTGCGGCACCTGACCCACAGAGTGTGCAACAAGTGGGTCTATGTGAAAGGGAGGCAGGCTTGTTTAGCAGGAAGGCCTTCCTATAAGAGATGTGCAACCATCATGGACACAGCACCCCCTGGCTGTTCCTTGATGCATGTGCCATGGTGGCTGCAGCCACACAGCCCTCTTCCAGTGAATTCAGCCTTTCTCGAACCCCCACGTTTTGAATGAACAGATGACTCTTGTACACTTTCTAATTTTTCACCCACTCTTTAAATATTCTATCTAGCCCTTGGGGTGTGAGCCAGGACTTCCCCATAAATGACTTGATCTTGAAAGGGACCAAAGTTGTGCTCAGTTTTTGCACACTACACTAACTAGAAAAGAAAAGGAGGTGTGGCCTAATTGGTAGTGGTGTTTACACGGATACCAAAACTCTGTATTGTTCGATGAGGATCTGTAAAAGTGCCCAGAACCAATTCACCACAACCTGGAGAAGCCAGATGAAATGTGTCCTAGCTACTAATGCACGCACATACCAACTTTATAAGTTTAGCTTTGTCATGAATAATGCTTAGTTTAGTGTGTGCATTTTGCCCATAATGAAATGGAAGACCAGGAAATATTAATAAGAGTTACATGAGCCCACTGTCATGCATGAAAAGGTAAGTGGGTACCATCTGTGTGCGTGACAGGATCTGGCTCGCTGTGAGGGCTGCTTCTTCCTCTGAGGACTCATCTGTGTCCTCCTGGTTTGTCAGGGTCAGGCTGGGGGTGCTGCTTGAACACTGGTACTCCTGGAGGGATGGCGTGTCCCCTTTGTCAATGCTGTCCAGCGAGCGCCGGCGGACTCCCCAGTTGAAATTGTCCATGCTTTCACCCTGGAAAAGCAAGACATGATTTCTAAGACCTCAGCTACATGCTTACAGATGTCATCTATGTAAGACAAGAGGAAAACGATGTATCAAGATGAAAAATACCGAATGCATCATCAAAAGCAGAGTTTCAATCAGCCCTTCAATTTCTTTAAACGTTTAGCCCATCATTAAATATTTACATTTAAAGAGATAAAAATCATTCAGTTTATTGCCTGTTTTTGCTAAATAACTTTCTTAACATTCTATCTTGAATTACTGGGGCCTCAGCTAAATCTTCACTCTAGGCCATTTCTATTCTAATACACAGACGCGAATGAGACCACAGAAGGACAACACCCCACAGATGACAACACGGAAACCACAACACCAGGCTGCAACTTACCTGCAGCTCCTGGTTAGCAAAAAGGAAAACACACAGAATTAGAAAGAACGAAGACAAACATTCAAATATACACTACACTTTTGGGGAAAACTCTGATTTCTCAAACCCAAAGACTGATTCAAGCTCTGGATTAAGCTGTTTGCAGGAAGCCAATGTGTGATTCAAACTACTTTTTTTTTTAAATGCAAAATATATTGTGAAAAAGTCAGAGACAGACACTTAGAACAACATTTCTATGATACACTTTAGCAACACAAACTTTAAGAAAAATCTTCAAAATTTACATAGATTTAATACTTGGTACAATGCAAAAACTGACTTAAGATACCCACATTCAGTTGACAACATACAGGGTCACATTTATTTTAATCTGTAGGACAGTTCTGATTAAATGCAATGGTCACTTTTTACTATAAAATAACTTAAAATTAAGATCACAGCTATTAAAGCATAACCATTGTCAATTTCAAAAGGTCAAGAGGAAATATGACAGATTTCAATTTCACCCCAGCCACAAGATTTATATGTTATATTTCTACTCTTCTAAACTGATCCTCCTTTTTGTAAGGATATAATCCTTATGGTCTTTCTTAGGCCGTAATAAGACAAATGTCACCAGGATAGCTAGCAAAATATGATTTATTTGTATCCCTTTACACAGAAGGGATTGTTTAGAATAGAGGTTTTCAACTCATTATTTTTTTTTTTTTAAACAGAGGAACACCTATTTTAAAGGAAATTTTAGATGGAAGTCAATCATGCCAAATTTACACACAAGTCCAGGCTGTTCAGGCTGGACAAAGTGCCTAGAGTTCTGCCTATTTGACCCTGGGATCTTTCCTGGCTGTTTCTCAAGATATCGTGGAAGCCTTAGGGCTCTGCAGGTGAGAATATGAAAACTACCTTCCTGGAATGGATCATTTCAAATATTATTATGTAGCATATCACATAATAACAGCAACAGCCCTCAAAATGTATTTGACTGAGTATACACTGCAGCTTTCAAAGTCTGGGGATATTTTAGAAGTTTCATTAGTGATGAAGTTTGTTCTATTTCCATAACCACATTTTATACAAGACTATACCAGGGTCATTTGGTTTGGCTTAATTATAAGGTGTAAATTAGCATTCCTTCATCTCTCCTCAGATTACTGTGAACTGAATTAAAGACAGAACTACAGTAAGCATCTTCAATCCATTCTGACTAAGGTTCTACTAAAAACTGGATTTATTTCTACTGACATTTTGGATGTTTTAGACAAACGTGAAAGCATTTCCAGTGGTCTTGAAAGAAAAAAAGGCAAACAGAAAAATAATAACCTTACCATTACAAAAATATCAGAAACCTGCTTTTGTTTTTTTTTTTTATTTATATTTTTTGGCACTGGGGATTGAACCCAGGGCCTCTGTATATTAGGCAAGCACTCTACCACTTGAGCAGCCCAAGAGTCTGCCTTTAGAAATTTAAATTCTGGTCTGAAAAAGAAAAAAAAAAACTGCAGAAGAATTTAGAAGTCATTTATGAACTTGGGCTAGGGCAGCAGGTCTCTAGAACCCATCCTACTTCCTTGCCTGGCTGTGCAAGTGTCCTATTTTCTACAACACATTTTTCAAAAGTTTAAAAGATGAAGAGTGAAATCATTTTTAGAGGGTGGTGACCTGACCTTTTATGAAAAAACAAAAAAGTGAAAATGAAAAGAACAGAAAACATTTATAGAGCAGCAAAGAGTAAGGATGCATGCTCTTATTTTGAAGCTCTGTCTGTGTATTCATTTGGATGTGACGTAAAATGCATCAAAAAAACCCATTTTGCTGAGTGATGTTGTGACTCCCAGCTACTCTGGGGACAGAGATTGGGAGGATCATGGTTCAAGACCAGCCTAGGCAAAAGGTTATCAAGATCCCCATCTCAACAAACAAGCAGTTTATGGTAACACATAACTGTAATCTTAGCAATGCAGAAGGCATAGGTAGGAAGATTGTGTGGTCTTGAGGTCAGCCTGGGTAAAAAAGCACAAAACACTATCAGAAAAATAACAGAAGAAAAAAAAAAAAAAAAAAAGACACTGCCTTAACAGCTATAGGAATGGGTTCCGAGTAGCCTAAGATAACAAGGCAACCTTATCAGATTTGCCACAATAATTGCTGCAGAAATTGGCATGTGTCTCAACTTGGGTCGGTGAGATGTGACCAGACACTTGCTAAGAGCATTTAGCAAAGCAGCTTCACTGTTATGAGACCATTTCTGGAAGTGACCCTTATTTCCTCCAAATACCTCTGTGGGAAAGTAAGGCCACACACAGCAGTGACCACAACCTTGCTGTTGTCTGAGGTTGAGCTGACCTGAGTACAAGGGCAGAACTTTGGGAAGTGCAGAGTCATTTAGTGACAAATGCCAGTCCCTTTAAAGTTACCTTTGGCTAATTTTAATGTAATCTCTTTGCTATTTTCTTGCAAATTAATTTGTAGAGCTCATGAGAAACGTTTAAATCTAAGCATACATAAAAAACAATTATGACACGCCTGTAATCCCAGCTACTTGGGAGGCAGAGATCACAATCCCAGGATAGTCAGGCAAAAGTGTAAGACCCTACCTACAAAACAAACTAAAAGCAAAAGGACTGCGGGCAAGACTCAAGTGGTCTTTAGGCCCTGAGTTCAATTCCCAATAATGCTAAAAACATATTGTTACTTACGAACTGTAATAATCACACTAAACTCCTAATTTACATTTTTACCTTTTTTGGCCTTACACTGACCTCAATAAGGAAGGATCCTGCAGTCAAATTCTGATATCACCCAGACTATTCTACAATTATCACATAAAGCCCCCATTCTTACCTCTGCATCTTCCAGTTCAACATCTAAAAAGTCAAAATCCTTAAAAACACCAAACTGCTGTTCACTGGTATTATCTTCCACTGCCACTTCCTCCTCTTGAATTACATCTTCCGTCGTAGAAATCAGGCTAGTCTGTTGGTCACCGGCATCCAAATCCTCATTCGAAGAAAACACAACCTGATATCCCAGAAATAAAAAAAAAAAAAAAAAATTCCATTCATCAGCTTTGTCACTCTGAATCTCAGATTTCAGCTCCCAAGAGGCTCTGGGGTCTCATCCTTCAATAAATTCAGAGCTTAAAGTCAGTCTTCACAACTAACTAGTTGAATACTTAATTTGCCTGGTGGCCAGGTATCACAACAGATGATATTTTTTTCATTCCCAATACATAACTAAGTTAGAAAAGGCAAGCAAGGAGACAGAGCAAGTTCTTCATGGAACATGAATGTTAGGTCTTTATTCGTGCAGTTACTCACAGAGGGATTCTTCGGGAGGCCAGAATCTGGACCACAGAGAGAAAGCACACTCATTAGCTTTTCTCTTGTTCTTCGCTAGAGAGAAGAAATTCAAGTGTAAGTATTGGCTACAAAATAAGACAAATTCCCAAGTTTTCATATACATATAAAAATGGATTCTTCTGTATCATGAAAGTTCCGTCTTGATGTACCTGTGATAGCTGTGGCCTTTTCCAGCTGACAGGAACCAAGGCATTGGAGTTGGAGCCAGAGGAGGTGGAGGAGGTGCTTCTCGTCACAGCGATCACTTTTGCCTTCCCATTCCTTCCAGCGGCACTGTGCTGATCACCATATTTATTTCCAATGATGGGTGTCTACATAGAAACAAAATGCCAGTGTTTGATGCCAATGTTTCACCACCAAAGGAACTCGTAAGGATTAAGAGTGTGTCATGTTAATAATGATACTGTCAATGAACAACCAACAAACAGTGTAAGCAGAGAGATTACATAGCATGAGGTAGATGTTACAAAAATCAAAGATCTACTTTCTTATTTTTTCCTTCAAGAAATTTATTAGAATAACTTTACATGATATTATCTGAGAGTATATTTTTATGTTTTTTCACAGTGCTAGGACTCGAACCTAGGGCCTTGCGCATGTCAGGCAGTTGCTCTACCACTGAGCTGTATCCCTGGCCCTTTGCTTTTTCCTGTTTTAAATAGAGTTTGCTTTCTTTAAATCACCACTTCCAGGCCAGGCATGGTGGCATACCATGGAGTGCTGGAATCTTTGCACTCCAGAGATGAAGGGTGGAGGACTGAGGGTCCCAGGACACCCTTGGGCTATAGGGAGACCTGCCTCAAAATAAAACAACGAAAACACCACCAGGTCCACCTTTCCTTCCCAAATGATTAGTGAATATATTCTCCTCATAAAAAGCGCAGAAAATATAAAAGATTTAAAAACACCTTTTATAATGTAAAACCTGGGATTTCACCACTCAGATTTAAGATCTTGAATTCTGCTTATTCAATGCCTGATGTTAAATGAGCTACAATAATGTGCTTTGGGGTAGCAGGAGTGGCTCACATGGTAGGGTGCCTGCCTACTCAGCGTGAGGCTCTGAGTTTAAACTCCAAACCTCAGTGCCACTAAAAAAATAAAGCAACTGTATTTAAAGAGACCAAAAAAACGTGCTTTGGCAAACACTGAAGAAACAACTTTACAGAGGAAAATGTCTATGCAGCTTCTTAGTACACATGGACAAATTAATACGCAATATTTATTCTTTCAGTGAAAATCCTATGATGATTCAAAATTCATTTTTTGGCAGTTTCCACTGCACCCTGCTTTCTCCTGTGGAAACAGTCTTCATGCACAAAGGCTCCTTTTGCTTGGACTTTATTTCCCCTCTCCAGATGTGCCTGTCTAGGGTTATCTTTCAACACCCAGTTCAGATGTCACCTCCTTCCTGAAATCATTCTTCTAAGTACATACTATATATTCCCAGAGCGTCATAAACTTACTTCTTACAAAGCACCTTCCACAATGCTTGTTTGCCTGTTTTATCAAGACACCGTAAGCTTAAGCATGAGCCTTCCCAGTTGCCACCACATTCTCACATCATACACCAGTGTCTACCGCTGAGTATGAGCTCAGTTGATGCTTGCTCAGTGAGAGAACCAAGGAGCAAATAGGTGACCATTCCTACAGTACCTGCATCGATTCCTGAGCATCTTACCTCAGAGATGTCAAAATGAAAGTCTAAGGTCTTCCCAGGCAACTCCTTAGAGACATTATTAAAAATTTTAGTGAAGGATATTTCAGGAGAACCTATATCTCCTCCATAGGTCTTGGGGATATCGCTGGGCACCACCAGACTTGCAGAGCGTGACACCACTAGCTTCAATATGTTGAGGGCTTCCTTCCAGTAAGGACTCTGGTGTAAAAAATAATCAACACACGAAAGTTATAAATGAAGACTTAACTTAGAACAAAAGTCTGGTGTATACTGCAGCCTATGAAAATCTTATTTCTGCCAAAAACTAAAAATAATTCCTTTTTCTTTGGAATCCTTTACGGAAGGTCTGAGTTACATAAGGAAGAAAACACAAGTTATTATTTGTACTGTTAGACTTATCAGCCCCCATATTCCTAAGAATTAGGTATAGCTTGCTTTTCTCCCAGCAAGTGCTTTGTGAACAGCAATTCATTTGGAAAGTCTAATACAGTAATCTGGCTACAGTGGTAAACAAAGGGGTTGTACATATTGTGAACTTTCTAGATGAATGAAATCTATGACTTTAAGACTGAAGTTTAAATATTTTAAGTCTCTCAGGTAAAAAAAAATTAATGCATACTTTTTTTTTTTAGACATAAATATAATGAAATGCTAAAACATAGTTTTGGTCTTTTCTTCTTGACCACCCAGGACCCAAATATGATGTTCTCAGGGATTGCTGTGTTGACAGGATGAGTTCCCTCTCCCTATAACCAAAACATGAAATATTTAGTAATGATAAAGAGGTCCCTATGATATTGTGATATTTTAAGATTAGTGTAAAAAAAGCTTAATAAAATTATAACTAAGTAGAAATCATCATTTTTTTTCTGATAGGAATAACTAGAAACTCTGAGCACTGTGAAATGTTAAAACTTTTTCAGTAAAGTTTCCACAGATTGTTTGGATAGATGCGCTCTAAATGTACAAGATTACAGTTCAATTATGTAAAAATATTTATTTTCTTTTTAGGTTTTTTTTTTGGCCTGAGCCAGCCTGAAGTTGCAATCCTCTTACCTATGCCTCCCTCGTGGCTCAGCTCACAGGCATGAACCACCAAGCTCAGCTTACTTGTTGGGAGGAATTCTCATTAACTTTTTTCTGGGCTGGTCTCTAACTGTGATTCTCCTGATCTCTGCCACTGGTAGCTGGGAGTACAAGCATAAACTACCACACCAGACTTCTTTTCTTTCTTTCCTTTCTCCTCCCCTTCCTGTCTTTCTTCTTTCTTTTATTTTATCATTTTTACATTTACTTATATGTGTATACATTGTTTGGGCCACCTCCCCCTCCTTGTGACCCCCTACATCCCCCCCACTTCCGGGTAGAATCCTTTCTTTCTTTAATAAAGTGTAAGTCACTAACCATGAGGTTAACTAACTAAAAATGACCTTGTTTCAAACAACATTTAAAAGTAAATGTGGAAAAAATTTGAGTGAATTCTTTAATATTAGATAATTTTAGAGAAGAATCTAGATTTCTAGCTTCTCTTTCCAAATGAGAAGTTCTGGACACACTGGTCCTGTATTCCAACATGACGCTGGGTTGTGCTGCTCCCTGTAGGTGCGGGATGTGTGCTTTTGGTTCTGAACAAATGAAATGTATCTGTATCTAATAAATTAGTAATTCAATGTGGTATGGTGTTTCTCTGTGACACCCAGTAAATACAATAGTTAATGAGTTAACTTCAAGCTTTAAGAAGAAAGAGAAATGTGCTTTACAAAGAACTATAATTACTTGGTCAAGCCTTAGTTGTTGTGGGCTAAAAAAACAGGGTCACCAAAAATGTTTTTTAACGATACTTTAAATCACTGATTTTGATGGGAATCTGGATTACTTAACTGGATAACCGAAAACATTTGTGTGTGTGGTGGTGGGGAGATCTAACCCAAGGTCTCTTGTGCACTGTACCACTGCTGGCTAAGCATTCCCCTTTCCAAGTTCTGTTCTAGAGAATACAAATGTAAGCAGAGTACAAACACAAAATGTTCATCTGTGAAGGCTCTCATAGAGTTTGTTCCCTTGGTAAATTGTGTCTGGATTACTGATCCACTTAGCAACTCCATTCTTCACAGATGATTCAAAGTTGAAATTCAACACACGCCAGGTGATCTTATCATCATTGACATTTAAGCCAAGTTGATGTTCTGTTTCAAAATATCTGGCATTTAAAAAACATCAGACATTTAATAGTTCCTAAAATATAGATTTTTTAAAGGATGTCTTCTGTTTCTAAAAGTAATACTGTACATTATGAAGAACAAATAAAAAGGTACAAATAATTGAGTCCTGATCCCAACTTCCAGAGATGGTAACAGCTGCTTAGTTTCCTTCCATTTGTTACTGTGATGTATGCTCACAGATGTAGTAGTTAAGTCAAAAGTAGGAATCATACAAAACTTCTACCACTCAGATTCTGCTTTTTGTCACTTACTTTGAGAACATTTTCATGTAGTAAATATTTCTGAAAACATGATTTATATTACCTACTCCTGGTCATTATGATACTTCTGAGTTTTTGTGATTATGAAGTGTTTCAAGTCGAACAATGCTACCCATAAACCGTGTGGCTACTCACCTGCACATATTTGCCAATAATCTTTATGATTTCCAGATTAAACTGTTTGGCTGGGACTGTAGACAGGTCAATGTGACTCAACAGGCTATAGATAATCTGAAGTAATGATTGTTGCATACTGGACAATCCTTTTTCTAACAGCTGAAAGTAATATTGAAAAGTAGACATTAATCAGGTTGAGTGAAAACTCAGCTTTTACATTTATTATGTTGAAAAACACAAAGGTTTAACCCATGAATTTATGGTTGGATTACCAGAAATCTGGAAACAGATTACCATTTTTCTTTGTTTCAGAATGAAGAACAGGATTATTATTCTTCACTGTAACAATGGTGTTTTATGTCCTTAATTAGTTTAGCAAACTATCATTTAATTTAGGTTAAGAGAAAAGCCACCATACCACTGTCACCAAAGAGTAACTACCTACCTGCAAATCATTCCCACCGGGCATTTATTAGCATAGCTACATGAGCTCGCAGAAGTTTTTTACCTTGAGCCTTGAATATTTTTTTTTAACGTATAAAACAGTAATGCTACCTACCTCAGGATTTTCAGGGCAGAATTAAATACATGTAAGTAGACTTAGTACGAATGTTAGTAATTCTGTGAGGGTTACTGATAATAATGCAAGTATAACTTATACGAGTGACAGGTGGGACAAAAGGCATTCTCCTTACAGACTGGAAAATGTTGCCCATGTGTGACACACACCAGGCCACACTGTGCCAGTTCCAGACCTTGGAACCTGCAGCGGCCCTTCAGAGAGAGCAGGTGCTACCTTACAGTGAATTTCACAGTGGCACCAATGGGAAGCTAGTGTGGGACACTTACTTCAAAGCTGGTTAAGGTGGGTGGCCTGGTCTTGTGTTGACTCTCACTCTAGAGGTGTTGGTGTGAGATATATCTAACAACACAAACTCCTTCAGGCTAAGATGCTGGCATTGCCAGTTTACTTCAGTATAAACTTGACGGTAGCAAACTGATCAGCTGTAAAAGCTGTATTAACAAAACTCACTCTAGTCCTGATCCAATTTATGACAGTCAAGATCAGTGACTGTCATAACTTAGCTAAGTTAAGCCATGGTATGAGTCAGTTATGAATAATTTCTGTCAAGCCGCTCTATGTCCAATTCCTTAAGGTCAGTTTTCTAAGAAGGCGGGTATTATTTTATCGTAAGCGGATACACATTGCAGTAACTAGAAATTCTTCCATTTGAGGTTTTCCGTGTGGTTGTTTATGCAGTAATTTACTTTTCCTGGCATTAAGCTACTTCAGATGCATCAATAAAAAAGTACTAACTTTTTATGCAGTTCTAGGGCTACTTTTGAATAATTTGGCTTTTACCCCTCAAAATAAAAACTTATCCAGTAGAAATGCCTTTGCATGCTGCATTATTATTTTGTAAAAGATTTTAAAGCCAAGAACTAATTTTGTAGACACAAAAATTGTAATTATTATCTAGGATCAAGACCACTAAAAATCAATTTTCCACTTTAAATAAAGGGAGGTTTACATTATTTAGTTTTATGTCACTTAAGGACAGGGAATAAGGATATAAACACTGGAAATGAAAAAAAAAAAGTCAATTCTTTAGAAAAATTTCCTTTCTACTGGAATGACCTATACTTTTAGGAAAGACATTACTGATTCACTCTCACAGACAATTTGAAGACTAGTTGGGAACATGCTACAGTTTCTAGAAATAAATCCACTTGAAAATTCTGCACAGAGCAGTTAAAAATAAAAATTTGTAAATTTACCTCTGCAAGGTAAGTCACAAGATTAAATGTTGTATCTGAGAAGGAGTCATGCAGGTATCTACACACGACATTGATCCAGTTAGAACAGTCTCTGGAGTACGTGTGTGTGCTGTACAGACTCATCATGTGAGCCAGATTCACAAGCGTGGGGCATTTTTCTTCTGCGCAAACCTAGAAAACACATACGATTACCTTCTTCACTAAAAATCATGATACAACCTTAAACTTGATTTCATGCTAAATGTATTTATTTATCATTATTAAAAATTTATTTTCTTGTGGTACTGGGGTTTGAACTTAGGGCCTCATGCTTGCTAGGCAGGTGTTTTACCACGTGAGCCATCCCCCAGGCCCTAAATGCATTCATTTAATGAAATAATTTAGATGTATTTAGATTTTTAAAGTTGCAATACATTTTGTTTTAATACAGTAGAAAAGTTAATAGAGTAGGAAGAAAATAACAAGGCATTCTTAAAAGAATCACAATAGATAAAACGGAAAGGATTATTAACCTATCACACAATTCTATGGGTTCGAAATAATGTGGCTTTTTGAGTCTGATGCTCTGTAAAACCCACCTATGGTTTTGTAACGTTTACACATCATCTATTTATAACTGTTTTGTCAGTCATCCGTGGTTCAGTGCACACGTGCCTGAATAGGCACTCAGCCTGGGCATTTTCAGGCTGGTTCACAGCAGCACTGTCAGGAAGAAAACACTGTCTCCAGGATGCAGAGCATCGCAGGCAGTCAAAGACAGAGAGCCTGGGCACGAGTGGTGACAGAGTCAAAGGATGTCACTAGAGCTATGCCATCTCCACTAGATGACAATCTGGAGGCTGGACCTCAAACTACTCATCAGGAAATCATCTATAGTGCGGGACCTCTGGCTAACCTTTTTGAGACCACCCCATGATATACTGGCTTCTCAAAGTTTGCTTGATAGAGTTCAGGAATCTGAACTAACAAATAAATGTACAGGAGGATCTCATTGACCCAATGTATCTTCTTAGTCCGTTTGTTCCTTGGGCTACTTGTAAGGATGTTCCTTATCTAGGAGACACCTGAACAAGCTGGCAAAGGGCCCTGATAGTCTTATATACCAACTCATCATAAAGGCTACACTCAGCATAATGTCTGCTTTTATTTTCCTTGCTTTTTCTTCCATTTTATTAATGTTTTGTATGTATTTTTGTAACTGCCTAGAGCACTTAGTAAAGAAATTAGAGTATTACCTTTTAAATACACATATATAACTTCCAAATGAAAATGAGGCTTTTACTTTGATAATCAGAAGACATTTAACAGAACTGGAGGGTCAAGTTCATCACTGACATTATCACTGGATGGGTCTGAGATGCAAAGGCAAGTGCAGAAGGTACTAAGGCAGCACTGTGAAAGTTATCTTACAAAATCATTAAAAGCAGCTGATTTTGTGGTCTTTTACCCATTAAACCAATGATAGGAAGGTAAAAGAAAATTTTGGTTAATGTTTCTTATTTCCATTTCAACATATAATAATTTGCCATATAATTTTTAAAGATCACACAATTTCATACCTTCACCATAATGTGTTTAAATTATTTAAAGTATATATTAAAAAAAAAAATCTATGAACTTGTGATTCTCCTGACTCAGCACCCCCAAATGCTGGTATTGTAGGTTTGTACTACCAAGCCTGGCCTTCCTGAATTCTTACATTCCTAAAGAATATTTTTTCTAAAGAATGATTTAAGAATCTGTTTTCAAAAAAGGGAGAAAATTCCTTGGAATATTTCTGTGCAATTTTATAATATAGCAAATGACTTAAGATTTAATTTTAAAATTTCTGAATAACAAGGTTAACATATGTTCCAAAGAGAATGTTTTGTAACAAACTTTTTAAGCTTACCATTTTTGCCAGAATGAAGAGAACAATATTTGTCATAAATGCTGCCTCGTTTTGAAATTCTGTGCTCTCCAAGGGCACAAACAGAACTATCGGTATTTGCATAACGAGGAAGCACTTAATGGCAGAAAATTACTCTCAACAGTTATAAGTGAGAGAATAAATTAAGGAATCAATTTAATTCACATCCTGCAGGTTGCTAAAAGCACACAGAGAGGGAACCTTTGTATGCTGCCCAACGGGAAGAAAGGAGACTTGAAAACTATGCCTCTATCACAGAAGGCCCTATTTCAGTTCTTAAAAAGGTATTTGAGCATTTCCCATGGCCTGATGTGATCATGACATCAGTGGCTTGACACTCAAGGGGCTGTGACATCCTTCTGGTCAGTCTAGGCTCCTTGGTGACCCGAGCATTCAGCAGGTAGCTACTCAACTCATTCCAGCTGGCCTTCTTCAATGTCTCTAATGCCCTGTCTCCTATCCTGGTACTTGTGCCTTTTATACTCTTAAAATTAAGCCAATATACATTTTTGCCCTTATATTTTCTTTCTAACCTCTCATTTAGGAGAAAGCAAACTTCCTTGTTTACAACATGTTTCCAGTGATGTATCATTAGAATATTAAAATGACTTATTTTGATAAATTTAGTACTTTATATCACTTTCAAACCTTAGTACAAATACAATACAGCAGTTGATGTCTTTTAGGCAAATAATCATTTTCAAAAGACAATGTTTTATTTAAAATAATCATAGCTTTTCACTTAATACTTTGTTCTCATTTGTTAAATAAAATCAAAAGTAAGAGACAATTTTTGACATATTTTCTCCCACTACCATTTTTATGCAAGAAACTGAGATATGTTTTTTTGCTAACTATGATAATGGCTCTTCTTTTCAACTATATGCTTTTAATATGATTATGTAAGAATCTCTCCATATAACTAATTAGGGGTAGACTTGACAGCATATTTTATTAAATATTTTTCTTGTCATTTACTGAATATTATGATAATGAAAAGGTTCTTACTTTTGTTACTGTTAATGCATTTCATCACTCCCTGGACCCCCAGAGATTAGTCTGCATTTAGCACAGCTGCCAGCAGGGCTGAGGAAAGGTGGGGTTTCACTTGGTGTTGTGCAAGCTCACTGTTTCCATTTACAGATCTGCTGGTTAATTGAATCTCAGCTTTTAAGATAATTGCTTACATAAAAAGCCCTTCCTGAAAATTTTATTTACTTGTTCTCTTCTGTTGGAAATTTTTTTCACCCAGTGCTTTAGCTAGTTTCTCTCACTTACCACCCCCTCCACCAAAGTTAACCTAGCTTACTGCTGTAGGCATACTATTCTAAATTTATAGTAATAGTATGTTTATATTCATTATATTTTGTAACTTTATGTTTTCAGTCTGAAAAGCTTTATTTTCTCTCAACTCAGTTGATCAAAAAAAAAAAGGATTTAGGAATTACATTTAAAAAGAAGGCAAGCTACCTAAGAGTTTCTTATTATTCATTGTTTTGGCTTCTTTGAGACAGGGTCTTGCTAGGTAGCCCAGGCTGGCCTCAAACTCATGATCCTCCTACCTCTGCTTCCCAAGTGCTGGGAAACCAAGCCACTATGTTCCTTACTGTTCTGATAACAAGAAATTATTAAAAATATAAAATATCAAAATAATCCTTCTAAAATTAAGACATCATACTTAGAACACATTAACAAATGATTGACAAAAAGCTATACTTCTGTTTATAGAACTATGTGGTGGAAGGGAAAGAGCCAAATAAGGAAGAAAAAAGAATAGAGGGAGCAGAGAAAAGATAGAAAAAGGTGTTCACAAAAAAAAAAAAAAAAGAGCTTTTGGAATCTCAAAATGTATTATGCCCTGTTCTTCCTCAGGGCCTTTGCACGTGACGTGACTTTCTACTGCCTACAAAACTTCAACCCTGAGCCCTACTCTTGGGCTCTTTGATATCAGCTTAGACAGGACAGACTTCTGTTTGTGCTGCTAGAATGTTCTGCCCTCCCACATATGGAATACTTACCAGGCTCTGTGGTGACTGCCTATTTCCTTGACCACAGTTCCCCTTGCAAGGTCCACGAGGGTGAGTATCTACCTACTTTGCTAATCTTTGTATTACCAGTACCTAACCCCGTACTCACTCAACATTTGGTAATGAAGAAATGACTAAATGAGAAACTGGCAGAGAGGCAGAAGAGAGAAGGAAAAGGAGCAGAAAAAGACTCAAACTCAGAGGAGGGTCCAGCTAATGAAATAATTTTATTCACTGTCATTTGAGCAGTTGAGACTTACATTACTTTGTAACTCATTTATATGCATAAGTAGAATAAACATTTAGATGCAAAATTCACCCAGAAAGGAAGAGTAAATGACTGTTAAGGACCCCCCCTTTAAGAGAAGCTGCGGGTAATGCCCCTACAGCGTGGCTTTCAACATAACGTTTGCTTACCTTTGCTATTCGACTAGCTGTTTCTTTGCAAAACTGAGTTGGGCTGTCAAAATGCTGGATTAAGTGAGGCAATAAGCAAAGGATGTTAAGAGGAAAGCCTATCAAAAAAAAACAAAACAAAAAAGCAAACAATAACCAATTTTATTGCACATTAGTTTAAAAGTTAAAGGTATTTTAAACGGTTCACAGAAACCATTTTCTTTTCATTTCCTAGAATACTTCATCTTCTAAATTTTTTTTTTTACCAAATAACTGAATCTATGTAACATATAAAAAAAAACCCATTGCAAAAAAGCAGAAATCAGTAGATTTCAAAACAAATGACTAGTTCACATTTCAATTACATTAAAATGCAATTATATTAACATCACCTGACAACTGGGAAGGATCCACCAAGGTGTGCTTGGAGACAGAAATGAGTTTACTGAGGAGGTGCACGGTCATTTCTTGGGTAGACACTGAGGTAAAACCTTTAAGGAAGAGCTGCTGGAGGCCTGGAAAGTTATTCCATTTCAATTTGCTTTGTACATTTTCAATCTTCTCTCGACTCTCTGATTTATCCAACGGCAAGTGGATAAGCAGTTTGTTGAGAAGCCGGAGAGCCAGGAGGTATTCATATTCATAATCTGATTCCAATAAAGATGCTGCGATCCAAAAGATGGTGGCCATCAAGTTGGTGGGCTCAGTAGTGGACTGCACATCATACAGGCCTTTCTCTCGCAGAGAGGAGAGGCTTCTAGTCCTGGCTAAGCTACTGCTATGGTTTATCCGTCCATCCATTATATCCAGTGTGTTACTGCGCCGCCTGTCACCTCTTCGGTCACCAATTAAACTTAATCTCAAAGAGTTACTTCTTGTATTACTGTTATATCCCAAATAATTGCTCCTATTAATGGGACTTGTGCTTAGATTGAGTTGTCCAGTGCTTTTCCTGTTAGCTGCATACTTGTTTCCCATTATAGGATCATGGTATGAGGTTCTTAAAGAGAAGAAAGAAAAGATGAATGCCTGTCCAGTCACTTCTTTTGCATTAATTTTACACTTAAAAAGTAAAGAACTTTTTACTGTATCTGGGTTTGTTTAATCAAATTTCAGTTTTGCGTCCCTATGAAATGTACCACAAAATGTACAACCGTTTTCTCCTGTGGTTACATTTCCTTTGATGTGGGAAGAGGCTTGACTTGCTGAGAAAATTCTGTTGTAGTAATCACTAACTTTCAGTTCTGGGATTTAGCTATGAATTATGTCTAAAGCAGACCTCATTATTGTTCTTATTAACCTCAAACTTGGGGTCTGGTGTCCCTATATCTTTCAATGGCATGTATTTTTTTCCCCAGGAGAACCATGCTCAAAAATTTACTTTTGATCTCTCTTTCTTCCTCATATCCAACCACTGCTGGTTAATAATTTTTACTGAATGTCTTCTACATGTGCCAGCAGTTTGGAAAAGGCTGGAATACCAAGTAAAGTCTACTGAAGGGGACAGACATGTAAATGTCTAAATTTATACCATGTTAATTGCTATTATTAAAATATAAAGAAAACACCATGGAAACCCAAAGGATACAGTGATTAGTACTCTCCTGGGGTGTTAGAAATTCTTTGGTAGGAGACAACATTTAAGATGGGCCGTGAAGGATTAGTCAATTTGAGGTTTGCAAGGCAGAGAAAGTGGAGGCAGGGTTGCTTCCAAGAGAAGGAGTCACTCAGGAAGCACTAGGACATGTCACGTTACGGCCGTATGTTGTCAGACATTGGAGTCCAGTATTCAATAGGTTGCCTGGGTTAAACTCTTACTGAGAAAGGGCAGAGAGAAGATCGTAATGCTTCATGGTTTCAGCCAAAGTATCAATTGCAGATTCCAAGGTGAGAAGCAGCTCAATCACAAATCCCTGGGAGGGAAGGCAGAGTTTTAATTAATTATGCTCTGCAAAAAAGAAATTGCAGTGGACTTCCTGATGTGATTTAAAAATAAAACAAACTTCATATTACTATCACAAAATAATTAAACTTCTGAGCAACATGATCTTGCTGACTGATGAAAATTCATCAAACTAATGGTATAAATTGATTCTAATGGCACTATAATTTACCCCAAATTGCTCAGGTCAGAAGCCTAGGAAGCATCTTTGTTTCTTTCTTTCACTTTTAAATTGAGTCTATCAGCAAATCTTTAAAATGCCACTTTAAAAACTATTATCCTGGGAGTTTGGCTCAGGTGGTAGAGCACCCCACTCTAGTAATGCACACACATACACATACATACACACACCGCTTCTAAATGTGAGTGCTTTTCTCTATCTCCATAGCTTTTCTTAATCTAGTCTACCACCATCTCAGGCTGGAACTCCTACAACTATCTCCTGCCTGACCTTTCCTGCTTCTACTCTTGCTCTCCCAGTGGATACTACCCAGATGTTTGAGGGAGTTTTTTCAAAATCAAATCATATCCACCATCTTGCTTCTCTCAAAACCTTCAAGTGGGGTCAGGTACCGTGGCTCACATCTGTAATCCTAGCTACTTTAGAGGTAGAGATTGAGAGGATTGCAGTTCAAGGCTGTCCAGGGCAAAAAGTTAATAAGGCCTCATCTTAATAAGTCAGACATGGTGGTGTGCACCCATACTCCCAGCTATATGGGACAGGAGAATCACAGACCAGCAAAAATGTAAAACCCTAACCCCCCCTCCCCACAAAAAAAATTAAGCAAAAAAGGGCAGGGGTGTGGCTCAAGTGGTAGAGCACCTGCCTAGCAAGAGTGAGATCCTGAATTTAATTTCTAGTACCTCTCCAAAACAAAACCTCGCAATGTTTTCCCATTAATTCAGAATGAAGCCAAACCTCTCCCCAGGTCCGCTAAGCCTTCCAGGATGTGGACCAGCTACCTGACACTCTCCTGCCATCCCTCAATAGATGCTAGTCCTGCTGGTTTTCATGATGCATCTCAGAAAAAGCCCAAGGCCTCTGCCTCAGGAAATGCTGTGGCCCTTCCTACTCCTACTTTCTTCTGCCTGAAATGTTTTTTCCCCAGATCACCATAGAATCCAACATCCATTCAAAAAATCACCTCAGGGCTTGGGGCAGAGCTCAAGTGATAGAGAGGCTGCCGAGCAAGCTTAACCCCAGTAACATCTCTGTCCCCCACCCCAGTCACCACTGGTATCATTACAGTTAAACCTCTTCTCCCCCATTGTTCCTTGATCCTCTACCTGTTACTCCACAGAATCTATTGCTAAGCATTATGTGCTATTGGTAGACTACAGGCTTGTGTCCCCAGACAGAAGGTGAGCCCAGAACGTCATGGACTTTGTCCTATTTGCCACCACACCCCCTGTGTCTACCCAGTGTGAATGAAATCACAGGACTGCACCAACGTGAGTTCTCCTCTCCAGTATTTCACTTAGTTATCTTTAAAAGCAAAAGCTGATGTTTTACTTTACATTTAAATTTAACATCTTTCTTTTACCTGTGGTCAGTCTGGGATAACATCCAGGTGTGATATTTGTGTGTGTGCATGTGTGTGTAAAGCTTTCCCTGCCAGGCAGAACACAGAACTTTGCTTCTTAATTCTCTGCCCACTTTGCTAACATGGTGTAAATTCTATACGACACTGTCTAACTCCAGCTGTAACACCCCGTACGTGGCAATGAGTCTTTGACCATCAGGAGCTGCTCCACAGCTGCAGAAAGAGGATAACAACACACCTGTGCATCTTCTCCTGGATCCCCGACAGTTTCCACAAGTCTGGAGAGAACATCAGAAAGCGTAGTTGCAGACAGAGGCTGCTTCAGGGCCCTGAATATCTGAAAGGATCTCCCAGCATAGTGCCGAGAAGAACAGGAAAGCGCCGTTTGCAGAGCAACTTCACTAAGATGATGTTCCAGATCAATTCCTTCTGCAGAGACAAAGGGAACGAGCAGGTGGTTCTTGCTTTATAGAACACAAGGGATCATAAACCAGTACCCCACACACTACATGGCCAACCAGAGGGATACTTAAATTTCCTAGGTTGATACTTGGTTTTCGATGAAACTCATTTGCATTTTACATGGCTCTTCATTCTGATCACAATGCTGGTGACCAGGGTCCCCAACCTCAGCACTACCGACATTTGTGCTAGGTAAGTCACCATCAGAAGGGCTGTCCTAAGCATTGTGTGATTTTATCAATGTCCCTCGTTTCTCCCCACCAGCACCTTGGGACCACCCTGCAATGCAAACAAAATGTCTCCAGATGTGTCCTGAAAAGCAAAACCACCCCAACTTGACCACCATGGGTGCAGACACCTATGTTTTACTATGATTGTCAGGATGCCTTGTATTTTAGATTGCAGAAACCTCACTAGTATAAAAGGGAATTTTAAAATTTGGCATCTCTTCATATTTCCCTTTAATGTAGTTTTTCCATAATTCACAATTTTATTATAATTTTATGCTGCTATCATCCACAAAACTAAGAAATCCCAAATTTCATAGGTAGGATTCTTAGCTTTAAATAGTAACTTAATTTTTGTTCGACCCAAACAGGCCTGTTACCAAGTTAAAAGACAAAAACTTAAAAAAATTTTTGAATTTAGACATTGCCTACAATTACCTTTTAACTAAATATTGACATTTTAGCATCACATTAAAATATCTCGCTAAAACTAAATATTACTGAAAATATTTATAAAATATACCTGAGCTTGACTGCTTAAAAACAGAAACCACATGTTTCAAAAACGTAGTTAACTGTTCAGCACTCTTTATGCTAGGATTCCTGGCAGACACGTCCTCATGGTTCCAAAGAGGCCCTCTTTTCCTAGAACAGAGCAGATCAGTCCTCACGTTTGTAACTTGTAACAGTTTTAGTCACATTCAACTAAATTGCATCTTTACGATTAGAAAGGAGAGCAGTTGAATAAATCCAATAGCGGGTCACAGTCTACTCGTCCTATTCATGCACATGGTCATGAAATGTTCCATAATGAATACACAAAGGTCTAATTTCAATGTCTCTGGTCAGTACAGTCAACTATTCTTAGGGGTGGGAGGAAAAGATGATACATTTTGCATATTGGTTACTTTCTATGTGTTACAGTCAAAACACAATTTGTGGAGGATAGACTGTATCTAGACAATAATGCCAACAGGGCAATTTCCTGGTTAAATGCAATGAAAATGTTATTAGCTAAAATTATAGGGAACACATAAGGGTAGAATATTGTCCTGTTGGTGCTTTTTTAAAAAAGTCTTTGCATTCTTAGGGCCACCTCGCTGGCTGAGCTCCTAATAAGGAGCCTCAGGTGCCTTTGAAACCCTCCCTGCACAAGGGTATGCTACCTCCAGTCCCTTCATCCTGTTCACTGCTACAAAGCAGGTTTTCTCCACACATGTACTCATTTATGTACTCCCACCTTCCCCATTAGCTCAAGGAGTGTGTGTGTGTGTGTGTGTGTGTGTGTGTGTGTGTGTGTGTGTGTTTCTGGGAACGGAACCAAGGGCCTCACACATGCTAGGCAAGCACTTTACCACTGAGCTATATTCCCAGTGCCAGTTCAATGATTTTTTAATGTAATCTATAACCACAGGCCTTGGTTTCATGGCCTTCCAGCTTGAACTCTCCCAAGTTTTCCAACACTATGTAGAAAAACTCTTCTCAGTGTTACAGTCAGAACAGATTACTCACCATTTCCAAACATGCTTTGCTTTCCCATGGTCCTCTGAATTGGTTCTCACTGTGGGACATCATGCCCTTTCTACCCATCTATTTTCCTTCTCTACTTAGAGTGCCTTGCACAGAGTAGACCATAAATAAGTATTTGATGACTAGTTGCTAATGTGGCTAATTAAAGTAGAACATTATACATTAAGATACTTCAGTATTCAGTATTATTCAGTATACAGCATTACACTGTATTCAGTATTATTATATTTAATAGCCAGGCATGATTCAGTTATCTCAGGTATAACGGGGTACATGCAAAAGAAGAAAGCATTTGGTTGCATCATAATTTTTAAAATACTGAACAATACAATCTTGTGCACTTTCAAGCTAATGGCAATTCAGAAACCAAAATTCAGGCTTACCCTAGCTGACCAGTGAGAGAATAGTTAACATATCCACTGCTGGAACAGGAAAAACAGAAAAGGTACCTTGAGGTAATGAATTCCATGAGGGTTTTGACTTTTCCATCCTGCTCCACCGAGATGTCCACCTCATTGAGGAGCGTGGTGTGCAGGTGTGAAATGGCAGCGCTGTTGTTTCCTAAGCTGATGCTAGAAGAGGTAGAACTTGAGCTAAGCCCTGAGTCGGTCATAGGGGAGGGCTGGTAATCAGGTATAAAATCATTAATGCCTGCTGAAAGAGAAAGCTTGTCATGAGTACCCACACAAAAAGAAGCTGCAAGATACACAGCTAAACTACTCATCTACACTCATAGAGTATATGTAAGGGACATGGGAGGGCGGCTGTCACTGATGGCTGACAGCCCTTAGAAGCACACAGCAGCAAGTATGGAGGTATTTCACAGCCTGTTATTAAAACTCAGCTATCTGGATTGACTATGTGGTCCTCTGCTGCCATCTGCCGAATAAAATTGAAAGTGCAATTATTTCCTAATATTTTGGCATATTTTATCAACTTTTATTAAGTAAGTCCCATTTCTATAATGTGAACTGATTAATTTCTTGTGGAAAGGATTCTGTAAGGTCTGATTCATTTTACTTAAAAGAGTTATTTTAGTTTCTATTTGTAATATAATACATAAAAAATTAAACAAATACTGTCAAAAGGTATTACTAATGCACCTATTTGCAAAAATGGCAAAAAACTTAAACAAACTATGGAATTTTGAATAAAAGTGCCTCTGTATTAAAAAGCAGTAAGTGTGATTTCATTTTTCTTTTAACCATAGTTTTAAAAGGCTACTAAGTTTCCAAATAATTATTATTCTTTTTTTACTAACTATCTAGTTTTTGGTAAATAACAAAGTTTTTAAAAATTCCCAAACTCTGTATATGACACATGATTAAGAAAAAGATTTTATTTCAACTTCCAAAAATAATTATTTTCTCAATCACCTGTTATCAGCCTGATGGTGCTAATGAGTGGAACAAGTAAGTTGGGGCTATTAGGAAAGAGGATAGTGGAAAAAAAACAAAAATTGACAGTGACTTTATACTAAAGTCTCATTAAGTTGGATATCATTACTCCAAAATTTGTAACATTTTAAATGCAGCAAGGACAATCAAGTGAATAAGAAAGTTTTTAATGTCCAACTTTGTCAATTTTTAAAACTTGTGAATGGAAGGAATTTATCACGATTCATATTTTCATAATTAGTACTCAATAAATTAAGCACTCATGTGTTCAACTTACATATTTAAAGCTTAAAATTTGTATAATAAACATTTTTAAAAGCAATACAGACTCAAATGTTCTAAGCTTAATGCTTTCCTTAACTGATTGATAAATACTATAAATGGGAATTAAAATAATACATCTACATTTTAGAAGTTTATTCTAGTATTTCAACTTTTACTTGGTTGTCTTTCACTAGTCCAGACTCTACATTACTGAGGTTGTATTTCTACTTTAAAACTGTAGCTTAGAGTAAATACCTGTGAAAGTGTAATCTGAGTTTGCAGTGTGTTTGACTGTCAGCACCCTGGCCTCATTGAACTCCTTGTTCCTGAGTAGGACAGAAGCAACAGTTTGGATGTTACTGTTGGGCCCCATCACTATTAATAAGTGCAGAAGCAGGCGTTTGCAATGTTCATACACCTCAGGGTGGCAGTGGTCAAACCCTAAAGAGGATAGTAGAAAATCATCATCAGTTAGGAGAAATAGTGAGTATGCTGTTAACAAACTCATATTAAAGAAACTGAGAAATCAGTCATGCCCGGGGAGTTGGTTCCACCACTCACTGCCAATATTCAAGTCCCTTATGTAAAATGGCATAGCACTGGCGTATAAACGATGCACATCCTACTGTATGTGCATCCATGGATTACCAATTCTACGTAAATGCTATGTAATTAGTTGTAATGCTGTATTGATTAATAAACAAGAAAAAAAAGGGCAAGAAAAAACAGGTGTACATGGTCAGTACCGACACAGGTTCTCCCCAGCCCCAGAATATTTTCAAACCATGGTTGGTTGAATCCATGGATTCAAAATCCATGCATAAATAAAGGAAATGCAAATTAAAACCACGCTAAGATTCCACCTCACCCCTGTTAGAATAGGCATCATCAGCAACACCACCACCAACAGGTGTTGGCGAGGATGCGGGGAAAAAGGAACCCTCTTACACTGTTGGTGGGAATGTAGACTAGTACAACCACTCTGGAAAAAAATCTGGAGGCTACTTAAAAAGCTGGACATCGATCTACCATTTGATCCAGCAATACCACTCTTGGGGATATACCCAAAAGACTGTTACTCCAGAGGCACCTGCACATCCATGTTTATTGCGGCACTATTCACAATAGCCAAGTTATGGAAACAGCCAAGATGCCCCACCACTGACGAATGGATTAAGAAAATGTGGTATCTATACACAATGGAATTTTATGCAGCCATGAAGAAGAACGAAATGTTATCATTCGCTGGTAAATGGATGGAATTGGAGAACATCATTCTGAGTGAGGTTAGCCTAGCTCAAAAAACCAAAAATCATATGTTCTCCCTCATATGTGGACATTAGATCAAGGGCAAACACAACAAGGGGATTGGACTATGAGCACATGATAAAAGCGAGAGCACACAAGGGAGGGGTGAGGATAGGTAAGACACCTAAAAAACTAGCTAGCATTTGTTGCCCTTAACGCAGAGAAACTAAAGCAGATACCTTAAAGCAACTGAGGCCAATAGGAAAAGGGGAACAGGTACTAGAGAAAAGGTTAGATCAAAAAGAATTAACCTAGAAGGTAACACCCACGCACAGGAAATCAATGTGAGTCAATGCCCTGTATAGCTATCCTTATCTCAACCAGCAAAAACCCTTGTTCCTTCCTATTATTGCTTATACTCTCTCTACAACGAAATTAGAAATAAGGGCAAAATAGTTTCTGCTGGGTATTGAGTGGGGGGAGAGGGAGGGGGCGGAGTGGGTGGTAAGGGAGGGGGTGGGGGCAGGGGGGAGAAATGAACCAAGCCTTGTATGCACATATGAATAATAAAAGAAAAATGAAAAAAAAAATCCATGCATACCAAATGTCCAAGGGATACAAAAGATTTCACGGAACATGCTATATTACATAGTTTTTTTAATTGCTCTAGAGTCCTCTGATACTTTCATAATAGCCTATTGTCCTATAGTACTAGGGAGAATCAAGGTACATTTTAGTTATGTTTCATTCCTAAAATTTAGTGATCTCTTAGAAAGTATTACTCTGTTATATTACACTAGATGTAAATGAAGTTTTTTTAAAAAGGCTGGCATTTTTATTACGAAAGGAATGAAGTAATATATATCTGGTAAGTTTTGACAGCAGGAAAATGTTGTAAGAAGATGGCTACTATGACTTGCTTCAGGAAACCAATCCTTTAATTATCAAAGGTATGCTTGTCCTGACGGCCCACGTTTGTTGCACATGGAGTTTCAGTTGTAAGTCAGACTGTTCAACTGTCTGACTCTTGCAAAACAGTTACAATGTATTTGCACTTTCCATTCACTCTGAAAGTTTCTAATCTCAGAGGTAAGTTAATTTTACTCTTGCTATAGCTACAGAATTTTTCCTGGTAGAATATATGTGTGGCTGTGAGTATGGGCATAAGAGGCCAGAGGACAGGAAAAAGAATAGAGATAATATGGGGATAATTTGGTCTGGGTTTGATGCCTAGCATTGCAAAAAGAAAAAAGAACAGGGACACATGTTTGTGACTAGAAGTCAAGGCTAAGGGAAAAAAAAAAAAAAAACCCTCCTGGACCAGGAGAACCATAGCAAAAAATATTATGGAAATAACATACAAAACCCAAGAAACACAGTGCCTTTAAATTGTTATAAAAACATAAAATGAAGGAACAAGAAATTAGAATTTCTTACCTATAAAAATTGCATGAAGAAGAAGATGGAGGTAGCTTCCCCATTCTACCTTCACACTATGATCAATGATCAGATCAGTCAGAAGGATAACTGCTATGTTACACCTGTGACAAACAAGAAAGCATTATTAATGTTTTACTAGATCTCAGGAAACCTAGGAAAAACTTGTATGCATTACTCAAAGACTTGAGTATTCTATTTCATGGAAAATATTTCTTAAGGAAAAAAAATGCAGCTGAAGAAACGGTTAAAAGTGATAGCTTCAGAACAAAAAATAAGGGCTCACAGGTCCTTTGGTCAAGGGCCATATTTTGTCTTTCAATCTTCAGACCTAGCACATCGTTTGCCACAGAGTAGGTGTTCTATACATGTTTGGTGCATTACTAAATTTTGAAATAATGTAGTCATTGTTCTATTACGATTTTACTCAGGAGAATTCAAAAATAAGAGTGTTGACTACAAAAAACGTCACATTTTTCAGATGTAGTAACTGGGTCCCAGAAAGGTCAAGTAACTATGCCAGACACCCAGAAAAGCAGCAGCAGAATTAGATCTAATGATATTAACTGCAGTTAGAATGCAGAGTTTTGGAGACTTCTTAAAATCACACCCATTGATCTAATTTGGTGCAGTATCTCCATAAAGAAGATTGTGTCTGTGTTGTCGGATAGGGTAAGAAAAGCCGAAAGGGCTTAGCAGCATGAAATAGGAATGACACTCTAGTCCACCTGTGAAGAGGTAATCCAGGTGATGACGTTTCAGGCACGTAATCCACCAGTGGTGACCAGCAGCCTCCAGCTGGTGGGAAGGGCAGTGGTTCTCCTTGGTTATGCTCCATCACTTTCAGTCGCCAATTAGAATAAAGTGGCATTGAATCACCTATCAAGATAAAATGATCTCATTTTCTACACCATCTAATTTCTGCCAGTATAAGCAAGCTTTAGAAGACAACTACTTATAACATCAGAAAGAGACCAAAAATAATTTCCCACTATTTTGACATGTTTCCAAGGAAGACCTGGGTACAAATTAGGTAGAAAGAGAGAGAGTGGAAAAGAGAGAGATTAATTCAGATTCCATCCTTTATATAAAAGCAAAACTACATTGGTACTTCCTTCTGATTCCCTAAAGGGTGGCCAAGCCAGGAGACCACATGAGAGGTGACACTGCCAGTAACAAGGAACTTCTGGTAAGTTTTTTGACTAAATTTCCTGGGGCAGGGTCAACATGAACCCAGCTTTTAGTAAAATCTGTTCTACCACAGTGGGGCTGCAGGGTGCAATAACAAAATGATGTCAGGACATGTGAATTCTGTGTGACATAGGTAAGTCAGTTAACCTCTCTGGACCTCAGTTCCATCATGCACAAAATGGAGATTAGGACGGATCACCTCCAGAGTCCCTTCCTGGCCTAAAACTTGTCCTACCATAATGATATGGGGAGACTCAGGTCAATCACTCCCTTTGCAATCCAAGGGAGTACCAAATGAGAATCCCCACAGAAAATGCAAACCCGTTCAAAAAAACCCAGCCTGCTGCCAGTGTGTGCTGTATGATGCTTCTTAAGAACCATCATCAAATTCTATGCTCTTTTTATCTATAAGGAAACTGCATTTTAAAAAGAAAATCTTCCCCACTTAACATTGCTTTTAAAATCATTCCTTAAAATCAAAATGTTTCAGATTATGTTGGAACACCACTAGTGGCAGTTATATAATTTTTGAACAATTTCTTAGAAAAATACATTTATTAACTTCAATACAGTTAACAATACATCTCATCACAATAGTATGTAAAAACACTTGGGGGTATATTACTTTTTTCTTCTTCATAAGATCCTCCAGAGCTGCTACTATATCGAGATTCTAGTCTGTGGTGTTGACGGTTTAAGTGACTGTTTAATCCACTGTAGATGTCCAGGTGCACATAGCTATGGAATAACAATAGAAGTTAATCACAGGCCGTGGTAAAGTGGTACTTTATGTCTTTCTTTCTTTTTTTTTTTTTGGCAGTACTGGGGTTTGAACTGAAGGACTCATGCTTGCTAAGCAAGCACTCTACCACTTGAGCCACTCCACCAGCCCATAACTTACTCTCTAAATGTAGAAAAACACACAATACACAATATCCTACCAAAAGTTTATGTACTCAATTCCACCTTATAATTCAAAAGCTTACACTTTTGGTCAGTTCTTCCTATGCCCCCCGCTGGACCCACCACCAATGATATTACAACCCTTTATCACATATTTAAAAAAAAAACAAAACAAAAAACCCCAGCATATCTGCGAATTTAGTGTTGAAATAGTCAATGTGAAAGTTTTCCAATATGGAAACGTATTTTTTTCAGTAGAATTTTAACACAATGAAATACACATTCCAATGCAGACATTATTGTTTATTCTGATGACAATCCACAACTGTCTAACTGAAAGCTAGTGAAGAACAGAGAAGGAATTACCTCTCTTCAAGATTCTCCTTTATGGGCTTAATATCAGGGTTGCCATCTGTGGGGGCTACCATTGTATTGCTACTAGAAGTAGTTCCTGTCATCAAAAATAACACAGTAACTATTAATTCAGAATGATAAAGGACAAAAGATTTCAGTCAAAACTCCACTGAAAAGAAAGCAAGCCTTTTTATAAAAAAAGGAAAGTAGTCGTAATGACCAAGAGGAAAGGAGATGCCAGCAATACGTTTTTGGATGAGAGAAGAGAAGCGGACTGGACGTAATGAAGTCTTGTGAAGACAGGCAGTGAGGAAACTAAGCTTCCACATTGTTGAACCTCCAAAAGGTTCTTGAATGAGGAGCATCGAGCATCTGGAAGTGGGGGTTGGCTGCTATGCCAAAAATAGAATTGTGTCTGAAAATCTGTTTTTGAAGTACTCATTCCCCAGAATCTACCTCTCTGCTTCATGTAGCTGGGCAGCTGTCTCTGCCTGCTTCCAGAAGTCTTTTTTCACAAGTGGTAGTGTGCCTGCCTGGCAAGTGCAAGGCCCTGAGAAAAAAAGTCTTTTCTGATGAGAGTAAGATTTTGGGTCAAGGCACAGTACAGCTGGAAGAGAAAGCACCAGAAATAGAATAGGGGAAGAAATTAAAAGACACATGAAGAAATTTCAAATTGCTTCTCCTTCCCTGCATCCTTTCTACCCACTGGTCTTTCAGAGACCTGCAGACTGTGTGTGAGAGTATGTGAGTGTGTGTTTGTGTGTGGGTGTGTGTATACATACATGCAATCCATACATACACACACCTGTATGGTAGGCAGGTGACTAACAGAGCTTTTTCCTGGGAAATATTCCAAGAGAAAAGACCTATAGATATTGATACTGAGATCACCTAACGAAGGACAGTCAACAAATGCCACCTATACTTACATAGCTGTAAGTTTTAATGAAAAGACTAGGATTGTCAGGTTTCCAAGGAAAGCTTTACTAAAACAAATCAAAACAAGCAGCAGAACAGAGAAAACTGGAACTTCTGCTAGGAGAAGAAAACTTCATAACTTACCAGATAAACTCTTTGGAATTAAAAACATGTCAGTAAAAAGGAGAAATTCAATAGAAATGTTATTAGAAACTGTGTAGTCAGTACAACTAAAAGGCTAAGTGATAAAAATAGATAAAATAATAAAGCTAAACAATATTTCTAATTATACACTGCTATTGGCATGCTGAAAGCATTTAAGAGAAACTGAGTGACAAAGGCTTTCACAAAAATTTCATCTACAATAGCCTAAATATTACTATGATTTTCACTGGAAGTTATTGCCTTCCAACATTATCAGTTGGCAAACATTTCAGGGATATGAAGACATGACATACGTTAATTAGCTTGTTTTAATGATTCCACATGATATGTACAAAATCACAACACCATTTTGTACTCCATAAATATATATATATAACTATAATTTGTCAATTTACAATAAAAAAACAGTATTTTTACTCTCTTGATTGGATACGATGCATAATATATACCCAAATAATTATAATGTGGAATCACACAAATAATTTCAGCAAGCATTTTCTAAATTTATTGCTAATTATATTCATTAAAAATGCATTCCCTGTAGAAGGATAGAGGTTTTTATTCTAGTTTTGAATAAGCATGTAAATACTGTTTCCCTCTGTAATATTAAAAATCTTTTACATTTCAAATTTCTTTCTTCATATGAGGATTTACCAAAACTCATTAATTTTAATTACCATATGTGACTCCTATTTGATTGTGTTTTTTCAATAATGAAATTCAAGGACACAAACACTTGCTAAAATGAACACGTCTGTTGATACAAAACCATTGGATTTCAGTGCCATCTCACCTGAGGTGACAGAAGGGACTTTGCAGCTGGAGGTGATGCGATAGTAGGGGGGGTTATCCATGTGAATGACGCCAGAACTGACGGGATCTGTCAGCTGAAGCTCACTCACCAGCTCTTCTAGCAACTGCATTGTTTTGTCTCTACCCAAATAAACGATAACCTTCTTCACCTGCCACAAAGGAAATGATTCAAAGAGAAAAAAGAATTTTTTTATCTCATTGATTTGTGCTCAGATGAATTTTATCAAAGCCCAACTTTAAGTGGAAGATGAATAACACCAACTAATAGGCAGTGAGCAGCGTACTCTACCATTGCTGTCCTCCACCAATGCTCAGCATTAGAGTCAACTAGGATGCAATGAATATACTGCTGGGTGGTTTTCATAGCTTTATGTTCTTCTTTTACTGTTTTAAAACCAGGGGGAAAAAAAAAGCTTTCCTGTGAAAGTTTTTATTTTAATGGAAAACGCTTTAGGTTAACATCATCCTAAGGTTTTCCTCTGATCTCTACTGAGACTGCCTTCAAACCCAGGATTTGTCTTTTATTCTCCCTTCCTCCTTTTCCATACTGAACAGAGCAGTACAGAGCTGTCATTAGAGAAGGAACAAGAGCTAGAGCCCAGACTACACAGATCCCCCTGCCTGGGGTGGCATGCGAATTACCATGGACTAGCTCTTTCAACTGCAGTTTCTCACAGCTTTCTCCTCTGCAAAACGGGGACAGTAACAGTGCCTGCTTCATTTAGTTGTTAGGGTGTTAAATGAGTTCAGATTCGTAAAGCACCTTAAAAATGGCTAGTACGCAACGTAAGTTTAAATGGAACCTGCTACCATTTCAATATTGTGTATTATGTTTCAGTGTAAGTTTTTATTGAAGAAACTTAGGAACTGAACAACCCATCACTTTTTCTTCCTACTTTAATCTTTATTATTACTCAAAGTGTGGCCCTAGCAGCAAATAGGCATCATCATCTGGAACTTGCTAGAATTAGACTCCCACACCCTAACTCCAGAATCAAGACCTCCAGATGATACATTTGTACACACATACTGGGGAAACCAGGCTCTACAGCACCCCTGCCCAAAACTTAAAAGCATGCTTTGCCAAATCATACCAAATTTTTATCATGGTAATCCAGTGTTAAGACCTCATGCAGCCCTACCTACCCAGCTGGCAGCATTTGCTAATTCTCTCTGTTCTCTGGTTCAGTCTCCTCAGAATATGCAGTGTGTACTCCTAACCTGGAACCCTTCACTCTGTCTGATTACGATTCCTAAGTTGGCAGCCCTGCCCCAAAGCTACCATGTCATCAAGCCCACCCTACCCCAACTCCAGGAAGCTTTCACTGACTTCCAAACACATGTGGGTTGGAATCCCAGCCATATTAGGTGACACAGCTGGATAGCTGTGTGGCTTTGAGAACATTACTATTCTCTCTGTAGAACTACAGTAATCATACCAACCTCAGAGATTTATTCTGAAAGTAAATGAAACAATGTAGATGAAGTGCTTTTACCAAGTCTAGCCTAAGTGCTTAAGAAATTATTACTATTGACATTGAAAACGATTCCATTTAAATTCCTGGCCATGGCTATTCTGTAAATGTCATCTTACCCTCATCTTTAGAATTATAACCTCATGCTTTTTTAACAGTTCCAGCCACAACTGACACACTCATTCATTCATGCAATTATTGGGCATCTTCTATGTGCCTGGATACTATTTTAGGCACTGTAAAACAGCACGAATCCAAGGACTCATGGTCTGAAGGAGCTTATCGTCTATTTGGTTGAGGCAAAGCAAGTTAGATAAAATAGACAATGTGTGGCAATGACCAAGCACTAGGAAAACCAATGAAGAGACCAATGGAAGGAAAAGGGAAAAGAAGAGTGCATGTGGGGATGGTGATTTGCAGTATTACATAGGAGGGGCACCAAAAGTCTGAGAGAGAGCTGATGCCTGAGGAAAGACCCGAAGGAAGTGGGGAGTGAGCAGCATGGCTGCCGGGAAAGAGAAGAAAAATACGTGCAAAGGTCCTGAGAGAGTGAAACCAGGTATGTTAGTGGACAGCAAGGAGGTTAGCACGGTGGAAAGGCAGGGGGTATGAGAGAACAGTAGGAGATGTGGTGAGAGAGGTACTATGGGGTAATCTGGTTTGGGACCATATAGCCACCTTTGGCTAAGTGATTCTCAAAGAATACCAATCCTGAGATGCACAGTGAGAATGATGCTCTCACATAAACTTGAGAAATGCTGACAAAAGTCATGCAACTAAATGGTTCATTTAAAGTAGGATCTGTAAGGACTTTTATAGCAGCATTCTGAAGAACTAGTCTTCCATGGAACACTTTTGGGAGAGGCTACCGTGGGTCTAACATCTCTAACTCTATAAATAAACATATACACACAGACGTGTGCATGTGTGGACATCCAACTTAGCCCTTGTGTTTGATAGTTTCAGTGTCTTCTTAACTTAGACGAGTCAAGTGTTGCTCTCCCCATAGAAGGCAGATGTCACATCCCCCGTGTCATCGATCCTTCCTTGTCTATCTCTCCCTGGCTTTCCCTTGCTTCTGGCCCTAAGCACTGAGCTCCCAACTCTGTCCTGCTCTCATATCCCAAGTCAGCTGCTGCTGAGCAGAAACTAGAAATGTCCCCAATCTGGAGGTCTCTGCTTCAATATCATTTTCTCTCAAGTATCATCTCTTATGCTTCCAGACAGCTGGGGTTCCCTGGTGACATTTTCTTTTGTAGCCCTCACCGTAACTGCAATTTATTAATTGCTGGTTTATAAGTTACATAAAGTAGGTGAAAGCTCAAACAACAGAATTTGTATCAATCATTGGACTGGAATGCCCAACACCCAGAAGAGGACCTAGACTATGATAATAGCTCATAACTCACATTGAAAGAATTGATGAATAAATCCTCACTCTAGCTCTTGCTCGCCTCTGCAGTGTGACTGTAGCCCATTAATTTTGCACAATAAGACATGTGGTAAATATATATATACTTGAAAGTTAAATGAAGTTGAATACCTACATAAGGCAAGAGGCTTGGTTCACTATTCACCCCACAAATGCTGATCAAAAAGTGCAAAATGATTTTCAGGTTTTTCGGCCAGCCATCTGCAAGTGTGGTCCACACGTTCTCCACCTCTGACCAGGCCAGCTCATCACCATACTAGAGAGATGATACACATAACAGACACTTCAGAAATGAATGCTCAGTAGCCACCAAACCTGGTCATACCACGAAACATTAGGAGGTAACATTTTTCACAGGCAGCTTTAAGCTTTCCCACTCTTACTTCTTCCAATAAATCTAAGCATCGACAGAGGCCAATAGGAGAAGGGGACCAGGAATTAGAGAAAAGGTTTGTTCGAGAAGAATTAACTTAGAATGTAACACACACGCACAGGAAAGCAATGCGAGTCAACTCCCTGTATAGCTATCCTTATCTCAACTAGCAAAAACCCTTGCTCCTTCCTATTATTGCTTATATTCTCTCTTCAACAAAATGAGAGGTAAGGGCAAAATAGTTTCTGCCTGGTAGCAAGGGGGTAGCAAGGGAGAGGGAAGGGGCAGAAGGGTAAGGGAGGGGCCAGGGGGAAGGGCGGAGAAATGACCCAAATATTGTATGCACATATGAATAAAATAAAATAAAAAAAGAAATAATAATTCTAAGCATCAATACCACTAATGACATGATTTTAGTTAAGAAAAAAGGATATATCTAGAGAGAAATTTTTTAGAAGGAGGGACTTTATTATGCATTTTTGCTGGATTTCCCCAGGATTATCTAACCTCAGCCTCCCTTTCTGACCACGTTTCCTAACTCTATAACTTTGTGCAGCACCTGCAAATGTGACACCCCCGTACCTTTGCTGTCATGTACATTAGGTTGTTCAGGACCATGGCAGTGGCTTGCGGGGACCCCCAGCCTTCTCCCCGTAACCAGCGCCTGCTTGTCACCATGAGTTCTCGGTCTTTTAATGAATCATCTTCCTCTTCATCCTGTCGCCTTGCTGTGGGCAAAGGTTTTAAATCTACCAACTCGATGTTGTTCATCCATGGTAACAAGTAGTGCAGCATGACCTGCCGTCCTGCGGGGTGAGCTGTCTGAATCCTCTGGCTTATCTCTAGTTCAAAGCAAACCAAAGGACAGAAGTGATGTCATTTTACAGTATACTTTCACCTATCATTAATTTCAACAACTCCTTTTTAAAAGATAGGAAGGCAGATTTTCATTGCATTTAACAATGACAAGTGCTACTTTTTTCTTTGAATATATTTCACTTTGTGACATCATAAAGAAAATTAATAGCTAACATAAATCATAATTACTTTTGTTTTGTTTGAGACAGGATCTGTCTATGTAGCCCAGGTTGGCCTTGACTCTTGATCCTCCTGCCTCAACTTCCCAAATGCTGGGATTACAAGAATGCAGCCCCACATCCATATTTTTTATTTTTTATAAAAATAAAAGTAAATAAAATAATACTGTTGATGGAAATATAAAATACTGCATATTGTATGGAAAGCAGTATTGGTGGCTCCTCAAAAAACTTACAGGTCTACCACAGCAATCCCACTACAGTATATACTCCAAAACAATCGAAAGCACAGACACAAATGGATATTTGTACATCCATGTTCACAATAGGCAACAGGTAGAAGTGACCTAGGTGTCAACTGACAGATGAATAAGTGAATAAACAAAATGCGGTCACATACAGTGGAATACTTCGCATCCCTAAGAGAAGAAAATCCTGTGAGGTGCTACAACATGGATGAATTCTGATGTACTTTTGATGTATGAAGGAATGTAAAATATTTAAACCTGCTGAAATCATCATAAGATGAGGGCTAAGGTAGAAAGGAGAAAGATGGAGGGGATGAACCAATTTGGGGATATAATACATATATACATGGAAATGTCACAATGACTATCAATAAGAAATCTAAATAGGTCAGTATTAAGGATAGATCAGTATTAAAAGTCCTTATTAAGGAAAAAAAATTCTCTTAGAGACATGTTTTGTTTTGATTCAACCTCAAATTTAAACTTTTCTAAAAAATATTTTTTAAGAAAAACTAAGCAGTTCAGCCACCATACCTGAGAATATGGCGAGAGTGAGCTCGGGATATGCCCTTGCTAACTCCTCAGACAGCTGGTAATAAGAAACAGAGTACAGATGTGGCAGAGGAGACAGCTGGCTGAGGACTCCATCCGTTCTCTGAACCTCTAATTTGTGAGCATAACGAAACATCTTCGGTTCCAGGATCTACAGGAATGTAATCCCATCAACTTCAGCTGACATTTTGAGTCTTCTAAAGTTCAGCTATAATTAAAAGCATTTTCTTCCAAGAAATAATTCCAGTTTAAAAATTTATACGGTCATGTATATTACAAAATATGTGAATTACAAATGCCTGCAAACATTTACAAAAGACTAAAGCTGTTTAACAGGACTTATATTCCTTGCCAATGGTACAGGTTAGTAGCATAGTCTGAAAATAACTTCAGCAATTTAAAAAGATGAAAAATATTTACCCCTTGTCTACCTAAAAAAATATCAGTATATAAAATATGCATACATGGGAAAAACAGAACTCCAAGTAGAACTTGGTTAAAATTAAATATGGAATACAAACTAAAACTCACTATGTGAAGAGCTATATGCTACTTCTCCTAATTAATAAAAGCTTTAGGGTGTAATTCCTAAGAGGGTCCTACCAGGATCCTACTTTAAAGCCTTTAGAAATATCAAGCATCTGCTCTAGTCTCATTTTAAGCTCTTGGTTAAGATTGTGGAACCTTGTTTACTATCAATAAAGTTAAGTATTGTATAATAATGCTATATACTCAATCTAAAAAAAGTTATGAGGCTTTCATAAAAGGGTAATTACTTTTCACATGGTTCTCAAAGCAAACATCCATCCTGATCAACTAATACTTGTAACTATTCTCATACACACATTTGCTAATATATGTAATATCTCTGTAACACATTTCTGAAGTTTTATTGTTTATAGATTAAATATCCATGTTATTTTCATTTTCTATTTCTAATGATTATCAGAACTTGATACCATACTTCACTATTAAAAAGAAAGCTAAATATTAGTACTAGTATGCTTTAAGGACAAGAATAAATTATTGGGCTTCCTTAAACCCTGTGTAAAAAAAATTAGTATCTGTTTACAAACCTGTAAAAGTTGCATAGCAACTTCATAGATACTTCTAGAAGAATCAGCTGCTTTAAACAGTATCAGATTTAGGAGCATCACGGTGTCACACTGATAATCCCTGGGGATAAATTCCATACGTTAGGTAAATAACAATGTTTGGAGGCTTTCAAACCAATAGATGGATATGATATACAAAAAGCAAGGGCATGCATAACTTCTAAGCCTAAGCAGGGGGAGGGGAGGTTTTTTTTATGGCAACAGGTACAACAAATTCACGATCACTGTTATCCTTATTGGTTAAATTTCACTAGTGTTTAAGGAAAGAAAACACAGGTTCCTTAGTATTTTTGAATTCAAAAGGAAATATTTTCTTCAAAAAAAAATTCTGATTAAAATATGAAGGACAGTCTAGAGTACCTGTTCTGGAATACATTAGCGATGGCTTTAAAGCAGCCAGCAGCTACCCGCCTGGAACCCGTATAACATCGATCCACAGCCCAGTACATCAGGTTGCTCTGATCAGGGTTCAGCTCCAGCAACAACGTGACTGCTTCACAGCCCAACTGATGAACCTGAGGAAGGACCACAAATTGCCAGAGAAGGAAAGTTACTCATTGTTTACTTCTCTACCTTTTCACTAACCTAGTATACGCATACATTTATTGTATTGAATTGCAAGATTCAATCTTTTTTATTCAACTCCTTATTTACCCAGTAGGAAAAAAATGATATGGATAATTTGGCCTCTTGTTTTTCTTGCACGAGACTCTTTAGTACAATTCTCTCTTCTAACAGAACCTCAAAGGCAGTTGATGAGTAAGTGCTTTCATAAAAATGAGCTGTTAACTTATCTAATTATTCTTATCAAGCTTTATTCTTATCTGTAATAATCCAATAGAAAAATTATTCTGAGGAGAAAAAAACATAAATTCTATTTTAAATTGTAAAGTTTGAGTGTGGGATGGAAAGCCAAAGAGTATGGAGGCCAGGAAAGAGTGATTAAGTGGAGAGTGGTCGAAACAATGAAATTAAGCACACCAAAGAACATTTCTTCCGTGAATTGAATCTACTCTATATTAATACTTTATTTAGACTCAGATCCCTATTGAGAGAATCTTATTATAAGGGGAAATTTAAACTTTGCAGGTTATGGTAAACTACAATTTAATTTTATACAATGTGCTTTTGTATATACAATTTTAGCTACTTTATTTTTTTCTTTTATTTGTATGTGCTACTTTATTTTTTTAAAGATTTCTTTTTAGTGGGCCATACATTAACTGGGAATAGTGCAATTGACAATTTATTATGAAATCATAAGGGAACTGTCAGAATTACCTTTTTGTCCAGAGAGTCCAAGATGTTATCCAGCCATTTGTACAAGTAGCCATCTGATGAAAGTCCTACATTATCTGCAACAGGGCCACAACATAGTACAGCAGACATAGCCTTCAAACAATAATATTAGAATTACATTTAAAATACTTAAGAGGTAAGTGTTGGCTGCTTAATGAGAAGAGGCAAGACATTTTTACTCATGGTTAGCCTCAATAGCTTTCATTTTTTTCTTTACAAAGGAAAACACAATAGTCATTTTTAAAACTGAGAAATCTATTATGAGCAAGTAAATTTATTAGCATATGCCAGATTAGCCATGGAGTTTAAACAGTACTGGATATAAGATAAAAAGACCAAGAAAAAGTACTTAAACAACAGGTATTCCTTGGAGGGAATCTTCAATTCTTTTTTTGTTTTTCTGGGCCTTTTTTTTGGTGGTACTGGAGTTTGAACTAAGGGCTTCATGCTTGCTGGGCAGGCACTCTACTGTTTGAGCCATGCTTCCAGCCCTTTTTTTACTCTGGTTATTTTTGAGATAGGGTCTTGCTTTTTGCCTGGGCTGGTCTGGACCATGATCCACCTTTTTGTGCTTCCACAGGAGCTGAGGTGACAGGTGCTCACCACCATGCTCAGCTACTGGTTGAGATGTGTTCTTGTGAAATTTTTGCTCTGGCTGGCCTTGAACCATGATCCTCCTGATCTCAGCCTCCCATCCTCCCACTTAGCTGGAATGACAGGTGTGCACCACCATGACCAGCTATGGGAATCCTCAATTTTTAAAGAAAAATAGTGATAAAATTTTACAGATCCTGAAACTCTTTTGCATTGCATTTTATGTAATTAAATAAGTTATGTTATATGTCAATATGGAAGACAAATATACATTCTAATACTCCTGGGCGTTCTGAAGAAATCCTTATCCTGTTTATGATATCAGATACTAAAAGACATAAAAATATTTAACTTTGCTCTTTACATAATAGAATGGGGTTCTAAGTAGATACCTTTAATGCACAATACTGATGTCTATTAATTTGCATATTCCTATCACTGTATCTGTCCAAGGGCGTAAACATGATGCTAAAAGGACCTGCCCAGTGACTGAACAGCATAAACAGACTGTGTCGAAGGCTCTGTTGAGGAAAAATACTTCTTCTCTGGTGCACTGTAAATAAACACATAAATAGAAATAATTACTTCTTTTTATTTTAACAAAATGCCACCTTATTTTCTGTTAAATATGTAAGACTACAAAACAGAAAAAAAAAAAAAGACTACAAAACAGAAAGCTAAAGTTTTCATTTGAACCTACCTGAAACCTCCATAGTAACAAGTGTCATTTACATGGATGCAAATTACAGAAATAGGGTCACGGCAAGCAGAATGGTGCGGGAGACTGGCACGGAGCTAGAAGCCAGGGTCCCATTCCTCCAGGCCTGTCACTGGCTACACAGTAAGCTTGGCCAAGACGTCAATATAAACACACCCGGGTTGCTACGTGAAGGCTGTACACTAGGTAAGCGTTATTTTAAACTTTGTATTTTTTCAGCAGGAAAACTGCCTTTATAAAATGTACCTGACAGAGAACCATGACATACAAAACAGATAAAAGGAAAGCTGATCTGTTTGAAGAAAAGTATGAGGCCTGGGGTCCAAATACATTCTGCTGCCTCGTGCTGGTGGCCCCAGGGAGCCACAGGGCTCTGAGAAATGGTGTAATGTGAAACCTACTGGTTTAGACGATCTTTTCCACTTCGAAGCCCTATTCAATACAAGTTCTCTGCATCAGTACTTAAAGAAATCCAACAATATCATGATAAACCAAGATGGAAGTTGTGGGGACAAATGGATAATAATACACTGAGTCATATCTTTATATTAGTGAATTTCAAAAGAAAAAAAATTAAGAGGAAAAATGCTCATTTCCTCTAAATGACATTATTTTCCTTCCAAAGATCAAAATAGGGGTCCTGCACTTGAAATTAACTTATGCAATTATGTGCTTAAGAGATTCTGTTATAAAACAAAACCTCTGTTCTATAAAGCCAACTGTTGGCATACACTGTTTAACAAAATAACCTTAATCGTTTTTGTGCTATATATGAGAGGTATATTTAGTTATGTTTTTAATGTCTTACCCTTGTGAAGAATTTATGACATTAAAAAGATGCAACTGTGGGGCTGGCGGCATGGCTCAAGTGGTAGAACACCTGCCTAGGAAGCACGAGGCCCTGAGTTCAAACCCCACTACCATCTACCCCCCACCAAAAAAAATACAAGTGTGTGCATCAATCTTCATAGCATATGTCTCAGTGCCTGCTCAATAACAGGCACACATCTGCTAAATGAATCCATCAACAGCACTGTGTTCTTGTTATATCTATGGCTTACACCTTTTTCCTATTATATAAAAAGAGCATCACATTAATTTTATTTTCAATTACCATTTGGAGCATTACATTCTTTGCTCAAGGCATCTAGAATAACTTGTCCAAAGAGCTTATTCTAATTGATTTCTTCAGAGTTTTTGCCAGTGTCTTGACTACTGTCAAAAATCTATACTGGATCACTTTTGATTTCTAATCACTGAGAGTAGTTTCATTTGATTCCTAATCTCTGCAGCTACCACGCCATCCACCTTGTGCTGGTTCATTTTCCAGCATGCTCACAGTTGACATCTTAGATTACAACACCTCAAGGGAAGAAAAGTATGATGGTCCATTAATACTCAATAATGCTTTAAGAAACTAAAAACAATACCTGGAACATTCTGAATAATATTCGCCACTAAGGCACTAAAATGGCATCGTATATCCTTCAGTGTGTCAGAGTCTTTTTCATTTTCTGCTTCCAGGAGTTGTCTAGTTAGATCTACATACTCCAATAAAGTGTTGTTGAGGAAATGTGTTTCATTATCAAGGCCACCACTTGCACTGAAAATATTGAGGAACAGAAATGATAGAGAAAATATGATTTTAAATTATCACTTATATACAATCAAATTCCTAGTAATCAAAGTCAGAATACTACATATCAAACTATGCGTGGTCATGGCAGAATGCCATTTAATATACAAAAATTAAATGGATATGATTTGGGATTACTTACACATAACAATTGACGGTGCTTCTTAATCAAACAAATGTTCTTATAATGTATATTATATTACTCAATTCCATATCTTTAATCAACTATTATGAGTGCTAAATGTTTTTTCCCATCTGTTAAAATCCATAGCTTCTTAATGAAGAGGTGAGGAGACTCATGGGAGGCAGAGGAACAGTGTGGAAAGGCAGAGAGATGAAAAACTAACTCTCCTTATTCTCATCGTCTTCATGCCTATTCATCCTGTGCCTTAAGCATAATCATTAGGTACTTATTCCTAGCTATCTTCTGGGACAGGGATTATGGAGAATATAAACACTCGAAGACAGTTCAAATAAAGGTGGCATAGAGTGTGGTGTTTAATGTTGTCTTAGACTCACACACTCTGCAGTGAGATTTTCTTTGAGGCAAGGGATCTGTGCCCACAAACGAGGGTGGTCAGGGGACATCTGGTTAGAGTCAGAAATCTTGGATACCTATCGCTTTCATGAGCCATTAGGCATTTATCCAGGACATACAGTGTGTTTCAGTAAGACTATAAATGAGTTACAATATACAAAATGGCCCTTTAAACAGTTAAGTGCCATATAAATTAATGGCTATTACATTCATAATTATTAATGTCAATTTTCTATGTTAAATTTGAAGAGTATTTCTTGGGCTGGGGGCATGGCTCAAGTAGTAGGTTGCTTGCCTCATAAGCATGAGGTCCTGAGTTCAAACCCCAGTACTGCCAAAAAAGTGTTTCTAATGTGTTTAATTTTTGTTTCTAATGTGTATTATTTTTAAAGTAAAATTTTCTTTTTACTAGTTGTGAGTAGCATTTTAAAAACATCCCAAGTTCATGCAAATGAGAATAAGTTGCAATAGTTTTAAGATATTAAAAATATCAGTCTACAACAATAAACACATGACCAAAATTTCCTTCCTTCAATAATTTTTTTTAAAATTCTGGATCACAACCTGTTTGTGGAAGAGAAAGCAATTTAGCGGACTGCAACCCGCACAAGAATGAAACATTCATTCACATAACGAATATTAACTGTGCATGTGAATATTCACAGAGAAGCTACTCTAGCCCTCAGGTATGGGACCCGCTGGTGAACACAGACCTCTCCCTAAATGGCCTTCATAATTCAATGTGTTCCTTAATCAAGGAAATAAAAAATGGGCATAACAATGATAACCTTCTACTAATTACTTATAAAAAAAAACCAACACAGACAGCAGTGTTAAAAAACTATTAATGCTTAATAATTAGCAAAGCTCTTGCAGTTGAATTTTCAATATATCAACATTTTGCAGTTCTGCGAAACAGTATCACTCAAAGATTCTTCATTCACTAACATTACATTAAAAAGAAACAAAGAAGAAAAGACTCAGATGTATGAGGTCTTTGTTTTCTTTTGGTTGCATCAAGCCCATAAGTTTCTATTTTATTTTTCTTTACATACTGTTTTATTTGAGTGGAGGACAGAAAAGGGAATAGCGTTTCTTTTTTCTCTTGTTTTAATTCACTAGGAAAGAAAAGTATATCGTTGGTTCAAATATTCTCTTCCAAGCTCTATTTTGAAAGCACTTCTAACAAGCTTTCCATGCTAACCTTGAAAGGTGTTAGGCACACAAACGATCAGGACAAATGCTAATAAAACAAGGCTGTACATATTACCGCACTTGTTAGGCTATCGATACTATTTCCCTCAGGATTTCTTTCCAATGAAAGAAATGGATTTCCCTCGGGGTTTCTTTCCAATGAATGAAAAGATAATGGATCTTTTAGATCCATTATTTTTCCCTCCAATGGTCAGGCATCACCAGTACCCTCCTAAAGAATATTATTCAACAGTCAGCTAATAGAATTTTCCTCAAGAGGTTGGTCTTAGTGCCAAGAAGTCTTTACTGTAGCAATAGCTCCAGGTTTTACGGTTTACTTTGTGAATTATGCTTGTAGATTGCATAATTTTCCTCAGCAGAACCAACAACCATTCATTAAAATAAATTTGCAAACCTTAATAATATTTAGCCTTTGGATATAAGATTTTTTTTTCAAGTCTAGAAGAAACAGATACTTGAAATGAAGTAAGTAATAGTTAAATCTGTCAACAACATTACTGCTTTTCCCTTGTCTTGAAAACTAGATTCCAACAAACACTAAAATCATAGGAACATCATACCATTTTTTTGCCTAGTACAATCTAGTTTGTGGTAGATTTTCTAATGTTTTTTGGCTATTGGTTAATGTGCTGAATGCTCCTTGATAAATAATGTTTATAGTGATGCACATATGTATTTTCTTCTTTGCAAAGAAGCTTTTCTATTCCCTAATCATTCCAACGTTTCAAAAAAATCGGTGTTCGATACCAACCTGTGACTAATGGCACCAGCGTCTGCCAGCAGTTCAAATATTCGTACCAGCTGCACTCGTAAAATGTCTCGACGCCTGCGCCGCTTCATATTCTACTCCAAAGATCAAAGGTGTGCGTTAAAAGCCACGGGAGAAACGCAGAGGAAACTCGTGGGTGAAACTTGGACAGATGAGTGTGAATACAGAGTTTGGGGGCTTTTCAACATTATTTTGCTGTGTGCAGTACAGACTCTGAGTACTCAAGCAGCTATTACAAAGGGGTATGTGTGGGTGGTCCGAAATTAGTAAGCCAAATAAAATTACATGATATTCTATAAGATGGTACTGCTTACGGGTAGGGGAAACAAAATTCTACAGTTATATCTAGGTGATTTGCTAATCAGACCATTTCAGAAGAAACTAAAGTGATTAGTACACTGTTACTACTGAATTATAAAAGAATCCCTGAGACACATTTAAAACATATCCCAGAAGGGCAGGGAAGACAATCTTAGAAGGGACTTCTAATTCTCCATGGATCTAGCGCAGGACAAGTCCCCATTTAATTAATTTTGGCACAGAAAATAAATACAAACATAAATGAGGAAAAACTTCTTTGCTCATTATGGAATTAACAAATATATTTGTATTAGTAGGACCACAAGAACTAATGGCTAGAACAGTAGCTATAACCTTTCCACTCAGTTCTGGTTCTAATGACATAAAACACTACTAAGATACAGATCCACCATACGATTTTCTACTCTAGCTCATTATTTATGACACAGTTTTCACAGGACAGAGCAACGAAAAAGCATTTGTCTTTAATTTCATGTCACAATCTAACTTTTCTGCCTTCTACAAGCAAGTCAATTTATTGATGACCAATTCATTAAATTTACTCCTTCGTTGAAGTCTTTCTAAAGTACACAGAAATTTCTTTTGGAGAGGATAGGATGATTTCTTAACTATCCTTGAAGATTTCTGCAAAGTTTTAATTGCCTGTTTTTATTCTGTCTTCATAGGAAGACTGAGAGTCTCAGACTCTCAAACCACCATTTACGGATCTAATGATTTTGTATGAAACTCAGAAGTATAAACGCTGCTCCTTCATTTTGTTTCCAATTCCATTTACATCAAAACACACTATGACCCAAATGATCATTCTGAAACAAAAATCATGTCCATGACAAAATGGGGATCCTTTTGCTGTTCTGCAGGGCAGAATTAGAGAAGGGAGTGAGGAATTACCGATGGTGTTTCAAAATCTGTTTACAGGACAACTGTTGTCGCCAATTCCCTCTCCAATTTAAATCCCTCAAGGGACCCCCAACATCAACAGCAGTGATTCCCAAACAGTGCTTGGCATCAGATGCATCCAAGATGCTTTGAAAAAACAGATGTAGGGCTGACTCCAGGGATTCTCATTTAATAGGCCCTGGAGCCTATAATTTTTAGCAAGCTTCTTGAGTATTTCTTAGTGCCCCTGGCATTTTGGGATCACTAATCTACTGGATACAGATGACATCAAGAGTTTTTCACATGATACTTATTTTGCTAGCCAGCCTAATAGCCAATAATTTTCCTCTATTATATAATACAGGCCGAAAAATGTGCAATTTCCAAATTATTTTGTAAAACTCGCAAATGTTGTTTTTCTGCCTAGAATGAACTTGCTTTGCTTGTACACTGGGGAACATGCTTCAAAATTTACAAGTTTCAGCACTTCCTCTATAATACCTCCCATTCCTTGCAGGCAGTCTAAGGCTTTTCCCACTGTACTTTTTTTTATAACCTCTTATCAATAACCTTATTTGCTTATAATAAATTATTGTAATTATGGTTTACATAGTTGTCTGCCTCACTAAACCTGGTACAGATCTGTAGATCTGATGATCTACACCTGGGACGGTAAAACTGTGGCCACATCAGTGTCAAACTGGGCCACATCAGTCCCATTGCTGCCTATTGCTTTAAATAAAGTTTTATTGGAAAACAGCTACACCCAATCACTGCTGTAGCCTATGGATGCTTTCATGCTACAAAGGCAGTTGAGGAGCTTCAACAGAAATAGTATGGCTGGTACAATTGAAAAAATTTATTATCTGGTCATTTATAGAAAAATCTGCCAACTCCAATCTAGACCCTACTTCTGGCTTACACATGAGTATAGCAATTTTTCAACTGCTTTACAAATGGCTTTCTACATACGTTCTCTTGTGGTGGTGAGGGAATTTGGATCTAAAAAAAAAAGGTTTTGAAATTCAGTAGACAACCTTTTAGTTTTTAATTTCTAACTTTTGATATAGTATGTAGGATACAGCCAAAAAAAAAAAAAGTTTGCCAAATAAATTATAGAACACAGCTTACCTCTGGCCTTCTTTCGAGTGCTTCTTTAATTATGGGATGTAATTCCTCTATTAGGTCCCTAGAAGAAAAATTATATTCTTCCTTTCTATTAATAGTTAAAAGATAGAATCTGACATATGAAAATATGTAAATGTTAGCATGATATAAACTTAGTGTCAACACTAACCCTACTGTTTTAAACATTGTTTTTATAGTTTTATTTTGATTATAAAGTAATACCTTATTTTATAGAGCATTTATAAACTACAAAAAGTGGTATATAGTCCTTATTTTAATTTATAAAGGTAAATACCATCAATATTTCTGCTCAATCATTTTGGTACCCACATACATTTTATGTAATTGGAACAATATTATATAAAAATGATATATTTTGTTCCTTTACTTAACACTGGCATAGTTACTTCCATATGCCATTAATTAACTCATAATAATTTTCTGTTACTACAAATATTAGCTTAGTGAACAATTTTGTCCTTTAGTCAGTTTTCACTTCTGATTATCTTCTTAGGATTTATTTTACAAACTAGACTATTGGGTCAAAGAGTGTAAACTTCATGAAAACCATAAATTTCTGTTCATTTTTTTCTTTCTTTCTTTTTGGTTCTGAGCTCATTGTATAAGACCGGGGGAAAAAAAATATAAAAGCCCTAAGAAAACAAAATTCATCCACAATTTCATCATTTATAGAAAATGCTGACCTTCTAAGTATATTCCTCAGAACTGTTTTTACTTATAGGAATTTGATTACTTTTTAAGAAGATGAAATAATTTTTATATCTTGCTTTTTTTCAATTAGCACAGCAGTATATATATTTGTGATATACAAAACTTCATCTATCATTAGTGCTGTCCTATAGATATATGCTATATCCTATAGATATAATTTGCTAACCTATACTATTCTGTATGTTATTGTGGAGGAAAAAAAAACAAACATCAAATACCACCTCATATCAACAGAAGAAATTCTCAAAAGAATATACTCAGAGCCCAGCAGGAAACAAAAAAGCAGAACCTTAGACAAAAGGGGAGAATTTGCCTCAACAATATTGAAAACATCAAGAATGATGTAAAAATAGGCACATAAATGTTTCTTTGAAAGATTCTAATTCTCTTGAACAGGAGGAAAACAGTTTTAACCACTAGGCCAAGATTACACATTAACAGAACCACTATTTAGTATCGAGGAGGATATTAAAAGATTTACAAAAAAAATCAAAAGATTTATACAGCATCTTATCATCTTTAGAACACATTTATATGTAGAAATGTTTTATTTTCATAATAATTCGGTGGGATAGGGATATACCTCAGTGATGGAGGGTGTACTTAGCATGTGTGAACCCCTGCGTTGAATTCCCAGCACCAAGGGGAAAAAAGAAACAAAAAAGAGCAATTCTGTGAAGAACATAGGGTAGGCCTTAATTTATTTGGTACGACTGAGGAAATACAGGCTCAAATACATTAACTGGCTTAATTGCTACCAGACTACTTTAACTGGTAAAAGTCAGGGTGGGTATACAACTACCCAACACATACTCTGTATATTTATTATTTCTATGTATAGAGAAAACATAAGATAATTACCTGAAAGCTCCTGGGTTGGTCCTGCCAAGACCTAGAACGAGGGATTCTGTGATTTCCATGCTCTCAGAGCGCATCATGGGAACTATGTGCTTAAACAAGGACGATGGGGATGGGATGCCGATGATCTGGAAAAAGTTACATATGTACATATAGCAGCTACTAATGATACTCCGTCCAACTGTGTAATCTGACATTTCAATAGCTTGGTCAAGGACAATGGAGAGATGAAACTTTTGCAATGAATGACCTTTCATAACTCACCTGTGGTAGACATACCTAGCAAAGTTAAATGCCTTGTCCAACAGCTGATGCAAGTTCACTAACAGAACTTGTTTGTGGATCTCTTAATTTCTTAAGAGACTCATAAACTAGTCTCAGATTCTCAGTCACAGATTCTGTATCTTTTGATCCATCAACAGGAGTAGAACACTTACTTCTCAAGTCAGACGCCCTGGTCTAAAGTTTCTTTTAACCACATCATGACATTTTGTGTGATATCAACTACAGAACTTTTTTTTCCAAGTCTCTACAGTATCACAACATGATAAGGGAAATTCAAGAAAGGAATTTAATTACTTAAATGCTTTCTTCATGCCCTGAGAAGTGAGAGAACTCTGGGAACTAGAATAAAAGAAATGGTTATGAAATTTTCCTTAAGTATGTTCAATATGATGAATTTAATGAGCGTGGATCTTTCCCCCAAAAAAACTCTTGTTTGTGTAATGGATTCCAACTGGAGAGCCATAAAAAACAGTAATGGAATCTTTTGAAGCATTCTCTTTCTCTGTTCAAGCAAGTAACACACTTTTCAACCAAGTTACTTTATTATTCATAAAAGGAATCTAAAAATTCCTTTCATGGTGCCATGCAGGTTCTATAGTTGCCCTGAAAAACTTACTTTGGAATCAATGCTGTAGCCACTATCGGGGGTGGACGCCAGCGTCTCAGGAGGAGAACACCTCACAGAGCCTGCAGATGCTGAAGACGATGAGGACATTGCTGCACTACAGCAAAGAATCAGGTAATTTCTCCAGAGGCCGATGTACGAGTCGCTGCTCGAGGTTGTATTTACTTTCTTAGCATTAATGGGGCTACTAAGGAAAAGAAAGAAAAACAGGGGGGTATAAATCACACATGTTCTTAAACATTTATATAACTAATGCTAAATCTCTATCAACTTAGGGGAGATGATTAGCATAAAGTGATTACTAGTAAAAAACTTTGTGGAATGATATAAGATATAAATGAATAAGCTACTAGATGCATTATGTATTAAGCATAGTACTAGTAAGTAAACTAACAAAATTTGGAGAGACTGAATACATGAAAAGGACGAAGGGTTCTAAGACTATACACCCTTTACAACTTTCTTCTTCATCCTTAAGATGTCAATGTAATACAGCACACTACTGGGCTTCCAAATTGTCTCACTTTTCAAATGCATACATCACGAAAGCTGACATTTTTTAATTTACACTAGGAAAACCACTTACTTTACATCAACCTGGGGAGACAACAACTGCAGCCTTGTATATGCGAACATCCAAGCATAACTCACGGCTGTCGAGCAGTGTTTGGGAAGGTTTTCTTGCTTTAAAAAACTAGAGAGACTTATAATCCATGGGTCTTGGCCTTGAGTCACATGTGCAAATATCCATATGTGTGATGGGCTAATCACATCAAACTGGTGGCTAATAGGAGAAGAGTTCCATTCTGCTAATGTCTGTAAATCTATCGAGCTAGGGCAATACAGCAAAGTAGTCTACAGAGAGAGAAAAAAATGATTATTGTACACTTCAATAACATTCAACATGTTCCCATATGAATTGCTTTAAACAGGAAGTTGTTGGCTGGTGATTTCCAGATGAGAAGATTATACAAGGTCCAAGCCAAGTTTAAGGGGCAGTAGTGGATTCTTGAAATTGCACGTAAGGTCTTTTTGAGCATGTGAATTCATGGGTTTTTCTAAAAAGAAAGTCTATACTTTCATTACTCTCAAAAGGATCTATGAGCCGAAAAAGGTCAAAAACCACTGCTTAAGTAATATAGCAAAATCCAGCTGGCATGTGTATGAGGAAGCTGCTGGGAATACACAAGTGAACCACTGAACCTTCATGCTGATGTGCCCTAACTCAGCATGAGTGGTGTAGGCTAGAACATGGCCTCTTCTCCAGAGGTACACATTCTTAAGTATTTGTTCAATAACATTCAAACTCTTACACTAAAGAAAGTAAGATTTACTTCAGCACATTCTATTCATTAACCACTGCCTAAGACTCCAGAAGCAAGTCATCCATTACTCTCTTTGTTAGCATGGTTACTTATCGAAAACAAGATTCTTTTAATTGTGCAGACTTTTAATCATCTCTTAGGCTTATAAAATTTTATTGCTACCTCCCTTGGTAGCATATAACTCATGAGTAAGAGCCAGGTGTTATGCAGAAAGTATATAAACCTTTTGTCCTTGTGCTCCAAAATAGGAAGAGAAACAAATCCAAGTAGTAAAGAGTTATTCTTGTATCAACCTTGGAATCTTCACATGACAGTTTTCCCCGCCGCCCCCCAAACCTAATCCAACTAAAAAAGTTGCCAGGGATGTAGTTCAGTGGTACTGTGCTTGCCTAGCATGCACTCTGGGTTCCATCCCCAGCACTACAAAAAGGAAAAAAAAAGTGTGCATATATTTTCTTTGTAATGTTTACTGACAGTGTTTCTCTCCATTGTAATAAGCCAAATTACATATGATGTTGGCATAGAATATTATACTACATATTTAATCCATTGCACTTAATCTCATGTAATAAAGAAAAAAAATTCACTGAAGAAGCAGAGGATATGTTTTTCCTTTGAATTTCAACATTTTTTTCATATGATTTTAATCAGTATCTCCATGTCAAGAATTTATTACATGTTGTCGTCAACAGCAAATAATAGTCCAAAATTACATTAAATTTAAGAGAAATATCTTAGATTGGAAAGATTAGAATATTAACAAGATAAAATTTTTATTTCTATGGGGATAAGAACTAGACATAGTATGAACAAGTTCCACTTCAAAAATACCTTGTACTTTTAAAGCACTTTATGTTTCAAAAATACTTTCTTTTTGAGGGGACGGAGGAGTACTGGGGTTTGAACTCAGGGCCTTGTGCTTGTTAGGCAGGCACTCTACCACTTAAGCTATGCCCCCAGCCCTTTTTGCTTTAGTTATCTTTATGAATAGGGTCTCCCATTTATGCCTGGCTGTCCTGGACTGCAATTCTCCTATTTACACCTTCCAAATAGCTGGGATGATATGTTCGCATCTCCAAGGCTGGCTTTTTTATTGTTTGAGATGGGGGTCTTGCAGACTTTTTGCCCAGGCTGCCTCAAACCACAGTCTTCCTGATCTCCACCTTCCCAGTAGCAAGGATTGATTATAGGTGTAAGCCACCATGCCCACAAAAAATCTTCTAATGCCTCACATTTGTTAAGGAAATTCATTCGCGTTTGTATGTACACATGTATGTATGTATGCCTGCCTTAAATCCCCAAACATACTAAGAAGGATAAAACCATTACAGTTACCTGATCGGCCCCTGTGAGATGTATAAAGCTCTCAAGAATGGATGGGCTCAGCCTGTCCATCACATCTATGGCTAATTCATCATCACCCTGTTAAAACAAAAAAAGACATCAGATGTCTAAAAAAAATTAGGACTGCTCAAGAAAAGTGGCCACTGCTAAGTACACATTGAAAAATCCACTTTAGCACTCTGTTACAAAGGGAATTGAATGCAGATGGGTTAAACAGACTTTCTTACAAAGTTCACTCTACCTACATGAGAGTAACAGAAATGCAATAAAGATGGACAAAATACTGGGTTTTAAGCACTATCATCAGATGACTAAATGAAAATCCTAAATCTTACCTTAGGCATTTCCAAAAGTGCAAATAAAGCCCGTATTTCTCTAAGGACACTGACGGCTAATCTCCTAGTGGCAGGTCGGCTGCTACAGAGAATGACAAGAGCAAACCCTTCAACCACGTGGAACACAGTGGAATACGGGCTCCTCTCCAGAGGAGGGGGATGAGATGCTCCATTAGCCACGCCATGCTTGAAAAATACATACAATTTAAAAATAAAATAAAAGATACGCATGTATAGACATTTGTGCAACAAAACAAAACAAGCAATAAGAAGGCAAATCATGGAAATGGTGGCTACAGTCTCCCTCAGATTAAACAATTTAAACAGTACTTAATTTATAAAAATTGTAATAGTATGCATAGAGAAAAAAAGTGTTTGCATGGTATTATACGTATGTCATGTATCAGACTTTATCATTCTCTGACTATTCTGTAACCTTGGAAAGCACACTTAACCACTCTTGGTGCAACATTTCTATACGGGGGGACTGGATTGTTTCTTTCATGCTCAAAATGTGGACAGCCTGCATGGTATCACCTGGGAGATTGTTAGAAACAGATTCTCGGTTCCTGGTGATTTGTATGCTCATTAAATTTTGAGAAGATGGGCTGGTGTAGATGGTCCAGCTCTAAAGTTTCAAGGTTCTGTGATTTATACATTATCATAAATCAATAATGTGAACCCTTTTTATGGTTAAGGAGCACAGATACTGTAAACATGAGAGGCAATGGTGCCTTTGTTAAAACAATCAAAAAATACAAATGGAAGATACAAAACATTTTTATTATATGAGCTTTAAAAATACTGGAAACACCCTAAATTGAACTAAAATTAGCTCTGTTTTCTATGCTCATTAAAATCTAGTTATTACCAAAGGAAGAAGGTCAGAAAAGCTGGACATACAGTGTTTTATATTTAATAAATGAACTAGAGGAACGTTCAGTGCAAGGGATTATGATTCCGCTGAGAGTGAATGAAACTAATAAAAATATTAGTGTCTGAGAAAGTGTATTAACAACATTAGTTGTCATTTACCACTGACCACACACAAAGGGACAATACAAGAGGATCTGGTACCTGTGAGTCCTGGCTTTTGTTATGCATTTGGGCTGCTTGTTTCCACTGATTTATTAATTGTACCAACATCTTTACAGCATTATCAAGAAGGGTGGGATGGACATCAGTCACTTCACGAACAATAAAATAAACAAATCCTGAAAGAACATCCTCCCGCCAGTCTGGAAAGTCGAGCATTAGTGCCTGCAGAGTATTGAAAGCCAGAGCACGCAGTTCTTCATCCATGTGAATCGTGAGCCTACCAAGAGCAAAACTCAGTTAGCAAACCTCAAAGCCTTTCCTAGGGTTGTATTATCTAAGACTTAAAACTAAGATATTAGAAAATATGTCCTCCTTAACTGTTTTGTGAGAAGTATGAAGGCACAAACATGTTCACATTTTTGTGTTATATTCATTGTTATGCTGGCCTATACTCATTTGTTTAAATTCACATATACATCTATTCATATTAATTGGTATTTTTTACTATAAATCCAAACAAGTCCAACCTTAATTCAAAGACTATAGTTCAGAATACAGATGACACATCAGAATTTCATTTTAAAAAAATTCTTTAATCCTTAAAACATTATATATCACTATCTATGATCAATGAAAATTACATCCAATCACATGGTATCTTAGCCATATCTTGTATTTATTTAGACTTTCACCATTACTGGAAAGGACATGACTTATCTCAATCATTTCTGATATGCAGCTAAGGTACAGTTAAATACAAAGTGGCTGATTATGTAAAAGGAAATACTACAAATTAAGATGGATTCAATTTATCAAAAATAATTCTTAATGATGAGAATGGTAGTAAATTAGGAGTAGTAAATGTTTATGATACTTCATAAACAGTATATTCCTAGAAAAAAAAAAAATGGTTCCACCTAATTCATAGGCCCTAAAAACAGTTTAAATCTAAATAAATCAAGATCTGTAAATTACACAAAATAAATAAAATTACTTTTTAAAAAAAATCTAAATAATACAGGGACTTGAACATAATTTTAGTTACAGGATTTTAGCAGAACACACAAAAAACGAAGATGACAAATAAGAAAACCATGAAAAAGAGCTGTAGTAGTAAAAGCCAGCAATGTATAATACTACATGATTAAAAGTTTCTGATTTGGAGCTGAAGTGGATTAGTTTAGTGACTGACAATAAAGACAAATGCATCAGAGTTAGAAGTAGCCTGAATGAGTTAAGTAAGCAATATTAAAAATATACCACAATTACATGGAAAGGAAGCTGGAAAGAGGAAGTGATCCATAGTGACAGAGGGAGATTGTGTGGTTTAGGAGAAGGGAGGTATCTTTGCCCTGCTAAATCCAGCTTCACTAAGCCAGCCTTTCATTAGCAGTGAGGCTGAAGAGAAACATATGACAGCTTCAAACTTGGGAATGAAAAATAGGCAGCAGCAGTTTCATCCGTGCATAAGCAAACAGGGTCGGAGTAGGACTCTCTCGTCCGGAACAATGTCAACAATAGTGACACCAAGGGAGATACTGTCGAGAAAAGAGTGACAGTGCTCCAGGATGCTGACTTAAAGGTTATTTCAACATCCATTAAATTCAGGACTAGCTAAATATCTTACACCTATCAGCGTGTCTCAGAATATATATGCATGAGTTAATTACTCATTGTGTAGAGGAGATAACAACGAGGCCTGGCTAATTAAAGGCAAGGGAATTAATTAACTTTCCTTAGATGTTGCATACAGGTCTAAGAATTTACGATGCATCTTTGTTCTGTTTGCTTGCTTCCTGTATTTTTAAGTAAAGAAAATTTAAATGTCACAACTCCTATGGTTAGAGGACCCTATGATCTTCCTATCCAGTGAAGTAAACTAGTTAGTAAATGACTATCATAGGGGAAAGATGCAAAGCAAACTGTCAACATTGCTCAGGTGCAGGCCTCTTTACTGAGCTCCCTATCTCTGCCCCTAATAGGTGTAGTTTCATTCTGGTGGGAGAAATACGAAGTCCATCTTGCAAGATCACCTTCCACAAGGATGTACGTTATATTAAGCTGGGAGGAGAGGTGGGGAGGGGTGAGAGCAGAACTAACTGTAGTAGTTATTGCCCTCCCAAAGAAGAATAGTTAACATTTATCGTAAATGTTATAGTCAACATTTATAATATCTAATGCTGACTTGAATGTTGTAACTCTGCCATTTATTGACTGACTGATTTGAGATAGGGTCTCCCTGTATAGCCCAGCCCAAACTCAAGATCCTCCTGCCTGGGCCTTGTAAGTGCTAGGATTACAAACACATGGAACCATGCCTGGCTTTGTAACTGCAATCTCATTAACAGCAAAAACGAAGAGACAGAGTGGGAGGAGAAGTAACTTATGGAATGGTGACAAATGATATAGATCCTCACAGAGGACAAATGCCTTCTACGCTGACTGAAACAGCCACGGTCAGGGTGATGCTGAAATCTCCCTCAGGTGCTCTATTCTAGCCAGTGAAACTTGTGGATTTCCCTCTAGGGCAGAGGCTCAAGGGTTAAGTCCAGCCAGATACCACTGGAATGCAGTCATGCCCATTCCTTTAATACTGTCTCTGGCTGCTTTTGTACTGCAGGGTAGACATGTGGACTTGGGAACCCTAACCCACAATAGTGTTTCAACAGTTGAAACACTCAGATGGTTGAGTGTTTCAACCATCTCAACTTAGAATTTGTTTGGGGAGTTAGTATTACTTTGGTTGTCATAGTATGTATTTACTTTAATAGAGCTATGTCATGCCTACCACAGGGAAAAGAAATAAAAACTTAAATAATACAGGCTCTGCCACAGAAGAAGAAAAAAAAAAAAAAGAAAGTAAAACTGTGTCCTGGTCACCACCCCAGATGCTGAAGAAATCATTATAGGAGTAAAGACAGTAATTAATTCTTAACTGGGTGTCATCATGCATTGAAAAGGCCCATGTGTTAAAGGTAATTGTTACATAAATCCAAGGAACCGTTGCCAGATGGAAGGACAGGGGATTTAAAATTGATTTGTAAGGAGATCTGGAAGAACATTACAGGTTAAAAATGAGTAGGGATAACGTCTTTAAGAGATAATAAAATACAAAAATGGGGACTACAAAGTAAACCAAATGAAGGGTTAAAATGTCTTTCTTGCTGCTGTTGTAATGTTAATAATAGCAAAAGTGGATCATAAATGTAAAGGGCTGTAAAGACACAAATACAGTAGCACAGCACAGAGTAATCCTCATTTACCTTGCTAATAACTCAATGAGGTCAGTTCTGCTCATACCATCAGGAATCAACCTTGGAATTGCAGCAACACAAGTTCTAAACAAATCAATTTTGGGTTTTCTTTCCCCCCTGAAAAATATATCACAAGGATTTAATAGGAAATATATTACATATGCTAGATAATAAAATCAAATTTGCACAGTTACAGAAGGTGGGAGTCTACCCCCATATTTAATGTGTTTTTAAAGAGTGTATAGAAATCCAGCAGAAAATTGTAGTCCATAGATAGGCAAAAGAAATGTGGAAAGTTCAGAAAAAAAGACAACCAGCAAGAAGAAAGATTGTTATCATTAATTAGAAACTAGGATAGCAACATTACTAAATATTACTTAAATAAATTAAATTATTTTAAATATTAAGACCATTCAAGCAAATATCTAATAGTTTAGCCATCCAGAAATATTTAGTTATTAATCAATATTATAAGTAATAGTATTAATGATAATAAGTATCTAAATATTTAATTTTGGGCCCATAAAATTAGTGAAAAAAAGTTTTCAATGATTATCTTATACTAATAAGGGTTTTAGAATCAGAAATTCTCATATATCATTGTGAGTGATGTTTGTTCCTGCCCTCTTGTGATAGGCACACACAAATATACATACTTAAATTTTATGTAACAAAATTGCGATAATATTTTAAAATTCTAGTCCTTCCACAGCAGAGGAATAATACATTTTGATTCTACTCTATTTTTGTTGTTTGTGTGTGTGATATGCTGAAAGGATCAAACCCAAGCCTTCGGTATGCTAAGCAGATGCTCCACCGTGAGCTTCAAAATAGCCTTTCTATTTTCTGATACTTCTTTGACAATTTCATTTATTTTAAAATCTTAATACATTGGTTTTTATTTTAGTCTATATTTCAAAGCTTTTAGCTAATTTATTTTATACAAATTGTTGGCCTAATAAGATAATCTTTATGCAGAAAAGAATTAGGATGTTCTAAGTTGTTTTGGTTCAGTATTTGTATTAGTAGCAACAGATTCAATATTTCCTTTTAGAGATTTTTTTTCCTTCTAAAGATTTTAACATGGTCCTCTATCTGCATGGTTCCAAAATGCATGAATTAGTTAACAACAGTTAGTTGAGTAACACCAGTTCCCAACAACACGCTCTGCATGGCAACTATACATTAACTATAATGCACAAACTCTGCTGGTGCCTCATTAGTGCGTGAGGCACTGTGCAAATGAGATGCATGCCACGGTCATTGACTGATTGTACCATGTCTTTCAAAGCTGTTGGTAACTGGTCACCGTGCACCTGCTATTCACTTCACACTGACAACATACAGTGTGGCTATAGCACCTCCTTTCTCCAAAATGCGATGTTTACCAAAATGGATAATCAAAAGAGAGAATTGGCCAACAAAAATGAAAATACAGGAAAGAAGGGAGAAGTGGTAACACTGTGAATTCCTATAATTTTATGTTGTCTTGGCACCCACTTTAAAAATGTTTAACTGTTTCATCCCAGAAGTGGGGCTCAGTCACACTTGACAGTTTCTACTTCTACAAAATGCTCTCCTTATCATCCACTAATTACTCAGTGTGATTGCTCCAGGTGTCTGCCACCTCCCTATGGGACAGCTAAATGAAACCTACTTGACTGACCCTGCTGACCCCTCTGCCCCACATGCACTGTGCAGATATGCCACAGGGACCATCTCTGAGCAACACCATGACCTCCTGCAACTTTAAACATACCATAAAGCTCCCTACAGGAACTTTGTTTGAATAACGTGGGGCCCAATAACAGGATTGGCCTGTGGGACTGTTTCTCTTTCTCTTCATAAACAGCATGCTGTGCACCCCCCAGGACCTGGAAGTTAATAAAATCTTTATTTCCATCTGTGTCTCTATAAATCATTGAAAGGGCACTCTCCATCTTAAAGACTCTAGATTAAAATGCACTAGAAGTGAAATTCAAATTGAATGTTAATGGAGTTAGAGAAGACAGCTGAGAGGGAATATTGACATTGCTGTCATTTGAAATGCTACAAAACAGTCAGAGGAAGGAAGTAAAAGCAAACTTATTGACATTGATGAGGAGAGAGGCTGTGGTGAAAGGAAGATGTCCCAGAGGAAGTAATATAAACAAAAATGCCATATTCAAGAAACTCAGAGACATTAGAATATAGTAGTTTGTAACAACAGTATATTAACTAAATTGAGAGATCAAGTATCCAATGTGGTATTCTAAGATCTCTAATGCAAATGTTAATATCCCCCAAAAATCTCCCTTATAGGGAATATATAGATGGTGTCTAGCAAAGAAAAGAAGTTCTAGCCACAAAATACATCCTCCTGAGGAGGAAGAGCCCCTAACAATAAAAAAGATGCTGGGAGATAATTACAAGCTTGGGAATACAGTGAGATGAGGTACTGTTTCTAAAAAAACTAATCATACATTACTCCTCTCTGTATCCTCTGGTTCCAGGGGCTGGGAATGTAGCTCAGTGGTTGAATGTTTGCCTAGCATGCATGAGGCCCAGGGTTCAATCCCTAGTACTATAAAAATCATACAAACAACAATAACAAAAAAATCTCAAACACAATTATCAGATTGCCTCCTTTCTTTCTTTTTCTTCTTTTTTTTTTTTTGTTTTTGTTTTTGTTTATCAGGACTCTGGAAATAGCATTTATTGGACTTGAAAAGCTGATCATGGAGATGAAAGGCATGGCTAAGTAATAGAGCACTTGCCTAGCAAATGCTGGGCCCTGAGTTCAAACCCCAGTACTGCAAAAGAAAGAAGGAGGGAAAAAAACCAAAAAACAAAAACCTGCTCATGCCCACACACATCTGAGACTTATCTATCATTCACTGAATAAATGTGATGCCTTGTCAGTGGCCACAAAGAAGATGGGGAACCGGGGTAACTGCTGTTATCTGATCTGATCTGACATCATGTTAAAGAATAAGACTGAGCATGTGGAAGGAAGCACTGTATTAAAATCTGCAGCAGATGGCAACATGAAAGAACTCTAGAAAAGAAAGAAAGGAAACAGGTGAGCAAGAGTCAGCCATCTGCACTCTTATGAAAACTGAAACAGCAAGGAAGGCAAATCATTTACTACGTACGTAATCATGTCTTCAGGCTCCTTATTAGACATCTGCACACTGGTCATGCACATTGGTCTCCCAACTTCTTTGTCCAAATGTCGGAGAATGCTATCTAATGCTTTTCTTACTTGAGGATAGTAAACTGACATTCCTACAGGGGAAAAACCTCACAGTTACCTTATGCCAGAAATTAGAGGAGGAATACTTACTTTGTGTAATAAAAACCTGTCACCCTTTAAATGACATTAGTTTATTGTTGCCACAAAAAGAGTTTCAACTGTGATATATTCTTCTCCCTGATGACCAGCTTCAGTATATTGAACAAGTAGAGGAATTGTGTAAAAATTATGCAAACTCAATGAATTTGAAGAAATGACAAAATGAAGTGAAAGGCATCCTATGAGAAATGGATTTAATGGAAGACTGGACATGAATGTTTACAAATTTTATAAAGAATGTATTCATTTGGTATCAACATATATATGGGGACAAACAGATTTGGCAAGTAGATGCATTTAGATTTGTTCATAGACTTTTAAGAGAATATTAAACTGTATTGCAAAGCAATTGATTCCAGGTAACACTAACCTATGACTTTTGCCTCTTCATCTGTCAAGGTTTTGTTGAGAAAAATTTTCTTTACACGAAGAGTATTTCCTGAGGGCAGAATAACTCCTGTTGTCGGCATGGGTGGTTCGCCATCTTTTTGCTGCAAACTGTCTGCTATTACAAGGAAAACTCTGAGGCCTATGTTCATTCTCTTTGGAGAAAACAGTTCCAAAAAGGGAGAAATCAGTGCCACGCATATATTATCTTGTTTTTTTAATAACATCACATAATGCTGGGGGAACATGAGGAAGAAGGGCAGAAGGAAAACTAACCTTCCTACCTAACATTTTTAAGAGGCCAGGGAATAAGTGTTTGTTTTGGCATCAAATCCTCAAATGCTACCCATTCACTTCTGGGATCACCTGGCTCTCCTAATTTCTCAGGCTTATTTTAAAAACTCTCCCATTTTTCTCAACTCACCTTGACTGCTTTGGTCTACCCCTCCCTGCTCTCAGTAGACAACTTTTCTCCTACTTTACAGAAAGAAAGGATCCATCTTTCCAAATTCTCTCCACAAACCACACCAATCTACTTAAATTGCCCTTCTCCCCTCTTCCTCCTCCTTTTGCTTTTGTCCTAGTTCAGGAATGACAGTTTTCCTACTTATTTGAATCCCATCAGTTCTTGCATCCTCTGGAAAATTACCATCAATGATCTCTTCCCTTTCTTGCATCTTCAACATTTCCCTTTCAACTGAAGAAATCCCATGGTCTCTTAACTATACTCAACTACAGTAATGGAAAAACTCCCCACAATACTTCTCTGAAGCAACACTCCCTGTCAGTGGCCATACTGCATCCCATGTGACCTCCCAGATGCACAAGCCACCTTTGAATATCCATTCTCTCTGGATAGACAGACACTGACACTGCTTGCTGCATTCTAGGCCCCTCCTGGGTTGTCTCTACCTGTCATTACACATTCTCTCTCAAAGTAAGTGCACAGATTTACAAGGGCTTTAATTATCACCCATACAAGACCACCAACAAATTTTATGCCTGGCCTCTCTCTGTGATTTCAGACCATCAAACCAGTCTGACATCTCTACTTTGATGTCAAAAAAAAAAAAAAGCCTCTGATTAGACATGTTCAAACCAAATGCATGACCTACTTGATTGCTTCTCAGTGATTGGTCAGTCTGCTTTCTCTCTATCTGCATCACTACTGTCGCAACACAAGCTGTCATCACTTCTGACCTGACCCGTACCAGTGGTCTTTAAAGTGGAGTATATATATACCAGTAGGTGGGCAAGGTAGTTCACAGAATGAAAATAAACCTTTTAGTTTTATATATTTTTTGTAATCTGAATAAATAAGTTATCTTTAGATATGACAGGGTAGTCATGCCTCCCTTAGCTTACATATTAGAGGGCCCTGTGTCACACAGTCATAGAAGACACCCTGAAGGAAGCAGAAAGCCCCATGACGGAGCCTGGTGGGGGGAGGAGAGATACAGTAGCCTTGCTTATGCATTCCACAGTGCATGGCAATTTACATGTGTTTGTTTAAATGGGTTAATGGACAATTTTATCTGTTTTTTTTTTTAAACTAAACTGGCTTTCACATGCTTCAAAAGATTCCCACCCCCCAAAATATAGATTGAAGATAATCTTAATAGAGGAAGCCTGTATGTATAACAACCACCATCTTAAAAAAACCTGGGAGAACCAATACTTTTTCTACTCTTAGTATGAGAACTTCAGTAGGAAAAAAAATGCAAATAAGCTTATATGGAGAGAATTTTTTTAATTGATATTTGAGAAAATAACTTTTGTTCTTTGATTCTTGTTGCTAGAAGCCATGCTATGCATGGTACCTATAAAAACACTCATGTCTTCTCACTTTAAAAATCTAGAAATTATTATTAGCTAATCTTAAAATCCCACAAGTGAAAAGTTTCAATAACTTTCCAACCTATTTGTTAGTCACAAATATACTTTACGATTTCCAGCAAAGAAATTTAAACTAAGAACAAAGACAATTAGTTTGCCTTTATATATTCTCAAATGTTGTTAAGATTCCAACAGGCTATTAGATTGCAAAATATTTTGAAACAATCTGAAAGTATGTCTCAAGAGTGAAATAGACAGAACTAAGATTTAAAATCTATTTTGTGGTTTTTAAAATTATTATTATTGTAAGCTCCATATGCATGAAGGTATTTTTGGTTTACTCTAACATGTGTAACAGTACATGGCACATTTTAGGTGCTCAATAAACATTGAATGAATGGAATTTTTAAAAGAAAACCTTGAGTATAAAGCATTTGAATTAAAAGAAACCTGAGCTCATGTTACAACTTCTAAAAGTCACTTCAGCTGCCTAACCTGGAAAATTTCCCCTCTCTGTCATTTTCTATCAAGCTTAACACCACTATTATACCATTTAGTCTGCAATCAGAAAGGTTAAATAACTTGTCCTGGATCACACCAGTAGTTACAAGTAGAGCTAACATGTAAACCTATTAGTCCTAATAGGAAACTTTGCTCAAAGAAAATAAACAGCATAGGATAGTATATTTATTACATTACAATTTTTTACCTCTGGATTAATGGTGAAAGTTTTAGTAGATTTTCCAACACTGAGAAGATCAAATATTATTTCTTTCATTGCAAAATCCAAACGTTCCTGGGGGGGGAAAAACCCCGAAATCAATTGATAAATTCTTGTACCTTACTAGCATATATTATTTATCATCTATGAATTATATATCTAATGGCAACAATACAGGTTTCTGGCTTTAAAAAGCCAACAAATCTAGCTGAACAGAAGAAAGATACATATGAATTAAATCTAAAAGATATGATTAAAAACATACTACTTAATATTAAATGAATTACTTAGTATCCAAACGATAGGATGAAAATTTCAAAAATTCATTCATCAAAATCATATTCAAAATCTAAGTGAAAGAAGTCCCAAAATGATGCTGGTGAGGCAGTCAGCCTAAGAATAGTGAGGGCCATGAAGCATAGGACTCCAGGAAAGAGATCATCTCAAGGAAAAAACAAAGCCAAAAATGTTAACTTAAAAAATTAAGTGGTGTCTGAAAGGGGTTTTACAGATCTAGTAGAGTGTTGGAACAAAGTGATTAATCTAGGGAATGGGTACAGGTTTAGAAAAAGAAAAGCAAACACTAGAACTAAATTACAGTCTGCTATCATTAACCTTTTTGACACAATTATACTTATGTAGTGATCATTTCTTTTGTGCCCCAGTAAATAGAAATGTATTCATTTAAATTTCCTTATTTCTTTGTCAAAAATAACTTCATGATGGATCATCTAAATCATCACAGTGTCAATTCAAAGAAAACATAATGAATATTCTGGAATAAGCATTTTCCTAAATTGAGGCTATAATCTATTTCAACAGAGCTTATGTTCCCAAAGAGAATGTGCCCAAAACCTGGGAGTGGCTCACTCAAAACCCATTTAAACCCCTTCCCTGCTAACCCCAGGCACCTTCCTTTCCTACAGAGGCTGGAAAGCTAAGACTGAATTCCCAGGGTCCCTAGTACGAACAGACTTTACCATGTGATGCAATCCCTGCCACATGGAGCACTCTGGTAAGTCTTTGGGAACTGGGGTGATGAGGAGGAGGCCAGAGAGTAAGGAATCCATTGTACTGGTGAGTATCGTGGCAGCAGAAAGATTCTGGGTAACTTCCTTTTTTTAACAGTTTTTGATTTTGGCAAAGGCAGTAGCTTCCTTAATGCCCAGTTCTGCAATTCTCTCCTAGGCATCCAGATTAGAATTTGTCTCTTCAGTCCTAGTAGTAATTCTGTGAGCATTCGCTCTTCCTTGAAAGATTCCTTGGGATTAAAACAGCTACAGTGGATTCTATTTTCTGTGCCTAAGAACCTAGATTAATACAGATTATGAAAACAATTTTCTAAGAAACCTTTCAGAGACTTGGGTACTTAATAAATGGACTAACAGAAGGGTTATTAAACACTTTCTTGACCCTTCCTCAACAAAAAGTGCTTTTATCTGTGTGTCTCTTTTCCTTCTCCAAGTGTACAGACCGATGATTTAAACTTATTTTGTTGTAAAAACAAAATTACCATCTTGTATTTTTTGTTTTTTTGTTTTCTGTTGGTGGTATTGGAGTTTAAACTCTGGGCCTCACTCTAGCGAGGCAGGTACTCTACTGCTTGTACCCACTCTGCCAGCTTTTTTTGCTTTTTAAGTACATTATGATTTTTCACCATTCAATATTAACTAATGTTTTACTAACTTGTTCGTAGATGTGTGAACAATTTTTAAAGTCCCTCTATTATAACCTATCACTGTCACGGTTTGTATGAGGTGTGTAATGAGTGAGACACTCACCTGAGCAATGAACTGAATAATCTTCACAAAGATATTCAGAGGTGTGTCACGAGGAACCACACTTCGAGAACCTTTTGGGAAAAGTGCTGACACTATGCTCATAAGACGACTGTGAAATGATAGGATAAAAAGGTTTGATCACAAACAAGTCACAGCACTGCCAGCTTACTAACAAAGAATTCTTTCTATTCTTTATGTCAAGAACATTTATATGCCTCCAACTCCACTAGTGTTATTTTAAAATAAGATTTTACTTTATTACTTTATTTTGGCACTGGGGATTTTGAACCCAGGGCCCTGTACATGCTAAATCACCTGCTTTACTGCTAGGCAGCACCCTCACTCCAAGATTTTATTTTAAATGCACCTGAAAATAAAGCCACTCACCTTTGAGTTACAGTGTTGCTTTCACATTTTATTCTAATTACGTAAACCCACAACAATCTATACAAAGATTCCAGTGCAACTCGAGACATTTTAGGATCTTTATTCTGTTTAAAAACAAAAGAGAATAAGGGTAAACTTATTAAAATGCTTGCAATCATTTAAGATCACATACATTCTCTGTCAATAACTAAAACTCCCCCAAATCCCTTCTTTGTGTTCCACATAAAAGAGGCTGAAATATGGGGGTACCTATTTAGTATGCAGTAAACACAGATGGCTCTGAAGTAATCGCACAGAAGTCAATTTTGAAACTTTCCTTACACACTCAAAACAAAACACTAAAATATTCTATTTATATTTCTATTAATTGTATTAATATTTCTTCCATCTTCCAAATGATACGCACATAAATTACTTGATAAGTGGTTCATACCACAATATTGACATAATGACAGAAGAATCACTCATCTTTAGAGTAATTCATTTGCAGCCATATGCAGTTGAAGTTTAGAACATCACATAGTCTTACAGTTGTTTGCATCTCTGAAATGCCAAATATTACTGAGATCATAACTCATAAAGAGAAAATGCAGAACAGAGAATTACAAGCATGATTCTGAAATCAGAAACACCTAGATGAAATCCAGACCCCAACCATGGACATTGTTACATCACTCTGCCATGAGTTCCTCGGCTCTAAAAATGGAGAAAATATGACACCTGCCTCATAGCTTAAGAAAGCTAGTATTTACAAAACACTCAGAATATTATCTGGAACATGTTGAATGTTCACTAAGTGTAATACCTCTAATCTTTATTTAGACTCAAAACACTATTATTTAAATTATTATTATTTGTAATTAGAGAGCTATTCCATTACAGTCACTGATTTTTTAGTGAATTTGCTCTTCATCTAAAAGTCCTCAAATGATAAGTCATGTAATGAGATTTAATTGTGAATTTTGAAAATGTAGCTAAGTTATCTCCTTCATCAAGAAAAACTCTCTTTTTGAGGGGGTGGGAGATGGTAAGGGATTGATACTCAGGACCTCATGTTTGCTAGGCAGACACTCTACCACTTGAATGAAGCCCCCAGCCCAAGGGAAACTATACATCTGTTAATGATTGTAAGAGGCACTGGTTGCTATAAATTCACATTTTAAAAAATTTGGTTTGGGGAGTTTCTTATTGCCAAACAATTTTTCATATATGGCAACAAAGAGTTCTTTTGCTTTCTTAAGTTACACAAAAATGGCTATCTACTACTTATGATTAGAACAATGCAAAAAGATTGAGGATTTTTTATAAAAGACCCACAAGATAATATGTTTGCACATTTATCTACATAACGATCTCATACAGTTAAAAATAGAAAATCCATTTCCTCTGCTGGTAAGAGTCTCAACATCCCTCCCTTTTCCTACTACCAGATCCACCATGATTCCAAATTTCAAATACACTGCCATGGGTAGTTTCTATTTGCTACTAATGTAACTAAAGTAACAAATAATACATGTATGTTACTAACAACTAAGATTTTTAAAAAAACATAACATTCTCTTCTACCATTTAGATATAAGATATGAACTATCAGAATATGACGTCAGCAAGGAATTAGGAAGACAGAGTGATGCATGGGCAGAGCAGAGAGGATTTTTAGGCAGTGAAAACACTCTGATACTGTATCAAAATGGTGGATATTTGTGGAAACCCTAATATACACTAAAACAATCACTAGAAGGTGTCAATGTAGGATCATTAGTTGTAACCAATGGGCTATTCTGGTGGAGGATGTTGATCATGGGTAGGGCTGGGGGTTGGGGCATATGGAAAGTCTCCATACCCTCTTTTCAATCTTGCTGCAAACCTAAACTTGTTCTAAAAAATACAGTATTCTTAAAAAAAAAAGTTCAATTATGTTTTATGTATATACTAAATAAAACATTAAATTATATTTTCAAAATATTAAAAAACATTGTACACTAAAAATATTTAGTCTGGGCACAGTGGCTCGAGACTGTAATCCTAGGTACTCCAGAGGTGGAGATTGGGAGGATCTCAGTTTGAGACAATCCAGGCAAAAATTTGGCGAGACCTCATCTCAACTAATAGTTGGGTGTGGTGGAATGTGCCTGTCATCCCAGGATTATGGGAAGCAGAAATAGGAGGATTACAGTCCTGGCTAGCCTGGGCATAAAGTGAGACCCTATCTGGAAGAAAAAAAAAAAAAGCTAAAGCAAAAAAGGGTGAGGCATGGCTCAGTGGTGGAATACCTGCCCAGCAAACACAAGGCCCTGAGTTCAACCCCCAATACTGCCAGAAAAAAAAAAAGTCCTGTTGCACATGAAAACCATTCTCATATAACATTATTTGGATTATCTTATTTTAAATGATAGGATATACTGCATTAAAAAAAATCTCAGTTTTCAAATTTTTCTAAGATGGACAGCTATGTTTACAAAATTAGCATTGGCACAATGTGAAAACAGCAAGATGAAAAGTGACAAAATCAAATGTAATGATTTTTTTCAGTCACTATACTGATGTATATGTCTGAATAATAAAAACATCCTAAATTGATCTGAGCCTTAAAGAAAGATATAAAAAAATCTAGTTGCAATTTTGATCTAATTTAATCAGACTTTAACATAGATAAAAATCTAGTGACATTAATATACAACAAAGTTTTGATAAATCAGTCAAATGTAATCTTTGCAGCAACCATTTCAACATGTTTATTCCCTTTTTATCTACCATGAGCTCAAAAACTAATTCATTAAGCAGCATGGTGGTGCACACCTCTAATCCTAGCACTTGGGAGGCTGAGGCAGGAAGATGGCTAGTTCAAGGCTAGCCTGGGCTGCATAGCAAGACCCAGTCTCAAACGAAAATTGTTAAAAACCCAAACCAATTGAATAAGAGCTTAAAAATTAATTTAGCAAAATCACATTCATAACCTAAGCTACTGTCTCCTTACTTTCACTGGATAATGTTTCATTTTAACATTTTTGTTTATAACACCTAGGTGTCGACTGAACACAGTATTTTAAAATTTTAGCACTTCAACATCATTTCCATCTCTTAAATACAACTTCTTAGGGCCCCCCCCCCACAGAACCTTCTGAGGAATGCTTTTGCTGTGGGCTACTCTTCTTTTACAATGCCTGAGGTAGGTTTGAATAAATACATTAGACATGCAGTGCAACAATGAGTGAAGGAAAAAACCAAATGCCACACATAAAAGAAATTAAGCAATATTTTACGTTGTAACGGCAACACAACTCACCTGCAGTGTTTCTATTTGTTTTCTGATACTGTTGTTAGATGGCATCTAAATAAAGCAATGTGAGACAGCAAACGTAAACATGAGATGTAGCACATGCATGTTAGGTGAAACAAGCACAAAACAAGACAGCTCTCCACCAAGGCCTCTATTTAGAAGAAACTTCAGTCTCCAAGACGGTGGCCACAAGCGGGAAGGAAAAGAAGACAATCCCACACTTCGGGCATCATGGGATACCTACAACACTCACTAAGAGAAACTTACATTTTTAACTAGCTAACTGTTCCTCCTAAAACAGTGCATGTGTATTCAAACAACTTTTAAATTTTTAAAAGAAAATAAGCATAGACTGTAGTGGGAAAGTGATAAAAAATGAATTATTAATTTTTTTATTATAATGCTGTATATGAAAAAAACTCCAAATGATTTTTATAGGTTACTATTATTCTTCTGTCTCTCTTAGTAATTCTTTAGAAATTTAAAATCACTTTTCGGGTAAGTGCTTAAACTGACATAAAGATATGGGAATGGGAAACTACCAAATTCTTTTTGGGACAAAAATTTAAAATTTAATTCTTCAATGGAAATAAAGTGACACGTTATTTATGGGCATATAGGAATAAAGCCCATTTTTTCAAGGTCACCAAACTAAAAACTTGGGGTAATTTTTTATGTTAACTGTATAACAGGTTAAATGCCTATAAAAGTAATTAGATCTATTCTTATGACTATAAAATAAAACTTTTCAGTATCCCAGAATTATAACCAAACATTTTCTTGAAATATTCAGTATAGAAACACTCCTTATTTGTTCAAGGATAATATGGTGGACCAGAAAGAGCAAGAGCTATGAAACTGGATTAATCTGGATGCAAAGCTCTAACATTTACTGGCTTCCTTAATATGAATTACTCATTTATCTTCTTTCAGCCTCAGAGATAGTGAAAATTAAATGAGATAAGAAATCTAGCATCCAGCAAATATTAATAAAACTCAGTCCTAAGGAGGAGTGGATCTACTGAACAAAAAATTGCTTTATATGTTATTTTTTTAAATCAAGAGATTACTTGTATCAAGTAATTTATTAGATAAGGTCTTGTTCTTGATCTTGGATTGATTTTCTTTCCAGTAAGTAAAAGAAATAAATTATAACAGATAGCTGGCATAATTTTTCTGTGAATGCTCAAAACTCCTTACCTCAACTATGCAGAGCAGCCACACTGTCTAAAACTTAATAAACAGGAGCCAAGTCATAAAATTTCTGCTGAATAGAGCCTTAATGTAAGTTAAGGGTTAATGCCAAGACAATTATACTCCAAATATTCATGCTAATTGGCTCTTATCTCCTTTAATCTGGCAAATTGATACAACCATTAATGGAAATGGACAATATGCCAGAAATATTAAATAGGAGGTAAGGATTACAAAACAAAACAAAACAGTGCATTTTAAACAAAAGCCTTAAGACAAAAAAAAAAAAGATAAGGTACTGCGAAAGTATTGCAAGTATGTTAGGTTGAAACGTATATATATATGTATATATATATAAAAATTCCAACAAGCAACAGAAAAGTATGAATTGTCATGAAACAAAGCAATCTTCCAGAAACACTTAAAGGCATGACTTTAAAATATCTAATATAAAGTATGTAAAAAAAATCATACTACTCAGAAAATGATCCATTCCCATTTAGTATCTACATAGGTATGAATTACCAAAACAAGGACAGAAACAAGTATAATGTAACTAATTAACATAATTTCTTTCCTGGTTATAATACATAAAGAGTTTAATCAGTTTAATTTGGTTCTGAGAATTCTCATAAAAAAGCAAAGAAGGTATATCAATTCTTATCCCAATATGAGTAATATCAATGTGTTTCTAAAAAGAAATAGACAAAAATGATTTTCATTGACTTATATATTCCATATACTATATTCAAAGCAGTTTAAAATCATGAAAAAGATATAAGGGTTATATCCAGAAGATCATTCCCAAGCTATGAAAGAAATAGGTCTACTGACTACAAAGCCTCAGTGACTGACTAGAGACGGGTCATTTAATCTATCAGTGCTTCAGTTTCACTGTCAAAGAATAAGGTTTTTAGTGTCAAATCTACCTTAGAGGAATTACAGGAAAAGAAATGTCACATCTGCAATGTTTCCACAACTTGTATGAAAACATTCAAATAGACTCTTCTAACATCCAGTTACTCAAAGAAATAGTCATATGACATACAGATGAGGAATAACTCCAACCTCTGTGCCAGTCATTAACTGTGCTCCTACCCAACCCAAAGAAGAAAAGAGGATCCTGTTAGCAGAGCAGTCTGGCAAGAACACCACCTATCTTCTGTAGTTTTGCTGTCAGTACCAAGAGAGAATGAACATGGACATCCCCAACAATGTTAATAATGAGATCCCTTCATTCAAACTGTAACTGCTTCAGGAGCCTTCACATCTGTGTAGGATCCAGTACTTTTAGATTTGGCTGGGCCTACCTATGTTACATGTGCTTTTAGTGATATTTTATTAGCAAAGTTTTTTCATATTACTCAGGCTTAAGCCAATCAATATTACTGATTTTTCTTAAAAGACAGTAAGTATACAGAGGATTTTGTGAGATTAATATTTTATAATTTATAAATTTATTAACAAATATTGCTTGATCTAAAACAATATAATGTTCTTTGGAAACAGAAAATTTTGTCTTCATTAAGACAACCTAAATTTCTAATGAAAAGTTTATTCATTTCCATACATGATTCCTTATGGAAGAAATAAAGTACATACAAGAAATGAGGCAAGATATTATTTAAATGGACCAATAGTAATCAAGGTCTTATTCTATATTATTCAATGTTCTACACATAAATGAATACATCACACTCAGTTTTGACAGATCAGAAATATAATTACGTCTTACCTTTAAATGTGACAAACAGTTCTGTAGGAAAATATGCCAGTTATTTAAAAAAAACTGTTTCTGACTGACACATAAAAGGCAGGTAATTAGAGGATACAAAGCCTGCAGGAGACGGGGAAAAAGAGAGAATTAACATTTTCCATGGAAAAGCACTGGATTTGTAAATGATTGTTTCATTTAATCTTTTAAACAAGGAAACTTAAAAAACTTTTCAGGCAGTTTTCCCATATTTAGTAAGAAATATAATTTCATACATCTAATAAAGAATGATAAAGAACAATTCCCTGAACTATCACCTCCCTAAGTGAGCACACGCTCTTATTTCTTCCTGCACCAGTTAGTCATCATTCAGTACAGTGCTTATGAACAACAGGCCCTAGCATCAGAGGACAGACTGACATTCAAGTTTCAGCTTTCTGTTCGGCAAGCGCATGGCTTCAGGGGCTCCATCGAGTGCTTCAAGGCTTATTTTCTGAACATATAAATAATCACAAATGTCCTATGGGGCCATAAGGAAAGTAGTTATCTCAATGCCTGCCACAACAAACATTTATGATTATTATTGTATCTCTAGTTTCGATGATCAAATATTTGCCCAATTCACATTTTCTCCAAGCTACAGAAAAGAAATAGGAAATAGTCTTCAACCTTAGAAGAGAGAGATAATTAGATAGAGGATGGTTCCTAAACAATGTGACGCTTTGGAATACAATTTACTATGATATGAAATGAAGGAATTTATGCCTTACTGGAAGACTACATTCAATCTTTCCCACACCATATAAGTTAAAGCACCTGTCAAGACAGGTAATTACTTACAAGGAAGTCTAAATAACTTACCAAATGTAGAGGTAATAAAACCAAATTAATAATAGAAAGCAGAAGAAAACACGTATGTAAAATTTGCCACTGTATTATACTTTTGCAAATTCGGATTTTACAATTTCAGATTTTACTATTCTCTTAAATCTCTACTGAATTCATAAATCAATTACAAAAGTGTCCAATTAAACATGTGAAGGTTTGAAGTATTTCTCAGTACCAATGAATGCTTCTTCCTGGAGCTCAGTTCAAAAGTAGTCTGATAAAGCATCTCCACAAAATTTTTCAAACAGGGGACATTCACTTCATTTTTAACAGCCTAGGAAAAGAGGAAATGCAAACCAAAAGAAAATGGTCAAACATTTTCAACTCCACAAGGATTATAAGACTGAAAGTTAGTTAATCATTCACTAAGACTTGCTAGGAAGTCTTATCAGGAACCAAATGACCAAGTGTTAAGTCAATAAGATAAGCCTGGTCCCTGCCCCATGAGAATCAGCAGAACAGACAAGTGAGCAAACAGGCGGAGGGCAGACAGTCTGTCAGTGCCAGGAAAGCAAGTTGCCAGGGATCATGGAGCAGTCACAAGGGCCTCTTTGGACAAACTCTACAAGGAAGTGGCATCTAAGCAGAAGTCTTACCTCACTTGTTGCAGCGGCCTCCTACTTAACCCTTCTGCTCTCACCTGCCACTATTCTGTTTCTGGTGCTGTGATCAGACACACCAGCTTTCTTGATGTCCCTAGAATAGCCTCAGGATGCACACATGTGTTCCTTCTGTCCAAACACTCTTTTCCTGGATATAAAAAGTCTTTCTCCTTATTCCTTTAGTTTTTGTTGCTCTCCTTCAAGGTAGTACACTTTCGTAATGATACTATTTAAAATTTCATCTCCTCTACCCCTTTGGCTATCTTTACACTGGCCTCCCCTTTACAATTTTTCACACAGTACTTTCCATAATCTGACATTGTACATATTAATATACTTTATTTCCTGTTTTCCACACTAGAGGTAAGCTCTACAATAGCAAAGTCTTCCCTATGTTTTTCCTTGTTGCATTTCCTGTGCACAGAACAGGACCTTACACAGACAAAGCACTCAATATGTGTATTGTATGAATAAAGAGAAGCCAGCTGGGCAAAGAGGGGAGGTCAGTAGAGAGGCAAAATGTTCCAGGCAGAAGAGCTGCCTGTGTAGAGAGCTGGGGTCATGGATTGAATTATTGTCCTACAAAATCCATATGTTGAGACCTTACCCCCACATTCCTCAGAAAGAGAACCTCTTTGGGAAAAGGTCATTGCAGATCTTATTAGTTAAATTAGGATTAGAGGGTCTCTAATCCAGCATGACTAATGTCTTTTTAAAAAGGAAAAATTCGAACACAAACATGCACGTAAGGAGAAGGCCATGTGACAATGAGGGCAGGCACCAGGGTGCTGCTTGTACAAGGCAAGGAATGCCAAAGGTTTTCAGTATGCCCAAGAAGCTGGCTAAAAAGTAAGAAGCAAATTCTTCACAGTCTTCAAAAGGAACCAGTGTGTGGACACTCTGACCTCAAACTTACAGCCTTCGTCACTATGAAACAGTAAATGTTTTGTTGTTAAGGCACACCCAGTTTGTGGTAGTAATTATGGCAGCCCTACCAAAGTGATAAACCTGGACACAAAAGTAAACATGGTATAAAAGAACAGGCAATGCAGTGAGAATGGACCACAGTCGAGAGCTTAGTAAAGAGCTTTTCTTCCTACAACTGCTCCTTTGGATGAATTACCTAAAACACTAAAACCTAATCTTAGTTAGATACCTGGCAAAAAGATTCTCAGAAAAAGGATGAAGTACAAATGACAATTTGGGATCATTAAGGGGTAATTCAAACCATTTCTGGGACAGAAAAAGAAACTCCATTTGATAACAATGATAGATGATAGCCAGCTTTTTTTCAAAAATAAAATCAGCCCAGTTTACACAGCTAAAAACTGGGATATTGTGAGGAAATTGACTCAAACCACTTGCAAACCTTTAATTCATGACTTTTTAAAATCTCTATTCTAAAAACAATCAAGTATTTCCTATAAGAAAAAATTTAATACAGGTAGAAAATATTCATTACAGGTAAAAATTATGCTAACCACTCTGTCATTATACTTTAAGTTCTTAACTTTTCTTACAATTACTAACTTTTCTTACAGAGCACTGTAAGAAAAATTAAGAACTTAACCTTTCCTAAACAGGCTTCAAAGGTAGTACATGACTACTACAAAAGAATATATAAACATACAGGTCACAAATCAGTGAATTCAATTTTAAAAATAAAAGCCAAAACAGGTATATTTTTCAACATGAAAATAAATTTCATTTTTTGAAATTTTAAGCAGAATAAAATCTGGATAAGAGAATCTAACTTCCATTTCCAGCCAAGATAAAGGGGACTGGATTTATTTTACCATATGAAACAACCAAAAATACAAGCCAAATGTAACAAATCATATACAAAATACTATACATCAGTCAACGAAACAAAGTAACTGTTTAGGAATGAGAAACAAAGTGAGATAACCCTGGGATGGCCCAAGCTTACTGCCTTGTAAAAATTTTCAGGGAAGAAATGGAAGCATAAGGTTGAATACGACACATACATAGCATAAAAATTAAAATATACTTACAGCAGCTACAGGGATAAGAATCTCCACAAATAAACCAGCAAGTGCATGCTTTATATCTTTATCTTTTACTTCTAAGAAATACTGAGCACATTCCTTAAAGAGAAAAAGATATGTTCAGATTAGCAAGAAGAAAAGTTAAAGAATTTGTAGTATCACAATAATTTTGTGAACACTCTCCAAGTTTACCAAAAAACTAAGGTCAGAGCATCCTTAACTCAAAAAAGAAAGTTAACCTACAGGTGTGAGAATTTAACACTTGGAACAAGAAATTAACAATGCTATTAATTTATGTATCTTTTGGTTCATAAAAAGGACAACCACTGCCATGCTAATTCTAGTCACTACCACTGAGAAGGTCTATCACCTGCATAAACTGGAATGATGCTTCAAAATCTTCTACAGGATACATTTTCACCCGGAAAAATTTCATTCCCATTATTAAGCTGATGACACTTTGTACCACATGGGGGCTTTGTTCCTTTTGTCGCAGTTCTTTTAATTCTGTCACAAACTTCTTCCTTACAGCCTGAAACCTTTAATATACATGGAGACAAAATTTGACTTGAATTAAAAACACTAATTTCTCACATGAAGTTTAAGGGTGAAATCAAAAGATATGTTGTCCAGATAGCACCTCCTTTCTCTGCCCTCATCAAATGACCAGAAAAGCATACAGAAGAAAATCAAAATGTTACACTAAAATTGCTCATTTTATTTTAAACTTAAGGATAACTGAAGGAGGAAAAAATAGGATTTATTTTTATGATGTCATCAATACAGCACCCTTGCTGTTTATTAATAATCATAATAAAATAAGAACAAATAACATACCCAGAAAACATCTTTATATAAATAAGAGATTGTCTCCAACCTTGGAGGCTTTTTGCTGTTTCCGAAGATAGTTAACAGAGACCAGATAGGAGACTATAAATTTATTCAAAGAGACAAACCAGCCAATTATAGGGTATAAATTATCACTTAAAATTATTATCTCATTATACTGCAGAAAACCTGAAGAGAAAGAGAGGACACTGGTCACCCAATGTGAGTAGGTGACAGAATCCAATGCTGGATTCAAACCATCACGAATGTGCAGACTGGTATTCCTTTGTGTACGTTTGAAAAAGACATGTCATAGTTCATTAATACATAATATTTTATTATCCCCCACTACACATTATGAAACAATTAAAGGTGTTATTGTTAGTACTACTTCAGAAAATCAGCTCCTGACAGTTACAATGACCTCAAATAAGGCTTACTTTCCAATGGTCGCTGACTATAGAAAAGGGGATAAAAAGCCACATATTAATAAAATGTGGATATATTTTAGGAAGAATAACTCAGCTATTTTGATTAGACTCTTAAGAGAATATATTATTTTGCCTGATATCATTGTTTAGCAATTCATTAAGATAATCATTTTTTAAAGTAGATAAAAATTTTTCCATTGAAATATTAAAACCCAAGGTTTTTTTAATTAACTAAATTTCTCAAAAAACACACAGTCATACAATCAAAGAAAACTATATAGTTGAGGATGTGGCTCAAATAATAAGTCTGCCTAGCAAGCACAATGCCCTGATTTCAAAACAGTACTGCTAAAAACAACAACAACAAAAACTACAGACAAGATTCAAATACATCTCCAGCCCATCTGTATCTCTCTTCCCCCGCTTTCCTGCTCCCATCCCACCTTACACCTGCCCCCTTAGGTACTATGAATCTAACCCAATGTGGATCCATCCACCTTTTCTCCCATATTCATTACACACAGTAGTGTAAACCACCACATATTGCTTTAAAGTGGTATACTTACAATTCAACTTGTGAGGCTAATGACATTTTAAAAATTTATTGGTCATTTAGATTTGCTATTCCTACCATGTACAGTTAACTTAGCTATGATATAGCATTCTCCTGGATCTAACTTGTTAGTGGACTATTTAGAATATCTGATCTACATTTGAGAACAATTTTTTTTGGGGGGGCAATTCTGAGGGAATCTGAACTCAGGGGCCTTCGGCTTGCTAGACAGGCACTCTACCACTTGAGTCATAACCCCAGCCCTTTTATACTTTAGTTTTCAGATAGGTCTCATGCTTTTTGCTGGATCCAGCCTCGAATTATAATCCTCCTACCTACGCCATCCACACAGTTGGGTTTACAGGCATGCACCACCATATCTGGCTTGTGTAGGTCTTATCATTCAAAATACCAAACTACATTTTAAGATCCATAGCATGGGTTATGCAAGGGCTCCTAGTATATTAGAAAGATAAAAAATATACTAAATAAAAAATATCACTTAGTATTAAACTGCTAACTATTAAATATTAACAATAATTGTGCTTGCCTTCTTAGAATTTAGAAAGGTTGTTAAAGGGTGGTTTTAGGACTATAAACTCCAAGCATAAAAGTAAATATGAACTGATCCTATTTAAAAAAAAAACCTATTTCCCAGCAGCAACAAAAGAAAATCCAAAATCTTCCAGGATTTTTACAGCAACCACAAAATACTAAAGATATTTTATTGTGTAGAGGAATGACGTTCAATACAATTCAGTGAGTGCAACTCCTAGCAGATAACACTTACAATGGAGGAAACTTAACCACTATCGTCTTTCCCTTCTTGGTATCTTCTCTCCCCATTCAAAACTGTTTCATTTTAAAACAAGTAAGATGATTAGAAGACACTGCATTGCAATCTCAGAAATAAAAGCACTCAACTTGAAAGCAATAAAATAGTCATCAGTTCTGTAAAGAGTTCTAAATGAAAGAGTTTTAAAAATACTTCTCATAGAATTGTTAAAAACAATCAGGCACTGGTGGCTCATGCCTGTGATCCAGTTACTCAGGAGATAAGAGGACATGAGGACAGCAGTTCAAGGCCAGCCCAGGCCAAATAGTTTGTGAGAGCCTATCTCAAAAATATCCAACACAAAAAAGGACTGGTGAAGTGGCTAAAGTGGCAGAGCAATTGTGAAACTCTGAGTTCAAAGTCCAGTTCCACCAAAAAAAAAAAAAAAAAAAAAAAAAAAAAAGGATAAAGTAATGTCCTGACTATTCTTGGTAATTCCTAACATGCTTGATTCAGACTTTTATGGAAAATAACAAATAAATTAAAGCAACGTTGCACTGGAGGAAGGGGATTACTCAGAGCAGCCTCTAGGAAAAGAGCAGCAGGTAACAAAAGGCAAAGTAGCCTTCACAAAAATTCAGTGACAACCATAATGGGTCTAGCAGTGCCAGTGTCCACTGTGTCAGTAATGAGGAGTTCTACAATGCAAAGCAAGTCATAACCAATGACTTAAAAAACTTACTTTGACTGGGCAAGAACCCCTATCACCTCTGCGTATAAATCTGCAATGATGTGCACATTCCCAGTGTTGGTTCCTGAATATCTAGAATAAAACAGAACAAACATAATACTTCATTAAATGTTTCTACAAATGCTCTGTCTTAATGAACTGAAAATTCCTTATCAGAGTACTGTGTAAATTTTTCTGAATATTCACTTATAGGATAAAAGCCACAGAATTTTCTTCTGTCTAGATTTTAATTTTCTATGAAATTTAACCTTCTAGTTCTTAATAATCCAATCTATAGTGTTAAGAATTATTTTTACAAAATCTTCCCTATAAGCAGGAAAGATTCAAAAGAAATGCTTTGAACTTGAAAAACAAATCGATAAGAATTCAAATTTTTAGTTAAACAGTCTCAACCTAGACTGTGAAGAAAAGCAACAATCTGAAGTTAGTGTTTTACTTACCCTTCCTTATGTTTAAAGTGCTTAAAAGCTAAGTTTAGAACTTCATGAACTAAGGGATCGGGTACAGGATGAACGGGAATCTAGAATTTAGAAAAAAATTATCATGTAAGGAAGAGCTAAGTAAGTTATTAATTAGACTTTCATGAATATCCTAATCATTTTGATTAAATCAATAACCAATTTATTCCTAAGATAATAAATATATGAAGAGATGTTTAATTTCACTACTAATAGCAATACACAGAATGAAAATGACACACAAGATATCATTATGTATCTACTCAATGGGAAAAAATTAAGTCTGCCAAAAGCAAGTAGTGGAGATAATATAAGTGAGGTTTTTCTACATTGTGGTGGAAGTGCAAGCTAATGAAAAGAAAGAGGGTCTGCCACCTCAGAGTATGCCAAGTGGGATACAGGTTATTTTGAGCTGAAAGCAATTAACAAACAACAGATGCAGGAAAAGCTCCCTCTCTCCCTTTCTGTCTAAAGGGAACGTGAGAGTTTTCTTTCCTGAAGATGTCTACCCTGAACCAGGTGTGAAAGTCCTCTCCTGAACCCGGAGGTCGAGGTGAACCATTATCACTGGAGACGGGAACTCAGCACAGAGATGCCTCCATACAAATAAGTCTTATCTTCATTAGTTCACCCCATATATTTATCTTCCCATAACCCACTGCCCCCAGAAGGCCATGTCCTTTTATTCTTATCACTTTTGTACAACTTACTACTCTGTTTAAATTGTACGTAAGGTTTGTTCTAACCTCTGTGTCATCAATTCTTTTCTATTAAGCCTCTATCTGCATATGTAATAAACCTTCTTATCTGTTAATCTATCTTCTGTAAATTTAATCTGCAGGGCTTCAGTCATTAACCCTAAAAGCAAAAACTTTCCCCATCTTTTATAGTAGCCATTATATGCCTACGAAATAATGACATACAGCTACATTTCATGGATTAACCTTAGTATTGCAATTTTGAGTGGAAAAAATAAGAGCTAGTAGATAATAAACAGCATACCTTTTTTTAGAAAGTTCAAAAACAAGAAAAACTTAATATATTATTCAAACATATATAAAACATTTCTTAAAGGTATTAATATAAAAATTGACAGAATTGTAGGGGGAAGGCAAGGCAGCAAATTAGGAGAAATTCATATAATTAGGCATAAATTGTAGTTCTTAGACTCAGGCAGTGGGTTCACGGTAAACACATTTAAGAACAACAAACAAGTGTATAGATCACTATGAAGAGACCACTGATAACGGTGCATGCATCTTAAACAAGAACCCTGGTTTATCCAGGTCTGCAGATCTGGAGTCTAATGTACATAAAACACAGGAATTTCACATTTCCTTAAAAATTCTGACAATATAAACAGTAGAGTTCTATCAACAAGGTAAAACTAACAAAACCAAGAATGCTACAAACTAGGTTGGGGAAAAAAATAGAGAACTAAAATTATTCCAAGATGGTCAAAACACTTAAGAGTCCGATGAAGAATTAAAAATGATAATTAACTTCTAACAAAGGTAAATCAGGAGTCTATCAAGAAGGGGCTGAGCTAAGTCTTGACTAATGATTAGGAAGAAGTAAAAAAATGTGATTATAAGAGATATTAGATAAGAGTAACCATGATTAAATTGCAATGAGGGCAATAAATCCAAGAACTCCAATAAACAATTATTCATTTACAGTTACTTATCTCAATGAAAAGGTGACTAACTGGACACAGTAATCTGGGGATGCTGACACTACCTTTAAAACTCCCTCTACTTGGGAGGCACAGTGGCTGACATGGTTTTACTTCATGATCAAATGGTATTATGGCCTCCTCTTGGCTAAATGGCTTGATATTTATTTCTGATTATAGGAGGATCAAAAGGAGAACTCATCTTACATTTTCTAGAAACTGAGACTTTCATAAAGGCCTGAACCTGGAATCTGATGTGAAAAAAATGTACCATGAGGGAGATCCCTGTTCTACAAGTCACTACACAGATGAAGTGAGGAAGTAGGCAGAGTCCAAATCCCACTTTCAGGTCTCAAAGAACTAATTCAAAGTACCCTGATGATTCCAGAAGGAAATGAAATCTCATGTTAAAAATGGGTCAGAATTTGAGTTTATTCTGCATAGACTCTGCAAGACTAACCTTAATCTTTGTCTGAAATTGTTAAACCGAAAATTTAAACCCAGAATCTCTATAACAATTAGGGATACTTAACTAGGGATTTTATGACTTAGTCTGCCTAATTATAAGAAACTTTAGATTTTTTTTAAAGGTAAACTTATCCATAGTTTAAAAGTATAATAATCATGTTATTGATATATAAATTTCAGAATGCCCACTAGTCAATGAGGTAAAGATATGACAATCTTTTACTTGTTACACTTACATATATTTCTCTTGGAATATATTATCCTGCTCATATAACAGGAAACTCACAAGTATTCCTATAGTAATCCCTGTGGCCACACTAAGGTGTCTAATTTATTATAAGTAAACTATAATCAAAGCCTTAAAAATAAATGAAAACATTTAGGGCTGGTAGTGTGGCTCAGTGGTAAAGCAAGGGGAAGGCTGCTCTTGTCCTACAAGTTTCAGGCAGCCATGTCACTACCCCCTAATATCTAAAACAGGGCAGACATTTGCAATTAGGTAATGGCCAACTTGAGTCAGGAAGAGGTTGCATTTGGATGAGGCTAGAACTTAATCCATAACTCATGCAGGCTAGTCCCAGACATTTGAGTAACCTCGAAATAATGCAACTCTGCATTCTATGTGATTTAATTTTTTCTTATACCTCGTTTACTGTGCTGTGGTTTCATCATAATAATTTCCTCACAGGGATGTTTGGTGTGCTTCAGTACAGAGATGTGAAACACAAGGTAAAATCTATGGTTTCCCCAAATATTCTTTATTTGCTCCAGTTCTGCCTGAATTCTAGCAATGACAGACAGCTATGCCATATGCTCTTTATTATTGCCTTACACAATGTGGGCATACCAGCAACTAATTATACATTTTTATATACATTACTTATACAACTTGCAACAGCCTTACCAAGTACACACAGTCTTTTTCCTCTGTTTTATAGACATAGGAAATGAAGTTCTGAGGTTATGAAGGATTTCTCTATAATATACAATTTCCCCAGTTTCTCAAAGATGAAAATGTATTTTTATAAATAAAATAAACGAGGAAAGAAAAGTTTGGAGCTTATCACATGATAGGTAGAAAAGAATGATGGAAAAACAGAAACAACTCAAAGAAGAAATACATCTAAGTTTTTGGAAGGACGAATGCACAACCTGTAAGAATGTTACTTAAAGAATGAACATTTGCAAATGTGCAAATACTCCCGACATATCTATTTCTTCCCCTTTTTGTAGCAGTGAAAAAAAGTTCTCAAGCTGAATTCCCAGAAAATTAAGGAGGAACGAATCTCACATGAGTTCAGAGAGAAAAAGCTCTAGTTGTCTTCTAGCATCAAGAATTTTTCACATCTAGTACTTGGCGTGGTATTAGAAGCAGCTCTAACTCTACTTGAGCCTTCAAGAAGGCTGTATCTAGTAAACCATAGCAAATACTCAACATTTATTGTGATTTTATTCCAACCCACCACCTCCCCAGATTTAATGCTCTTATTACATCAGGAAAGTAAGGAATAAAAAATCAGGTTAGGTGGGGATAGTGGGAAGTCAGTCAGCAAGAATCAATGATGACTAGGTCTCAAAACTAAGGCGAGTAAATAAATTCACACCACAGCAGAATGACAAACCAGCTCATCCCCATCATGAACCTTCTTCAAGGCTGGTCACCAACATCTAAAATGCTGATGGAAATCTAAAAAGGCCATCTACTCTACAGACAGCACCACCTCCTGATCCACCACAACAGTCCAAGTGAACTAAGCCAAGATCCTGAATGGCTCACAAGCTAGGTTTCCCAACCTTCTTGTTTGTTTCAAAGAACTAATGTACAACTAAAATTCTGTGTCACAAGCAAATTGCTTCAATCTTTATAAATGCCATATTGCCGTGTAAGCATATTTTCCATCATTCTAAGGTCTCTGATACTAACACTAAAATCCACTGTTGACGAGTACCCCAAAATTATTCTTCTGATTCTTTTAAAAAACATAGTTTTGGTTTTTTTTAATCATCCTGAGTTATTTTGTTCCCATGGTGAATCACAGTATTTAATTTCATGTTTAAATTGACTGAATGTTTTACCTAACTTGTTATATTAAAAACTTTAATTTAACTTGAAAAGATACTGGCCATTTTCACCTAATTTCATATCACTGGTTTCACTAACAGGAATGCTTCAATATTTATTATTAAAGGGAAAACTTGGGAATTAAAAAAAATTGAACTACTGCATAATCTTCACCACATCATTACAACTAAGAACTTTTCTTCATCTGTAAAATGGAAATAACAGATAACATAAATTGGAAACTTTCTATAAACCAAGCATTGTTGTATTTAATTCTCATGCGCTATAAAAATGGTACATAGAGAAGAAACGAGTTAGTGTATAATAACTTGGCCAAAGTTACACAAGTCAGAGACAGATGGGATATTGATACCTGCCCTGGCCATCTCCCAGGGTTCAGCTGGCACAAATGGTACAGAGTCCTTTGTGCATGAAGAGTGTAACAGAGCCACGCACAGGAGACGGAGGCAGGAAGACTTGTGAGTTCCAGACTAGCCTTGGCAACATAGCAAGATACTGTCTCCAAAGAGGTAGGATGGAGAGAGACTTTTAAACATGTAGATATCATCAAAGATCTAAGTTGTCCAAGGAACAAATTATTTGTACCATGAGGTCAATGACTAAGCCACAATGATGTTACTCCTCCTTAATACTGAAGCTACTATGTATCAATACTTCAAAACCCTAGAGACTGTCCATCTCATCAAAATAAAACTGAATTACACTTCAATATGGGCATATTATGCAGGACAAAAGTAAAAGCCCTAGTAAATTCAAGATATATAACACTGATTACTCTCCAGATCTATTAAATACTAAGTCATTTTGACAGAAGAAAATTGGGTTACTTTGTTGTGATATTTCAGAAAGCTCTATTGATTTTTACTTCATTTTATGTTGTTTTATTGGTTTTAGAGAAGCTAAAAAGAATGGATGCAGGACAGCATCGTCTGGGCAAACTAGAAGAAGAAACCCTACACCATTTAACTAAAGAAAGAGGTACGGATGGTCATGAACAAAATACTCAAATGACCTACAGTTAGCCTATCAGAGATGGTAGGATCGGTCACATACTGTCAAGTCTACTCATGGCCCATGGCCACTTCTGGTCCCCAACTCCTTCTACCCTACTTAAGGCCTTGGGGTCTTAGCATCCCAGCTAAACTGAGAGATCACAGAAATCAAAATTGCCTTGTTAGCGCAAATACCAGAGGAAGTTTATTTCCCACCTCTACTAAAAAAATCTTTATAAAAGGCACAAATCAAGGTGATTTTACCTTAACTTGCTTATCTTTTACATATTTATGATTATTATTATTATTTGCAGATTTCAAAGTGTCAAAAACTGTCATTTCATATACACGGTAAAAAAAGAGCAAAATATAAATGATTAATTACTATATAATTCAATATTTTATGTTGACTAGGTCAAAAAGTATACCACTAATTAGTTTTTATATTTTACATTGTCTATTGTCATATATCCCATGTTACATAACAAAAACAAAACTCCACTGTCCCAATGTGTTATATGCAAAATATGATTTCTTTTCTTAGGTTTCCTAATTTTTTCCCAAATCATACAATGTGCATAGCTAGAAATGTATGGCTCATCCCTGAATACTCTATAACTTAAAGACTACAAATTTTAACAACAAAAAAGACTTTTAGAATCAGTGAAGGTATTTGTATGCATACTTAAACAAATTTTGAAGAGTAAAATAAGATTATATGACACTACGTATTTATACCCCTACTGTCATCTCATTCAGATGTTAGTTTGTGAATGCAACATGCAAGGCTCACGAATGGAGACACATAACTTATCATCTGAGTTGTTCCTACTTGTCTGAAAACCGTTTGAATGTGACAACTCAGTCTCATCTCTGTGAATTAATTATTACATGTGTGAATGCAGGCTTGAGGGCTTAGGAAGAAAAATTAAGTGTAAATAAAAAGGACAGAAGCAGCGAAATGAAAAGCAGATTGCACTTAAAGCTAAAGGCCCATATTCAACCCAATTTTCAGTCCATTCCATCCTACTAACAAGATTTCATGTCTTGGATGACATATGAAGGTAAAAAGAATAGGGAGTAAAGATAGGAATGGGACAGAAAAGCCCCAGGCAACTGGAAGACATAGTAATTAAGTTAAAGGTGTTTAGTTTATGTGAGCTAGAATTTTAGATATAATATCCTAAATGAAGAAACTGAAACAGGAAGCCACAAGAGGCAAAGAACAAAAAAGTACAATCACAAAAGTGCTTACCTGCTTTAGAACTTCAACTAAAACTAAACAAAAAATGAAATCTACTGCTAAGTCCCGCCTTTCCTGAAGATAATCTCTTTCACGTTGCTGCTCATCCCTGGAACAAAACCCAAAATGAATACTGCGTTAAGACTTGGAGTTTTAAAACAGATATTGGTTAGCAGTTCAAGTGGCTCACTGGGTGCCTACTATGTGCAGTGTGTGCCACAGCCACTGGAAGGAGTATTTTGGGGTTTTTTGAATAACTCAATGTATGCATGACATGTTTTTTTTCCTTTTATACTCTGGGCCTTTGTACATACACTTAACTGTCAGAAAGCAAACCTAATCTAGAAGAATCACCAAGAAGAACTATATTTTAAATTTCATTTACAAAACCTAGAGTTTCTTCATATTTGAGTACTATTTTTTTTAACCAAGAACTGATTAAAGTCAAGTGCCAGTGGCTCACATCTATGATCCTAGGTACCTGGGAGACTGAGATCGGGAGGATTGCAGTTCAAGGCCAGCCTGGATAAATAGTTTGTGAGATTCCATCTCCAAAATAACCAGAGCAAAATGGACTGGAGCTGTGGCTCAAGCAGTAGAGTGCGTGCTTTGCAAGCATGAAGTCCTGAGTTCAAAAACCAGTCCCACCAAAAAATAGAAATGAAAGAAAAGTACTATCTTTTCCAATTGAAAATACGCTTTAAATCAAATAAACTGAAAAGTCTCAAGTAGTCCCTAAAAAAGTCAATGCTACTAAACTTCATGGGCCTGAACACAGCAGCGGTTAACCATAACCCAGCATCTCCCTGGGAAAGCTGAAGATGGAAAGGACTTAAATCTTGGTATTTTACTCCTAACTGCATCATAACCACTTCCCTTCAAAAGCCATGTGAACAGGACCTTCCTTGAATTGTTTAACTCTTCCTATGGCTGTTAAAATCCTCGGTGAATTATCAAAATGGCACTGCTAAAGTAAATTTTGCATAACTAGTCCCAGGGATGGGTACTGCAGGGCTACCTCTAGTTTAATTATTGCCTTCTCATGATTTGCAGCCTAAGCCAGAAGAAAGCCAGGCTCTTTGCTTAGAAACCAAATTGTAACAATCTTCATTAAGTAACATTCTCACTCCTTTCCCTGAAGTATTTCAATTCCAGGTAAAACAGTAACAAATAAACCACTTACCCCTTAGTCTTTGTGCTAGATCGAGGCCTGTACTCGTAAGATTCATCTTCGGTTCCATTTTGGCGTCTGTACCAGTCAAACAAGGTGCGAAGTAAGGAAGGGAGACAGTGCTCTGCTACTGAGCTCATAGAGCTTATCAACTAAAACACAAATATACCAGAAAAAAAACACAACATCAAATGTAACACACTAAGTCTACTAGCAATTGTTTGGAAATGAATAAACAGCAACTCAAATGTAATGAATGTTGTTTGAAAATTAAAATAGGAGCCAGGGTTTAGCCACATAATTAAATTAAATAGGACCAAGTTTCATCCACTAATAACCTTTATCCAAAACCATTCAGCTTATCTTGGTGCCTTTCAATCTTTTTCCCACCTTCACATGCAGCTCAGATGTGTAGCCATGTCTACCCACAACTTCCCTGGTAATAGACATGGGTATCTCTGGCAGAATATGAGTAAACTCATGTTACTCTTCTTCCCCCACAGTTCCTCTATGTTTATGTGAACAAAAGATATCAAAGTATTATCACTATCTGCCTGAAGAGGTGCAGAAACAAAGAAGACTGCACTGTCTTAGAACTGTGGGAAAAGCTTCTATTTACTATGTAACTACTATGATACAGAAGAAGAATTACTTTGATATCCACAAATTAACATATTAACACCACATTATAAACTTTTAAAGATCAGAACACAAAAATAGACAGCAAAAAGATAGGTATTTGACGCAACCTTAAAACTATCTGAATGCTATGGTTTGCATCTGCAATGTCTCCCCACGATCCGTGAGTTTTGATCCCAGCCCTGGCACTACTGGAAGGTAGTGGAACTTTTAAAGAGGTAGAGCCCAGTGGAAGGAAGTTAAGTCATTGGGGGCATGCCCTTGAAGGGGATGTTGGGACTCCGGACCCTTCCTGTCTTTATTTAATAGCTGCCACAGCTCCATCATGATGTACTGTGCCACCACAGGCCCAAGGCAATAGGGCCAAGCAACCATGGACTGAAACCTATGAAATTGTGAGCCAAAATAAACCTTTCCTCCCTCTAAGTTCATTACCTCAGGTATCTGGCCATAGTGAGGGAAAGCTGACTAACACTGAATTCTAGGTGAACACCATAGACTACTTTCATGAATACACCCAATCTGCCTAAACTAGCTACCATTAGATCCCTTATGGCACCCTTCATCTTGAGGACTCCAAGGAAAACTTTCTTTCTTCATACACACTTCTGTATCTAATTCAACCCATCACCAATAAAATTAACAAGTTTAAAACCAGCGTACAGTCAAACATGTGCCATCCAACTTTGTTGACTTATTTGAAAATTGCAGATTGCAAGAACACTTAAGGCCTCTTTCCAGTTCCAGGACTTTAGAAGAGTCCGTTAGTGAAGATAAATGGATGTCTCTAGGAGTCAAACATTTTTATTCCCTGGTATTTCATATTCTGCATACAACTTCAAAATAAACTCAATCCAGGAAAATAGAAAAGAATGAAATAGCTCATTTTGAAGCTCGAGATACATAAATGGGACAGCATAAAAGACAAGTGTAGTACAGTGAGCAGCTAAAACTATCTATGGACTCTTCTTATTAGTTATTTCAGCCTCCTTCAAACATTCTTTTATTATAAATTACCATAATTTCATATAGTTTCTAATACAGAACATTAAAGCAAAAACAAGATTATAATTCTTTTTTCTTTTTCTTTTTTTCATAGTGGTATTAGTGTATGAACTCAGGGCCTCATGCGTTCTGTGTTCTACCACTTGAACCATGCCACAGTCCTTTTGCAGCAACAGAAAGCTAATCTAGGATATTGGTTATTTGAAATAATCAATGTGTAATAAAATAATTATGATCAAACAAAGCAACAGAAAGATTAACATTGGAATAGCAATGCACAGATTTTTAGATATTCATATTCTATGCATAAGTTCTGAAAGTCCCAACAAGAAAAAAATAAATGTTAAAAGGTAAAATATTATTATTGAAAAATCATGAAATTGTGCACCAGACTGAGGGATGTTATTGGAAGCTTTCTGAGAAAAATTTCAAAAACACAGTATGGAGATTAATGATGAAAAGTAGAAAGTTATAAAATGCTAAGTGAATTGACATCAGTAAGGCTCACAGCTTATTCTATTACTTGTTTAAAAATAAACCAGGCCAGGTGGAGTGGCTCAAGTGTTAAAGCACCTACCTAGCAAGTGTGAGACCCTGAGTTCAAACCCTAATACTGTCAAAAAACAAACCAAACAAAAAAAAGAAACCAACCAACTGCAGAAGAATCAATGTATAAGGATATATAGGATCACTAAACAAAATAAAGGAATTTCTTAATGTTGTACTTATTTGGACCAGAACTAGGACAGATCTTTCCTTCCAGGAAAAAGTATTCCCCCAAAATTGATGTACCTGGTCAAACTGAAGATCTTCACCCCGCTGAAGAGATCTGGACAACAGCTTTTCCTACAATAAAATTTAAAAAAGTATAAATACAAAATATTATAAATCTTCCACAACAAACAGCTTAGACTCAAGAATTGATTTTGCTTCTGTATGGTTGTGTCACATGGTCTCCTTCTGTGGCAAATTCAAGCTCAACAGTTTCTAGAGGCAGGCTTAAAGTTCAACAAAGTCCTACATAGATTCAAGTTCAAAAGTCACCCATGTGTTTGCATTATATCATTCATTCATTCAACAAGCGTTTACTGAAGAGCAGCTTCATGCAGAAGCTGTGCAGCCAGGTGTATTTGGGTTGGCAGCTGGCTTTGACAACCACCAGGTGTACGGCCTTAAACTAAGGACATGAGACCTCTCTCTTTCAGACATCTCATCTAAAAAGACAGTGACTGTCAAATAATGTTATCAGTAATATGTTAGTTTGACTTAAAACAAAAAGTGTATGGGGAGGTTTTTCCATTTTTCTGTATACACTGTAATACTTCAAAGAAGAACAGAATATTATTATTAAAAACTAGCTGGTGGACTGGACCCATTGTTTTAGAAAAGTAGTTCACATCCTCAAAATTTCTCCTCACTATTATGTTGAGATATACACTTTCGGTCAAGTCAGTTCTCTTCATGTTATAATTTCCTTGTTCAGTGACGATCAGCAGTGCTCTGGGCAAGGGTCTCTGTGCATCTTATACATCAACTCGTGATTCATTACAACGTTTTGCAGTCTTGAAAACAAAGTATGAACTCAGTCTGTCATGTCCAAGCACTTACTCTACGCTGTATACATGCCATCTGCAGCTAGCTGTGTGGTTGTTTTGTATGTGTGTGCAGTGCTGGGTATCAAACCCAAAGCCCTGTGTGTGATGCTCTACCACTGAACTGCTCATCAGTCCTAATATTATGCATATAATTTAACTATTATATTAATTATTTTAAAAAGTTATCTTGAATTTATTTTTCAATACTTCTATAATTTCTTTAGTTTATTAACTGACACTTTTATTAATTCTCATGTTTGCTTTCTTGAATTTGGTGGCTCATCTTCCAATTTGGTGATTTCTAATTAATCTGACAAAGACTAAAAGAAATCTGTCAAGTTGCCTCCACCTAAACAGTGTAAGCTAATTTTCAACAATATTAATTATATATACTTAGAATTATGTCATCAGAACATAAAAAACTAAACATGGATCATCAAAAAGCTTTTTAAGTCTACAATTGTTCAAAATTTTTTAAAAAGGTTATAAGCTAAAATATAAGGGGAAAACTGTATTATAAAAGTATGATAGCCAATTAATAAAAACATAATGTTTGTCACCTAGGGGAGAAATGACTATGATAGTTTTATCTATATCAATATTTTGTGGATTGTATGCTTCAACACACAAAGAAATGTGATTTTGTCTTGCTTCATTTCTATTGTGTGCAATACTTACATATTATCCCAGATTTTTAAGAACTAGGCACTTCCATGTGTTGGGGATATAATGGTAAGCAAAGCAACAGAGACCCTACTTTCAATAATCTTAAAAGACAGGATTGGGAGTGTAGCTAAATGGTAAAGCCCTTGCCTAGCATGTGGGAAGCTCTGGGTTCAATCTCCAACATATATTATAAAAGAAGAGAAGTGTGAAGAAAGAAACTTAGCATCCTCTGAGACTATAATACAAAAACTTATCTAGTTATGATTGCTAATTTTTAGGTATTAACTTGACTGGATAAAGAGATACACAAGGAACTAGCAAAGATTATTTCTGGGTATACTGTGAAGACACTGGCATTGGGAATCAATGAACAGCGGAAAGAACATCCACCCTTACCCAAGTGAACAAGCACCATCCAATTAGCTGAAAGGCCAAATAAATCTAAAATAAATATATATATATATATATATATATATATATATATGTAGATGTAAATAAATATGTACATACATAAATATGTATGTATACATACATGAATATACACACACACATGAAGCTTCTCTATCCAATAGAATTCAAATTTCCTTCTCTCATTCATGATCACAAATGTATTTACAGCAGAAATAAAAAAAATTCCCAATCTGACAATTGTATTTCTAAACTAATTTAAATGGGGGTCACATAAACACTGGAGCCCGTGGCACTTCAGTTTCTTAACAGGGAAAGGTCTTCCGTTTGTCCTGAGTACTTGGGTCCCCACAGGCGAAGCCTACTTTCAGTAGTTATCATGTAGAACAATTCTTCTATCCATAAAGCCAACCATACACCATTTACATGTGATGTGGTGATGATTTTGTAAAATACTATATATGCTCAATTAACTGGCTCTAGCATTTAAGTAATAGACAATGCCCTTAGAAAGCCCAATAGGACACTGTTTCTAAAAGACTCTACATCTTGAAAAATACTGGGCTTTTAATGGGGGCGTTACTTTAAAAGGAACCGTGTATCTAAGACGAAGCTTAGGGAAATAATTGTACAGCAGTTTCTTCCCAATTTATTTGATTCCCCTTTCACAGTAAATATTAAATCTAAAGATTTCTAATGGTTATACAGAAGAATAAAAGAGCATGATAACCTTTTCAGAAATACACTGTCTTACATTTAACACTTTTTATTTCTCAACAAGCCCATACTTCCTCAAAGATTCTGAATATTTGACATTCACACAGAGCTTTTCCTGAAGCAGGAAATGGGGTGCGCTATTCTTTCCATAACAAGAACTCAGAAATGGGGTTGGCACTGTGGCTCAAGTGGTCGAGCACCTGCCTAGCAAGCACGAGGACCTGCGTTCAAACCCCCCCACCCTGAATATTGCCCCCGCCCAAGAAAAGCCTCAGAATAAAAAAAGAATTCAGAAACGATTTTTGAATGTGAAAGGCTGCTCACATTTATCACAAATGCAGAAGCATGAGATAAATGGAGAGTATTAAATATAATCACTAATCAAGGACTTTGTATTAACCTCTCAGTTTGATTGCAGTGTGGCTGAGGATGTCCTAATCATTGTTCAAGCACATATACAAAAGAGCCTCTCTTATCTGTGGGGGATATGTTCCAAGACCCCAGGGAGATGCCAGGGAAAACACCAAACCCTAAACCTACTGTTTTATTCTATATGTACATAAATACCTGTGATAAAATTTCATTTTTATGTTAGATACAGTAACATATAATGATAAAAAGGAACAATTAGAACTAAAAAGAGAAATTACTATCTATAATCACACATATTCAAAAGCCAAGATTTATGTACAATAATACTTATAGCTAGCATCTTTTCACAGTAATACCAAATTGGAGTAAATCCAACACTATCAATAGAAGCTGGTAAAAAATAAATAAAACTAAATTTATCCCATTCTTATTTATTAAAATAATGTTCAACTGGTAGAAAGAATGAAACAAATTTATATGGGCTGATTTATATAACCTTTAAAACTATTGCTACTTTTCATAATGGTTGCTATTTTCATTGTAATATAAAAATTAATAATTCCAAGGCTCATAACGCTTTATATTCCAATTTGCTTCTACAGCTTGTACGTATGCACAGCCTATCAACAGCAGGAGACACAGGAAAGCAGAAAATGTTATTGAAAGATTTTTAACAACATGATAACAATGACACTGAAATATGTCATTAATTTGCAATTAAAGATGGTAGGCTGAACACATGCATAGCAAACCTTCTCTCCTAAATGCTATTAAGATAATAGCATAACAACTTTTATAAGGACTAAAACCAAAGAACAAAGAGAATGAGAAGGAAGGTAAAAAAGCAAAAACTAACATCTCACCAAACAACTCCCAGGAAAGCAAGAGGGAAAGCCACAGGTGTGTTTATGTATTTGGTCATCACTCATTCAGTCAAATGATTTACTGAGTATCCAGCATACCAGGCACAGTTCTTGGCTGTGAAGACACAGCTAAAAACAAAATGGAAAACAATCCCTGCCCTCTTGAAACTGATAACCTAGCGAGGGCAAAGGGAACGTATATTTGTTAGACTTGGGATAGGAAGATGGAATGGGGACTGAGATTTTTAGGTAAACACAGACACGACTGAGGAGAAAATGACACTTCAGCATGACCACAGGGAAGTAGCTTGGCACACAGAGACTGAAGAAAAGGCAACCCAGTAGATGCTCTGGGACTCCCAGAAGGCTCAGTAACTGGAGAACTCAGGCACTCTCCAAGGCTAGCTAAAGCAACTATAGTGAGATGAAAACACGAAGGCTGGTTGAAAGACTACTGAAGAGATTTAGCCTCACCCTTCTATTCCCTTCACCCACCTGCATAGCAAGATGACAACCCCCTCACCTCACTCACAGAGGAATTGCCTTTCTCAAAAGGCAGAACAGATGCTGACTAGGAGATGTGACAACTGAAGACAACTGAAGGGAGCTTGAGTAAAAATTTATATACTAAGTATCAAAGCCCCCAATTATCTTCTAGCTCTAGCCCCCCCATTATGCTAGCAGTCAAAGCCTAAACTCTCCCATTTGGGGACCCTGACTAGCCCCTATGAAAAGGACTGGCATTGCTAGTCCAGATAACTGCACTCTGAAGACCACAGTCAAAAAGGCTCTTCTTTGTACACTGAGCTGTCAATCAGCTACTTAGTGCCTCATTCTTAAAATATAACATGTTAAAATAAACATGCAAGGAGAAGACAAAACTAACAAGAAAATGCAGTTTGGAGCAAACTGATCATAAAGGGAGAAGAAACCCTTTTTAAGATATACATATATATTTAATATCCTCAAAAAAAACCAATGGGAATTGTAGAGCTTTTAAAATACTGAGCTAAACCAGCTACGTAAAGTCTAACCCAGCAGGTGGTTGCCTAAAGCCTTTTTTCTACCTTCTTTTACTGGCAATCTGTAAGAGTAACGGGTAAGCGTGGATCTGCCTTGGCCATTGCTTAAGATCTGTCGGCCTCCTTTTAGGGAGAATGAACCTAAAGCATTGGATTACATCATTTGCAAACTGCAATTTCAATCAATGATTGCCCTTCCTCAACTCTCCTTTCTAACATGAAAATGAAATTGTGGCTAAATAGCAAGCTCTTCTAATCTTCAGCTTTTTTGGCCTCCTTAACCTCCTTTTGTAAAATGGTTTCTAATACAGGAATGAAAAGGCCAATTCTCTCATTTTAGTGATGAAGTTCTTTCAGCTAAAGCCACTCACATCTGTGCTTCTGGTTTCTCTGTAGCTTATTATACCAAATGAACATGAGCCATCCAGCATCCCCGTACCTGATAAGCCCTCTGTGCTGTTTATGTTTAAGTGATTCTGCAAGACTGTCATTTGAGAACTCCGAGAATCATCTTAGATGGTTGTTTATTTCCTCCAAGGGTAGAGAATAAATTTCAAGATTAAATGGAATCATAATAAAGGCATCTGAAACTATAATATAAACGCTGTCACCATATTAGATTAAATGTATCTTCATTATCTTGATGCTATGGATTTCCAATCTATCCAGAACTGGATATAAACGAAAACAAGGCTGACAGAGCTCTGACCTAGATAAGGAAGAATTACTGTGGTATATGAAAGTGCAATGGGTGACGTCTATAAATATGATTAGAATTGGGGGGTTTTCCTGGGGTGTCAGGAAGGATAAGCAGGGATGCCTCTTCTCTCCAAGTGTGACAACGAGGTAGAAACATCCCTGCTCTGATGGAACCCGCACCACTGTTAACCATAATTTTAGAATGCCATCCGAGATTATATAGCAGAAACCTCTGAAATTACTTATTAAATGAATAAAACATAGTCAAATTAGACTATACGAAAGGAACTACTGGAAGCTGTGGCTAGAATAACGACATTATGTTTTGTTAGAAGAAAAAGAGTGCCTGCACAGCAGTGCCTTTAAGGTTAAAATACAAACTGTACCCAGCATTCTTCCCAAGCACCTACACCATTAGCAGGGCTGCAGACACAGAGAGGAGACACCCGGCTCCTGACATCAGAGATTCACAGATAAGCAACTAACTGGAAAATGACATAGCCACAATCTATATGCACATACAGATATTACTATGTATAAATTACTATATGGCTATTATTATAGGTACATAACATTCACACATTATTGTGGCAAAGCAAACATTTATTTAGGCTGAAGTATGTTAGAGGGAATAAATAAGAAGTTCGGAAGGATTAATAACATTTTTAAAAAAACAGGAGTTAAATGCATTTTAGACTACAAGAAAACTAAATACACACACACCAGGACAAAGGATTATATAGAGAGGGTATTTTAAATATCATAGCATATATCAAGATAGGAAAACCACAAGACATTATACAAACTAAAACAAGACTAGGACCTCTAATGAGAATGAATTTACTCCATAGCAATTATGAGTAAGATGTTTGAAGCAGAAAGGTGATATTATTTGTGTGGTAAGCAAGGAAAAGTGCAGTGGGTGAAAGGAAAAATGGAAAGGTGATGGGTCAGTTTGTGACTAATTAGAAGCTCCTGCACCACCCATCTATGAAAGAGCAAAGTCTGAATTAGACATTGACAAAAAGGAAAAAGAAAATGTTTTTTAAAAAATTACTGTTTTATTGACTAAATCAAATTAGGTAATCTCATCCATATTTTCTTTTAATGCTTTCATTCTCAAACCTTTTATATTCCAACATTAAAATTCCTTCAAGAATATGTAACATTTGGGGTGGCGGAGTGGCTCAAGTGGTAAGAGCGCCTGCTTAGCAAGCCTTGTGAGGCCCTCAGTTCAAACCCCAGTGCCACCAAAAGCAAAAAACATTAAAAAAAGAATACATAACATTTGAAAACTGATATGACCAAACCACAGGGCTATTATCAAATATTTTATAAAACAGGTAGTTTTATAAAATGTGCTATGCACAAGGTAAAAATCATGGAACTAAGTGATTGGTCCTGGGTGTTTGTATATGCTATAAATCTCCACTTTTATGTATCTTTGAAATTTTCCATAATAAATTTTAATGTATATTTTTTAAGTGGTTCCCTTTTTTAGCATATGCTACTTAAGTAGTCTAGAGTAACAATTTATCACATAATTAAGAGACCACTGAAATAGAAAATTAACATTATATAGATTAAGCACATTTATAATTAAAGGTTATCATCACTAACACATATCTATAATCCTTATTTCTAAAACAGAACTTTATACTATGCACTTGCTGTGAATATATTAGTATAAAAATAATCATGAATTTGTTGTACAGAATATAATGTGCATAGTTTGAAATATACATTTGGCCAATGATGTTTTACCTATCATTATGTATTAAACTCCAGAACACATTACTTCATAGATTCTTTCCTCAGAGTAGTTTCTTCTACTTAATGATCAGAAAGAAACTCACCTTGCAAAAAGAATTAACCTAGACGGTAACACACATGCACAGGAAATTAATGTGAGTCAACTCACTGTATAGCTATACTTATCTCAACCAGCAAAAACCCTTGTTCCTTTCTATTATTGCTTATACTCTCAACCAGCAAAAACCCTTGTTCCTTCCTATTATTGCTTATACTCTCTCTACAACAAAATTAGAAATAAGGGCAAAATAGTTTCTGCTGGGTATTGAGGGGGTGGGGGGGAGAGGGAGGGGGTGGAGTGGGTGGTAAGGGAGGGGGTGGGGGCAGGGGGTAGAAATGACCCAAGCCTTGTATGCATATATGAATAATACAAGAAAAAAAAAAAGAAACTCACCTTGGCAATCAGCAATTTTAAGTTCTGCTTCAGTAAAAACATTAAAAGCATGTAACAATAGCTCCTTCAGCTTCCCTTCTTCCCTAAGTCATCACCTCTTCTCTCCTCTGCCCCTTCCTTCTAAGGGAGTATATATAGCACACTGATGAAGCACATGGGTGAAATTAATATTATTATGCACAAGTCCATTGGCTTCGGACCTCAGACAGGCAACAATCCCTCTGAGTCTCAAGTTGGTGAACACCTACCCCCAATCTGGTTGTGTAAGGAATAAATGAGTTTCAGATGTTATATCTTCTACCCTCACCTTCATTACTATCAACCCCCATCCTATCCCCTACACTGTCATCTTGGTGCATCCCAAATCCACTCCCTTCAAACCCAAAGAGTAACCTAAACTACCACCTTCATTTTCAAAGTTACTTGAACAAAGTTATATCCGTAAGCTAAGACAGTTCTCTTAAAGATCAGACTGCTGTCCTTCCAAATACAATAACATCTTCTCACTGTTCTTTGCTTCTCTCTATGACTCAGCAATGACACTTCTATTCAATACTCTGTTTCCCTTGGTATCACCACCTGCTGGCTTCACTATAAATGATGCCAAAATCTACATTTCTAGTCACCATGTCTTAGGAGTTCACAAAAAGAATTTCTAACCACCAATCAAGCAAATTCCACATGGTTAGATCATCACTAAGTCAAGCTTAATGACACCAAGGAAAAATTATCTTACTCACTTTTTCTACCAGGAATATCCCTGTATATGCCCATGTAAAAACATTCTCCAAAGCAGCTTTAGTCTTTAACTTTCACTCAAAACACTGCTCCTATTTAATATTCATCAAGTTCTATTGATTCTACTTATTCTTTTCTCTTATTTTCTTCTGCAAACACTTCTACCATTAATGCTAGTTCAAGATCCCTTTCATCCCAGCCTGAACTATATACAACAGTTACACAGTCTCTGCCCTCAATCCTTCCTCTTATGTTGTCTGTCATGGTAATATTTTACAGCTCTTCAGAATCTGACTACAACATTTGTTTTTGTCTTTCTCTTCCTTCTACCTCATCACTGGTCCTAATCGCACAGAGTTCCTCACTTTCTCTAAGGGTACCTCTCATGTGCTACAAATGTAAAAATATGTTCGCTGGTTTATTCTAAGTTTGAAAATGGTCCTAGCAACAACTTGCAGGATATTCTATGTTTTCTTTTATTTCCTGTTATGTTAGTGAAGTCTATTTTTGTTCCTTTGCAAACAGCAGTAATTTATCAAAGTAAATTCTAAAGTCATTGAAGCTTTCTGGGTCAGCACTTCACTACTAACCTATGCCTTAATATTTTTTTCAAGTATATTATTTCCTTTGGAAAATGTATATTATAATGGTTAATGCAAAACAATTTTTTTTTTTTGGATTTATAGATCAGCTCTACTCACCAAGGGCTCGGCCATTACAACTTCAATTTTCTTTTCAGCTTGAACAGCAAATTCTGCAAAGAGGCTCTTGATGACATATTCACCAGGCTTGACATCGGGGTCAATCGTAATGTTTGACATGATGATATCCTTTTGTCCCCAAGTGGAATGAAAGTTGGAAGAAGCACAGTATTTATTCACTTTGCTGACTGGTGCTGAAGCTAAAAGTAAAAGAAACAAAAAGGGCCCTAATTAATCACCAGCTCAACGAAGCTTACCAGATTCACCTTATTTAATACACGTCCTTCCTGGAACCCCACCCAGGTCCCCCAGTCTCCGTTACCATACTCCATTTTCTCTGTCACACTTGCCACCTCTCATGCAATGACTAGCATACTTACACTGCAGTATACACCAGGTTCACAGTGCACTGGTTCCTTATCCACACTTCTAGTGTGAATTCCTTCTACGAACAGGGATTCTCGTTTATCCTGTTTGGTCATAGATGAATCCAAGTACCTAGAACAATGCCTAGCATGCACTCGGCACACAGCATTTATTGAGCAAACGGATTCTAACCAATCAAGAGAAATGGAGGAAATGACTCAAACAGGAACACAATTTGGAGACTGAAAGATGCTGTTTTGGAAAGCATGCTTGTAGAAGGCCTCACTGAAGAAACTGTACTTGAGCACAGACCTAAATGATGAAAAAGAGGTAGCAAGGTGAAGCATCAGGAACGGAGAGCACAAGACTGACAATGCATGTCTGAGAAACAAAAAGACCAAGAGAGGAAGGAAGCAGGGGTAGAGGGCAACATGAGAGGTCAGGATCATTAGTCAGGAGGTAAATCACTGAGGACCTTTTAGAATTCTGTAAAGAAATTAATTGTGTTTCTTTTTTTTTTTAGACAAGACAGGATTTATTCCCATTTTACAGATGAGGGAACAAACTGAGAGGGGTCAGATGATCTATCTACCTGCCCCAGGCCTCAAGTCAGTGGCTCAGTGCAACTTGAACACAAGGTTTCTGACTTCAGTAACTCAACATTCCCCGATCACCTCCTCTCCTGGGGGCACCATGGGAGTAAATGTCAGAGTTCCTTCTCCAAATGGGTTGGATACAAGAGTAGGTGTTTCCAGCTCCTCCTCACAAACAAAGTGAATATTCCCCAGCCCACAACATGGTATTAAGAGAAGTTCATTGTCAAAACTTAATGGACACTGGTGTGAATTTTATTTCTAATACAGTTAAAATTCAGTGGAAAGTATTAATATGGAGATGGATAGGATATCTCTTGATAAACATATCTCTGGCCTCCTAGGAGAACAGGTTGAAAGAGGGCAAACATGGAATCAGAGATGTCATTACAGAAACGCAGGTGAGATGATTGAAGCTTGGGCTAAGAGGATGATGATGGAATAGGAGAGAAAGAAAGGGATCTAGACTTGTCATCTGTTAGTGGATTATTTATCAAGTGAGGGAAAAGAATTAATGATGACTCACAGGATTTTTATTTGAATCACTGAAAGGACAGTAGTGCCACCTACTCAGATGGGGATGGTGCTGCCTAGCAAATATTAAGTTACACCAGGGTTGGTGGATAAAGAACACACACCACTGCATGTTACACAGCTTCACCTTCTGTTCTCCTGAATGCTGGGCAGCCCAGAATTCTTCCAGTCACTTTCAACTGCCAGCCTGAAGCATAATATAGACCCTCCATCTTCTAACTTCAGCCCCGATGGCCCTCTTTGGCCTAGTGTCCCTGTAATATTCATGGAGAATCTACAAGGTTGTACTTCTCTATCTCAACCTGATCTACAGCTATTGTGTTTTTCATGTAAGTTACTACAAGTCACTCCCATCCTTGACAGAGGTGGCAGGCCACAATGATTCAAACACCGAATTTCTGTGTACGGGTGCATGAGTCTATAATGATAAGACATTTGTTCAATATATGCAAATTTGAAACTTACAATCAATTTTTATGTTAAAAAACCTACTCTGCCAAGTATAGTTTGTGAGATATAGAATCTGTAAAAATAATCTAAAGCTCACTGCAAACTTAATATCGTATCTTAAAAAATAAGTATCTTCTAGTCCCCCAACTTAAATTACATTATGTACCTTATTCTAGAACTAAAATTGTATAATAAAAACAATTTGAGACAAAAATTCACAGAGCTCTGAACACAGTGTACATTATTTCACACAATGACCTGTTTGTTTACTCTGTGTCATGATCCAACATTGTGTATTATTAAGGAGGGAATCTGTTAACAAATGTCATTGTAGAAAAAAGAGATGGTGAAAATGTTTTTAAATTATTTGGGACCATTAAGAGTACTATAAATGACATCTCAAATAACTTGCCTTTACTGTCCTCTACCTTCTTTAACAATTAAGCATAAACAAATATTCTGAGGTATCATAATTAGGCACTGTAAGGTATCTGCCAAGACAGCCAAAGGTTTTAGGAAAGACTAAGTTGTCTTCCAAGATAAAAATATTTTTTAAGTTTGATAAAATTCCATAAGATACTTCTTTTATGATGCTTTCCAGAGATCTCTGCCAGTGAATTCCAAGTCATCTAACAATTGCATGACTGACTTCTATGCCCATTATTGGGGTTCTTTGCTATTGATTGTAACCCTCATGTAGTAGGTGGCCTATGACCTGTAACTTTAAGGATGTTACTATGGAGAATCCCTCCCCAAATCTAACCAAAATCCCTCCTGCTTCATATCAGCCCTTGGGAATGAGTGAAAGCAGCAAGGAGTGTCACGGCATTATTCTGAGCACCATATGGAGAAGGGGGCGGAGAGAAAAACCCACAAGGGAAGTTTGGAAAAGTCTCCTTTGCCATGCATCACCTCCCTGGACACCCAGGCTGGGCCAAAAAAAAAAGAAAAAGAAGATAAATTTCAAGTTTGAAAACTTAAAAACCAGTGTTTTTTGATCAAATAAGTTAAAATAATTTTTATCAATGTTATTTCTTAGTAGGTGTTTAATAAATGCTTGTTTGTTTATTTATTTTGCTGGGACTGGGGCTTTGTGCTTGCAAAGCAGGTACTCCACCACTTGAGCCATACCTCCAGTTCATTTTGCTCTGTTTATTTTGAAGATGAAGTCTTGCAAGCAAGACTTGCAAGACAAAGTCAGCCTCGAACTGCAATTCTGATGTCAGCCTCCCAAATAAGCAGGATTACAGGGGTGAGCCAACAGTGCCCAGCTCATTACATTTATTAATACAATAAAATAACAATGACTAGATCTATGGATAGAAAATTCAGACCACTAAGCAATCGAATCTTGATAAAATGGGATTTGCAAAATAAATTATGTTTACAATCTAATGAACAAAATGCTATATAAACATTTGAAATCTTTGATTTTAAAAGGCAAATGTGAAGTTCTTAGTTTAAAAAGTAAACCTAATTCAGGTAGTTATTTCATGGAGGCCAACAAAGTGATTCTGAAGTTTATATGGAAAAGGAAATGACCCAGAATAACAACACAATACTGAAGGAGAATAATAAAGTCAGAAAACTGATACTACCTGACTTCAAGACATATTATAAAGCTACAATAATCAAGACATTGTGTTATTGGCAAAAGAACAGACAAACAGATCAATGGAACAGAACAGACAGCCAGAAATAGAGCCACACAAATGCAGTCAACTGATCTTTGACAGGGCAGCAAAGGAAATGCAATGAAGAAAAGAGACTTTTCAACAAATGGTGCTGGAACAACTAGACACCCACATGTTTTTTTGGTTTTTTTTAAAAGAATCTGAACATAGAACTTTTTTACCTTCCACAAAAACTAACTGAAAATGGATCACGGATCTAAATGTAAAATGCTAAACTATACAACTCCTAGGAGATAAGAGAAAACCTAGATAATCTTGAGTTTGGTGGTGTCTTTTTATATAAACATAAAAACCATGATCCATGAAAGAAAAAGATTGGTAAGTTGCAATTTATTAAAATAAAAACTTCAGTTCTGTAAAAGGCAATGTTAAGAGAATAGAAAGATATGGCACAGGCTGGGAGAAAACTTTTACAAGAAGAATATCATATAAAGGACCAAGATCCAAAATATATAAAAGAACTCCTAAAACTAAACAATAAGAAAAAAAAACTCCATTTAGAAATGGGCACAAGCTCTGGACACCTCACCCAAGAAGACAGGCAGATGGCAAACAGGCATATGAAAAAATGCTCAATCTCATGTGTATTCAGTGAATTGCAAACAATGACATCGCCACAACATGCCTATTCGAGTGGCTAAACTCCCAAACACACCAAATCTTGGTAAGCCTGTGAAGCAACAAGGTCTGTCATTCCTTTCTGGGGGGAATGCAAAATGTTACAACCACTCTGGTTTCTTATAAAACTAAACATACTCTCACCATAAAATCCAGCAATCCTGCTCCTTTTTCTTTACCCAAAGGAGATAAAAACTTATATCCACACAAAACACTGCACACGGATGTTTCAAGCAGTTTTACTCATAATTGCCAAATCACAGAAACAAGCAACATGTCCTTCAGTAGGTGGATGGATCCATTCAGACAGGAAATACATTGAGCACTAAAAGAAATTAGCTATAAGGCTATGAAAAACTGGAAGAATCATAAATGCCTATTGCTACATGAAAGAGGCCAATGTGAAAAGGCTACAATACTGTAAGATTCAACTATATCATGTTTAGGAAAAGGCAAACCTATGGAGATAAAACAAACAAACAAACAAAAAACCCCACATAACACATCAGTGGCTACCTGCTTGGGGGTCGGGAGAGAGATGAATAGGTATGCATTTTTAGGGTGGTGAAACTACTTTATACAATACTACAATTGTACATACAGGTCATTATATATCTATTAACACCTATAGAAGGTGCAACACCAAGAGTGAACCCTAAAGTGAACCACAGACTATAGTATCAACATTGTTTCATCAGTGATGACAAGTATACTCTGATAGTAATAAGAGAAATCTGGGGGGTGCAATGGGAAATCTTTGTATTTTTTACTCAATTTTCCTGCAAACCTGAAACTGCTCTAAAGCCTATTAATTTTTAAAAAAGAAAAATAGAGGAACAGAATAGCAACCTTCTTCTGTCCTGTCAGTCAGAACCAAAAGTGCCCAGTAGCAGTCACAGCAAACACATGCTCCAGCTAAAGCTTAACAGGTAGTGTGCGTGGAAC